GCCTACGTGACCCGTGACCCGGAGACTCGCCAAATGGTTCTGGAATCCGGTGCCTTGGTTCTATCCGATGGTGGTGTTTGCTGTATTGATGAGTTCGACAAGATGAACGATTCCACGCGCTCCGTCCTTCATGAAGTCATGGAACAGCAGACCGTCTCTATCGCTAAGGCGGGTATCATTACTACCCTGAACGCCCGAACATCCATCCTGGCCTCTGCCAACCCCATCGGCAGTAGGTACAACCCTAGACTCGCTGTTCCCCAGAACATTGATCTGCCACCTACTCTGCTCTCTCGTTTCGACCTGGTATACCTGGTTCTTGACCGTGTCGACGAGACGGAAGATCGTCGCCTGGCCAAGCACTTGGTCGGCATGTATCTGGAGGATAACCCTGAGAATGCCAGCTCACAGGAGATTCTGGTAAGTGACCTTTCCTGCGCGATTAATCAGAGAAATTTCTAACAGTCCTATTTAGCCCATCGAATTCCTTACGGCCTACATTACATACGCCAAGACTAACTGCCACCCTGTGATCACCCCAGCTGCCGGTGCTGCACTCACCGATGCCTACGTGGCTATGCGCCAGCTCGGTGATGACATCCGCGCCCAAGAGCGCCGTATCACTGCCACCACTCGACAGCTGGAATCTATGATCCGACTCTCCGAGGCACACGCACGCATGCGTCTGTCCCCCGAGGTCACCGTTGGCGATGTTGAGGAGTCTGTGCGTCTCATCCGCTCCGCCATCAAGCAGGCTGCCACCGATTCCCGAACCGGTCTCATCGACATGGGCCTTCTGACTGAAGGCAGCAGCGCCGCTGACCGTCGTCTACGCGACGACCTGAAGAAGGCTGTGCTGTCCCGCCTTGATGAACGTGGCGGAGTGAGTGGTGGTGCGGTCCGCTGGACTGACCTGTATCGCGATGTGAGCGAGCAGAGCGATAACAAACTCGACCACAACCAGTTCGGTGATGTGGTGCGCTCACTGGAGACGGAGGGCTCAGTGAATGTCTTCGGTGAAGGTGCTCGTCGCAGTATCCGCCGGGCGGCCATGAGCATGTCCTAGGTCGCTGCGATGATACCATGATGTGATGATAGATTAGGCTGCATGTCATCTCTGACTGAGGGTGTTCTGGCGTTGGTGTTTTTATGAATAATGCTATGGGATTCGGCTAGAACTGTTGTATATTGTAGATTGATCATAATATTTTCCAATCTCATGAATTCCCCGAACTTGCTGCTTTTGTTAGAGACTAAGACATCGGGTGGAAAAGTAAGAAATTACATGCATCTAGCTAGACCCAACAGGTACAATGTTCCGGGTGGGGCTCAATCACCTTGCAGATGGCGACCTATATCCCTGTCCACCTGCAACAAGCATTGAAAAAGAAATTAGAAGGGAGCATGTTTAAAATTGGAATGTGTAATAGTCTCTGGTTCTGTGGATTGTATTTCTCAGTGATATACCATGGAATTGAATAGAATAATCATGATGAGCATTTGGAAGATAAAGAGAGGTAAACACACACACACACACACAGAGAAAGAGAAAGAGGCTAGTGCCCACGTGCGCCCATGACTGGACAGATTGTTAACGTCACAAGGGGTGGATGTTATAGTGGATACAAAATTACCATACCAAAATTACGAATATTACCGGAAGTACATCTAGATCGCCATCATCATTCTACTTATAATCACCAATATACAGCAGCTTGATGAAGTTTTGAAACCGTTATACCTAAATATGATATTTCAATGCCATTGTTCAGCTTCCTATCAAGTTAAAACTCGCAATTCAAACGATCTAGATCATATTATATCACCTGAACTGTTAGCACCGCACCCACTTTGATGAGAGGGGCCGTCACCCGCTAGTTATCGGACTAGCCGAATTCGGGGGCCCATTATAACCTCTGACCTGCTGTCTTGGAGAGCTAGAACCCTCCGAATTTGATCTCCCTGCCTCCTCACCGGCATATTTTTCTTTCTTCTTCTTCTTCCTCCCGTCATGAGCTTGGGATAAACCACATTCTTCCTCACATTCATCCCTGCCCACCATGAGGTATGTATGCTCCCTATCCCGTTAACTTCCAGCCATTCCACTCGCCGCGCCTTTGGCGTACTAACTCAATTGTTTCACAGGTTCGGTGAATATCTCCGTTCTTCCATGATCAAGGAATTCTATCCTTACTACATTGCCTACGACGAACTCAAGAAAGCTCTGAAGACCGATCTCGTCGACGAGCCAACCTCCGATAACACCCAGCCCGCCCGCAAAGAATGGACGGAGAATGATGAGACGCACTTTGTCTCCTTGCTCGAGAGTGAACTGGAGAAGGTGTTCCTGTTCCAGAAGCGCAAGAGCGAGGAGATTGTCGCCCGCATCCAAGAAAGCGAGCTCGCGGTGAACGATGTCGTCTCCCGTCTGGACAGCTCGGCCGATTCCCGTCGCCAGAGTGTTCGAGTTTCTCACCCTCCGCCCACCGATGCGGATTTCTTGATGCTTGAGCAGGTTCTCAGCGATATCATTGCCGATGTTCACGACTTAGCCAAATTCACTCAATTGAACTATACGGGTTTCCAGAAGATCATCAAGAAGCATGACGTAGGTTTTCCTTCCAATTTTCGAGTCGGGCGCCCCAATTCGCTAACAATCACATAGAAAGAAACTCAATGGTACCTCAAGCCGGTTTTCGCGACACGTCTGAAGGCGAAGCCTTTCTTCAAGGACAACTACGACGCTTTTGTGATTACACTATCCAGGCTGTATGACCTGGTCCGGACCAAGGGTAACCCGGTCAAAGGTGACGCATCCGCCGGTGGCACCCAACAGAACTTTGTGCGTCAGACCACAAAGTATTGGGTGCACCGGGATAATATTACGGAGTTGAAGCTGGTGATCTTGAAGCACCTGCCAGTGTTGGTCTTCAATGCCAGCAAGGAGTTCGAGGAGAAGGACACGGCCATTTCTTCCATCTACTTTGACAACACGGACACTTGGGAACTCTATCAGGGTCGTCTGAAGAAAACAGAAGGTGCTGAGGCAATTCGACTGCGTTGGTACGGTGGGATGGAAAGTGACCAGATTTTCGTAGAACGAAAAACCCACCGCGAGGACTGGACGGGAGAAAAATCTGTCAAGGCTCGTTTCGTGCTCAAGGAGAAGCACGTCAATGCTTATCTCGATGGTCGGATGACGGTTGAGCAGATCTTCGACAAGATGCGCAAGGAGGGTAAAAAGAGCCCGTCGGAGATTGATGATTTGGAGCAATTAGCCCGCGAGATTCAGTACCGCGTCATTACTCGCCGCTTGGTGCCTGTCACCCGTACATTCTACCACCGCACTGCATTCCAGCTGCCAGGTGATGCTCGTGTTCGAATCTCTCTTGACACGGAACTGACCATGATCCGAGAGGATAACATGGACGGCCGCCAACGGTCTGGAAAGAACTGGCGTCGTATGGATATCGGAGTCGACTTCCCATTCTCCCAGCTACCTCCTGAGGATATCGATCGATTCCCCTATGCCGTGCTGGAGGTGAAACTGCAGACCCAGGCAGGCCAGGAACCTCCCCAGTGGATTCGGGATTTGACTGCCAGCCATTTGGTTGAGGCAGTCCCGAAATTCAGCAAGTTCATCCACGGAACAGCGACCATGTTCCCTACCCGCATCAACCTGCTTCCATTCTGGTTCCCACAGATGGGCGTAGACATCCGCAAACCCGCCACTCGCCAATTCGGTATCCACAGACCGCTGGCGAGTACCTCAATATCTGCCAACGATGAAGATTCGGATGATGACGAAACGCCAAGTACGCAAGAATCCCCTCCGAACGAACGCGCCATTGAGCATCAAAACGGATTGTTTGAGACCAATGGCAACGAACTGGATATCGAAGAACGTGTCGCCGCTCAGCCCCTGCCCGGCGACGAAGACTACCCTTTGTACGACTCGGACGACGAATCGGTATATTCCGACGAACTCGAAGAAGCCCGTCGCATAGGGGGTGCATACTACGCGCAGCAATTGGCCAAACACTACCTCTCTCGAACTGGTCATGCTGTCGCACAGGGTCTTATGGCGATAATCCCCCGCCCCCGTCCAACAACCCTGCCTCCCCCCGAACAGCGCGGGATCGCTGTTTTGAGTAACCACCGACGCACCCTACAGCGATTCCAGGCTCCCCCTGGCAAACGTAAGTCAGCTCCATGCTATTCGGTGCATCAATCACCCAAACTAACACACTTCACAAATAGGCATCTTCGTTCCTGTCCGCGTAGAACCAAAAGTCTACTTCGCCGCCGAGCGAACCTTCCTCTCCTGGTTAGAATTCTCCATCATCCTCGGCGGAATCGCCGCAGCCCTCCTAAATTTCGGCACCGACTCCGCCACCCTCATCTCCTCCTGGGCCTTCACCATCCTCGGCGCCGGCGCCCTCGTCTACAGTCTCTTCCTGTACATCTGGCGCGTCGACAAGATCCGCAAGCGCCGCGACGTCAAGCGCGTATACTACGAGCGCTGGGGTCCGACGATCGTCAGTATCGGACTCGTTGTAATCATTTTGGTTAACTTTGGGCTGCGCGTGCGCGCTGGCGGGTTTATGGCTGCGCCGGGATCGGAGGGCGAGCCGAGGCGTGGTGGACATGGTGAATTGTAAAATTTTTGGTTTTTTTGGAAAACCTGAACCGATCTGTTCTCTTTTATAGTTTTTGGGAGTTGGTCATCTTCTCCGCTGCTCGTGGGCGGCTTTTATGTTTGAATCTACTGGTGGCGTTGGGCTGGGGAGTTTGGGAATTGTATATCATGTACAAACCGCATACATGCCGTTGCAAATAGTATGAGAATGGCACTCGATCACTGCCTAACATTTGGTTTCTTGCTTTTGTTTTGTAGTTGTAGATTTACTAATAGTACATAGTCACTGTGACCGACGTGTATATACCGGAATTTCAAAGAGTCTTTTGGTAAGAAAGAGTTATCATATTTAGCAATACCACTAAGGATAAGATATATCATCTTCACAATAAGTTGTAGACTGAGAAGGCGAGTTCAAAAAGACATCTTCGAACAAATTTCCGAAAGGAAACGAGAAAGGAAACGCCAGGCCCATGGCGTCTTGGGGAATTTGATCAAGCAAACCTCCAGTGAGGTTGATACCACCAAGATTGCTTTCGTTACCAAGTTGACTCGGACCATTTTGCATCTCAGATCCTGTTTCTGGACGCTCTGGCACCCTCGCACCATCTTGCATGTGCACACCTGCCGAGTATCGCCTAAGCAGAGATTCATAAATCGGATAGTAGGCCGCAACTACCGGGAACCGATCTTGCAACTTGTCAAGTATCAGCATGCAGAAGCGGGCGCGATGTTGTGAGATCATTCGGACGCCAGTATCGCCTCTGTGGATGTTGGCTATGTAGATTGAGAGCACGGATAGCACGGGCGCCAGTCTGGACAGGTTTTAGCAAAACCGCCTAACAAAATTGGGGCTTGTTATCGATGAAACGTACATGCTAGCTGCGGCTGCGTATAGGAGATCTTTCGCCATGAGTATTTCGAGCATGTGGGAGATCTCTGTGCATATCTCGAATATTGGAGTGTCTGGCCCGGTATTGAGAGAGAACCTTGGGTTGCTCCGGTGCAAAATTAGTCGGTATTCCCTATAGATTCAGAGTCAGAATGGAGAGCGTCCGAAGAGCAGAGCCATTCGAAAGTTAACTTACTGGTATAGTATATGAGTCAATATAGCCCACTTGCTACTATTTGTTGACAAAGACTTGAATTCCGGGGGAAGGGATGAAGAGCACAAGGAAATTTGCTCTAAACAGATATCTTGTGAGTGACCAGTATCTTCGTCGAATTTAATAGTGAAGAATCGATCCACTGTAATATACGTCAGCAAGTATATTTCAAAACAGAATGATGGATGTCGAACCTGTCCGAGCTAGTTGCACAGCATTTATCGCAAAGGTATTTGCCTCATCGAGGTCTGTCTCTTGAGACTCACTGACTTGATCAAAATCTGCTTCCGACAGAGGGGGAACATTGCAAAGTCTTCCTTGTACATGTGGAGGACGATCGAGAAGCATAGACAGATTTATGTTCATGGCCTGGTTCAAAGTCAGACTGGTAATATAGACCTGGGGCTTGTTAGGAAATAACCGACATATACCATCCACCACAATCTTCGCCATAATTTTCGATCTTTCTCTTCGAGGCGGATATATGACTTTCTAGAATACCGATTAGTTACCCTTATTCCACGTTTGAGGGATGAGTGGACTCACGTTTGATGCAGTCCTAAGGCCTGTGCCATTCCCACAGAGATACCAACCCAGTACCAAGGGTCTTTGTGTTCTAGAAGACCACTCCACCAATAGCACATAAGAAAGGTAGCTTGGATGGTCACGATGGCATCGGTTTCATACCCAGAATCATAAAGTGCTTTGGCTCTCTGGTAAAAGGTGAGGCTTGCAGCGTATCGGGACCCGAATCCGGCATCAGCAATGACTGAATCCGAACAATATATAGTAGCAGCGAGGTAAATAGCATTCAAGAGCAAGTGCGAGAATTTGCCCTCCTCGAGAGAGACAAGAAACCTCGACCTATCAAGAATAGGTAGTGCGGCAAGTGAAAAATGGAAGTAAGCGTCGAGAAGGGCCCGACTGGTCTCTTGTGACGGGAGATCGAATGCGCCTTGGTTCTTAAGATGTTCGATAGTAGATACATGAATCCTTTCGATTTCCTGCGTCGTCGACCTGCCCAACTGGCCCAGCATTGCCCCGTGGAGATGGTCCTGAAGTGGACGAACATCCGTCGTACCCCCGAAAGGATTTCCGAATTGTTGGATCAAGTAGTTGAGATTAGAAGAATCTCCAACATATGGTGTTTTTCCGCTTGGTCCAAGGGCTGGGAAACATGGCTCTTGTTGTGGCTTATTTCCATCATCTTGAGCATGAGTGGCCAGAGGGGGGTTTGAACTCGTCACTCCTTCATATGGCACATTGCGAGAGGTCTCTGAAAGACTCCTGCTTGAACTTGTTTCAGTGGGTAGTAGAGGAAGCTTTCGTTTCCTAAATTCCGAATCAGTCCCGATATTATGGCTTGGGCTTTTGAATCCTACCGTCCACGGCGAGATATAATCAGCTCGCATTGGCGCCGGGCATTCCGGCAGTTGGAACATGCGACACCGTCACTGCGGTCACATTTGACCCGTCGGTCATGACACAGACGACAGGCGACTTTAACTGGAATGCTGCGCGGCATTTAACAATTGTGAAAGGCAGTTGCTGATTGTAGTAAGTTCGGCGTCTTGATTTCGGCGAAGTTGATGCACTTGGACCCACCAAGTCGCCGAATTTGGGTGTGTCTTATTGGCTGGCGGTTGAATATCTGCCTTTTGATTGGATGCTCAGCACTAGCTGTTTGGAAACAACTATGAAAGTTGTCTAAGAGGGAGAAGGTAACTGATTCTACCTTTTACACTTGACTTCCTGAGCTAGCAAAATATTCAGGTTTAGCTGGTGATGATGCCTCTGAATACATCCTCTCGAACCATGCTCCGTCGCTCTAATCCGAAGCAATGGTCACAATGTTTCTTGCCCACCATCGCAACGACGCGATACCTACGCACATCTTCAGAACCTAGCAGCTCAACATCTACACCCGTACCATTTGAAAGACAGAAAGATGGAGCGTCTGGGTATCTCCTGTATGTTTAATACCCAAATGCCAGCTTACAACCCGATTGATTTACTTCTAACATTTTTTACTACTAGGACGAAGGCAGATGAACTAGTTAACTGGGGAAGACAAGGCTCCCTATGGCCCTTATCATTCGGCCTAGCCTGCTGTGGAATTGAAATGATGCACACCTCAATGCCACGCTACGACCAGGATCGACTGGGCATTATTTTCCGAGCCTCGCCACGACAGGCCGATGTCATGATTGTCGCCGGCACGGTAGTCAATAAGATGGCACCGGCCGTGAGACAACTATATGACCAGATGCCGGAGCCGAAATGGGTGATTAGCATGGGAAGTTGTGCCAACGGCGGAGGATATTACCACTACAGCTACAATGTTGTACGCGGTGTGGACCGTATCGTGCCGGTGGATATTTATGTGCCTGGATGTCCGCCAACTGCAGAGGCGCTTCTGCAGGGGATTTTTCTTCTACAGAAGAAGATGCGCAGGACGCAGGTGACCAGGATGTGGTATAGGCGCTAAGCGAAGTTGAATTGGGTATATATATCATAACGAATTCCAAGGCTGGCACAGTCATGGAAGTTTGCGGGAACAATGCGCTCTATCTATGCAAGATGCCAAAAATGTGATGTTTATTCCTCCACCTCGATCTGCATCTCTCGTTCTGGAGATAATGCATGTCAGTATATCTCTGAAACAAATTCTCCATTCTCCATAAAGTACAACTTACCCCAGATCTTGATCGCATGCGCAATAATCGTCTCAGCCTTAACCAACAATTTCGCAGCATACCTCTCCGCCTCTGTCGGATAGAGCTGGCTTTTCTGCGCTTTGCGAGGATTGGCCTAAACACACCAGAGACATATTAGTACACGATCACACAAATAGTCTTCAAGAAGACACGCAAAAACAAAACCAAAAACCAAAAACCCACCATCATAAGAACAGGAACCAAATCCTTCGGCTCCGCCTCGGCCAAAGCCCTCAAATTCCTAAACCCATTATCCCTCAGCAAACGCGCCGTCCAACTCTTAACAAAAGTAACCTGGGCCATCTCGAGCAGATCCGCGCGCGCCCCAGCCTCAAGTCTATCACGCATATGATCCAAAACGGCAGCCATCATGCCCCAGTTCATGCGCTGGCAGAACTTGACGATGCCGGCGGCGAAGCCATGGCACTGCTGTGCCAGGGTTTGGACTGTGCCACGGGGGATTTTGTAGCGGTGGGCTATTGTTGAGAGGGGGACTTCGTTGCTGAGATCGCGGAGTTGGAAGGCTGTGTAGGCACGGCGGTAGATGCGGGCTTGTTTTATTAGGGTTGGGGTGGTTTCTTTTAGGGAGGCGCCTGATTGGACCCTGGTGATGGGGGTGTTAGTTTGGGGTTTGGGTTGGGTTGGATTGGGAGTGTGTAGAATCGTGGGGATATTATATATGCAGGGGGAATGGAATAGGGAGGAAGGAAGAGAAGGCGTACATTGTGTTGACGAAACCTGGTTGGACTCCGACAAATTGCAGAGCCCTTAGACCGCTCTCGTCTAGCCTGTCTAGTTGATCGCGGAAGATCTGCCAGTCGATGGGGGTGTTCATGGCTGCTTGGAGCGGGGTGAACATGTAGAATATGTGCATGTCACCGTCCATGACGAAGGCCTGTAATGCTCGTTTCAGCTCTTCGTGGACGAACAAGCCGTCTTCGGGTGAAAAGGCCGAGGCCACGACTGCCTGTCCTAATGGTGTGGCTTCGTAGGATTCATCGTCTCGAAAAATAAGAAGTTCTTCGTCGACTAGTTCCTGGAGAGCGGATCTCATGATGGTGTATGCGATCTTCTTGTCCAATGTGCGGTAAAGGAGCGTGCACCGAACATATTCTTTGATCGCCTCGCAGCCGGATACCAGTCCCGTTGCTACTGCTTCGAGTAAAGCCCTTTGGGGTGTGAGCGAATGCCTTAGGAACAAAAAATAGAGTTGAACGAGAAATACATACCGCTTGAGGCCTCTTTTCTCCGGTGCCAGGCAGCTCTCAATAGCTGGCATATCAGCGTCCAACAGATCGCAGACAGCCTGCATATCAGCTTTCACACAGATGAGGTAGGTTTCGCCGGCGTCGTCCTTGCCTTTGCGGCCAGCACGACCACACATTTGACGACTGTTTTTGTCAGCTTATACTCCTCATTCCAAGAAGAATGCACCTACAGCAAAGCTGGACCTACTAGTTCACGGCCCATGCGCGCACCGTTGATGATAACTCGTCTCGCCGGGAGGTTTACACCAGCGGCAAGGCTGCATGTGGCCACGAGGACTTTGATCACACCCTGGTCATAGGCCTGTGCAATTAGCTCCCGCTCTTCGGTGGTCATGCCAGCATCTAAGTGGTCATTAGTAAAGGTGGAAGCTCTATCATGGATATAAGAATACTAACTGTGAAACCCTGATCCTTTGATGATTGTTGTCTCCAAAGCCGGGTCCAGCCCACAAGCGAGGCTGCGCAGTTCTGCGAGAAGGTCGAGTCGCTTGTTCAACTCTTCCGGCTCCGCTGGCGGCATCGCTTCACCGATAGTCACGGCGTGGATTTGGCATGCGTGTCGGCTACCACAAAACACCAATGATCCAAACCCAGCGGCCGCGGTTTCGACTGCTAGCGCCACCATGGCATTTGTGGCGGAGTTGCTGAGCTGCTTGAAGGTAGAAGGTTCAATGGTTCGGTGGGGAGGGATAGTATCGTGCAAGGACGCAGCAGCAGTCAGCTTAGATGCCGTTTGGAACAATTGCCTCGAGGTTGCAGCTGGGTAGATGCCATTTTCATATACCAAGTATTCGTCGATGGGGATTGGCCTGTATGTAGAGATGTAGAACTTGGCGTTCATCCATTGTGCCAGCATCTCGGTGTTCTATATAGACGTTAGAGCAGTCTTTTACGGAAGGATTGAACCATAGACTCACAGAAAGCGTGGCACTCATCCCAACAATCTGGATGTCCTGCTGTAATAACAGCAACTTCGTGACCATCAATTCTAAGAGATAACCCCGGTGTTCGTCATCGAGCATGTGTAACTCGTCGAGAACCACGACTCCCAAGTCTCCAATGCTACACTCTTCAATCGCGCTGTTTATCAAGGAATTGGCCTAGGAAAAGGAATATCAGAGCTCTGCAAACAACACTGAACTTCAATCGTGCACACCTTCTCTATCGTACAAACGGCAATATCAGTATCAGCCCAAGTGGCCGTCGTCCGACTTCCACCAAAGAAGCCCGTCACCCTGATGTTCTTGTGCAATTTTTTCCATCGCCTGCGAGGGAATTTAGAGTCATCTTCATCATCATCCGGGATATTCCTTTCCACATCTTGCACAATGCGACGCATCCACTTGAGCTTCTCCTGAACCAAAGCAACGTAAGGCAAAACCAACAGCGCTTTACGCACTGGGTTTTCGATAATGCGTTTCAAAAGCAGAACATCCGCAACAAGGGACTTGCCACCGCCCGTCGGTGCCGTGTAAACCAAATGACGTTCACCGGAGAGCAAGCCCCTAGCCAGCAGACAAGATGCCTGCCACGGGTAAATACTGCTGACACCGAGTGCGGCAAAATTGGCTGTGAGAGCGGGCGGCAGACCATACTTTGGATTAGACAGGGAGAGCAAGGGATTCTGACTGGAAGGAGGGGCAGTCGCAGCCACAGCTTTTTGAGGATCATACAGGGATGGCTCCGCGCCCGCGCCCGCGCCGAGACGAATCTTGCTTGCGGTAAAGCGATGGACGGGGGCGGTTAGCAGATCTCGGGCAGACTGCAGCGGAAGTGATTCCAATATGGTGTCTGTATTAACATTTTGGTGGGGGAAAGTAGCTTGTTTTACGACTGGACCAGGTGGAATATCGGGAACCTGCTCTGTGGGCTCTGTTGAGGGTCGCTTCTGTCCTGCCACTGGCGCTACGTGATACGCCTGTCGGCGGACGATATCAATGGATGTCTGGAACCCGTGAGACTGGACTTGACCCGATGTCGACATGCCTGGAACACAGTTCGGCCCATTCGCCTGGGGAGGGGATAAATCCAGAATTGGATTTAATCAAAATTGGCCATCTCTCTGGATTTCAAAATGTTTGTTTTTTAATATTTGATGTTTGATGTTTCCCCATGTTTTTGTTTTATTCTACGCGGCTTAGTCTTTGTTGTTGCCTGAGGCATAGCAGATTATATCAGCCATTATGTCATCCACTCAGATCCCCGCGGACCCTGGGGCTGGGCCAGTGAGGTCTAACTTGATGTTCCTGAGAGACATCGCTGTGTTTTCAATAATGTGCGTATTGCGGGATTTTTTTACTCTTATTGCATGCTTCCATGCTCCCATGCTCTGCATGATTGAACTGTAGTTCCGATATGGCAACCCTGGAGTCCCTTGCTCGGGGACTACACCAGCCTTGTACAAGATCGTACTGATGTGGAAACTTATGTGGATGCCGTTCCTCCAAGCCCTGCCTTGATTAATGTCCACGGATTTGTAGAAACGCACAATAAACATAAAACCGATATTCGTAGCCCCATTCGTGTCAACGGATGCCTAGGAACATTTGGCGCAATTCCGTCCAATCTCGTGTGTCGTCGGGGCCGAGAGGGTCGGCTGACGATCTGGGGCCAACGGTGATGGATTTGCCTCAAGGCGGCTAGAAGACATCGTGGCATCCTCGGAACGTTCAACATACAACATCCACGTACGGAGCACATGTGGACTTATATTGACTCACACTCTCCGAGGGAAAATAAAAGAGCAAATTGGCTGGGGAAAAAAGAAAAAAAATATCCAAACATTATTTAGGTGCCTATCCCGAGACCAGGTACAGAATCTGAGACTCCGATCGGGGTGGCGGCGTCATGACGACTGTATCATGAGTCGCGCGTACCACCCACCTATGCATTAGGATTAGCAGGATTAGCAAACTTAGCAAGATTAGGAAGATTGTGAGGTTTCAGTATTGTATGGCGATCACACGGAATTCAGTCTCCATGCATCGTGGAATGTGATATATATCCCGATCTGTATTCTTATTTTTCCATCTCCCCTGGAAAAAGTTTCAAGAAAAGGATTCAAGTCAGGTTTGATACGAAGAGAGAACACCTTTCAGGCAGCATTTGAACCAATGGTAAAGGTTATAACTGTAATTGTCAGGCGGGATGGTTTGGATCTGTTGTTCCTCAAGAGGTCTGATCGCCGTATATATCTCCCAGATACACCTGATCTTACCTCAACCCTAGGTCAATTCATACTACTCTGTATGTCTACACATATACATGTAGTCATGTTATAACTATCCTCCATGAATTGACCCGATCCCATGAGTGGGTTTCCCAACGGAGTAAGCCGGCACGTTATACCCAAAGAGTTCAGACCTTCACGGTCCTCGGCCAGTTCTCGGCGGCGTCGATCGTCATTGGAGAGAAGGTTAAATTACCTACACATGTGTATATTATGATTACCCTGATACTCTGTACTCTGATCTTCTGCCCAAGTGTTAATACTCTCTATAGTCCCTCGATATCCGATAATCGCAAAGGACCCACAGTATTCTATTGTGCACGAATTTATAGATGATTCCCCCTTTTGCCTCTCCCGAGATTCATAGCCAATCCTGGTGTGTTTGGTCGCACAGGATCAGGCGAACGGGGAAAAAATCACCAAAATAGCAAAAATAGCAAATAGCCAAAAGGTACTGTCCATGTATCTTGTATTTTTATTTTCCAATATCAGTCCACATAAACTGTTCCTAGATAGAGAGCTCAAACCAGACCTCAACCATATAACATCATTTTTGAAGATGTTCTGATTATACACGTTTCCCGCATACCAGCATTCCTCTTACAGTGTGCTCCCTACCCCGACCCCGATAGAAAATATTCAGTAGATCGAGCAAGGGAGGTCCAAAAGAGGTTTTGGTTTCTTTTGGTTCCCATGTCCTTAGGGATCCGTCATATTAACATATTGGGACTAGGGGCCAGGTCGGGATCCTCGACACTCTCTTTTCTTTCTTTTTCCTTTTTCCCTTTCCCTTTCTTCTTCCCCTTCCCCATTCCCCGTTGGGCTATATCGCCTTTTTTTCCCGCTAAATCACCTTTGACCCGCTTCTCCCGACCCATATCCCTCCCTCCACTCTATCTACTCTTCTCTCTTCTCTTCACTCTCTCCTCTATTCTATTCTTCTATTCTCCTATTCTCTTGATTTCATTCCCTTTTTCTATTTCTATTCATTTATGTAAGTTCCTACTCTCCCCGTCTCATCAATAATTCCTCTATTCCCCCCCCCCACCCCCCCAATATCTATTGTTGGCATGTCCCCTATCAATGTTGTTCTATCCGGATTGTTCTTGATATCGGAACACCCTTCACCCCTGCAGAGAAATAAGATCTGACACGGTCCACTCTTTGTCTTTCCCACTTTTTTTCGGTTTTCCCCTTCGCAACTCCCTGAAGTTCTTCGTACCGGTGAAATCCCATGTCCACTTACCCGTATTTTGAGATTTTCGCCCTTCCCACTTTCAACTTGCATTCTCCCGTTGAACCTGTTCTCTCCCGCGTTTTCTAAAGTTCCAACATTTGAAGATTTACGAGTTCCCACTAATCACCCGCCACAGCTACCCTTTGGGCTTTATATTTCTTCTATCATCTTCTTCCCTATTCACTCTTCATTTGCCAGTGGATGACTAAGGAACTCCCTCAATGACCACTCCCAACTCTCCGGAGGCAGTGGCCGATTCGGCTAACGGCTCCGCCACCGCGTATGGCACGCGATCGAGAGGCCGTAATGCCCCTCGGCCAAATTACGCCGAGGACCGTGACCTGGACGCGGATATTGATCACTCTGCGCCAAACTCAAAGTCAGCCAAACGGAATAGTGGCGTGGCACTCAACAGCATTGTCAACGGCGCTAATATTGATGAGAAGACCTCATCGGCGCAACCACGTAAGAGCCTGACCAATGGCCAGACCGCAAATGGACCGGCAAAAGATGCCATTCCTGGCACCTCTTCATTTTCCGCCAGACCGGATGATGTGAATGGATCTAATTTGAGAAAACGCAAACAACCCGCCAGCACGCCAAATTCAACCCCCAACTCGGGCGGTGCTGTGAAGAAGATCTTCACCTCCCCTCCATGCGATTCGGAGGAGGGTTATTTCACCAATATGATGAGCTTCGAAAACTCCGGGCCCTATCTGCAAGATGGCCAATTAATAGCCGATGATGGCACCACTTTTGCTCTCAATGGTTAGCCTCCACTTCCTTCAAAGTGATTATTACGAAACTAATCATTTTTTATAGACCATGTTTATTTAATTTGCGAACCTCCGGGTGAGCCATATTATCTAGCGCGCATCATGGAATTTCTTCCATCCAAAACCAAGCCGGGTGGCTTCATTGAGGCGATGAGAGTCAACTGGTACTACCGCCCACGAGATATCCAGCGCCATTCTCCTGACACTCGGTTTGTTTTTGCTTCAATGCACTCTGACACCTGCCCTCTTTCTTCACTACGGGGCAAGTGTGAAATTCGACACGTGTCAGAGATTGAGGACCTTAGTTGTTACAAGAAGACGAGGAACAGCTTCTGGTACGACAAAATGTTCGACCGATATATCCATCGTCTTTACGATGTCATTCCGACTAAAGATATCATTAATGTTCCGGGAAACGTCAAGAAGGTTCTCGACGAACGCTGGAGATTCATTCTTGTCGAGATCGGCAAGGGGAAAGAATTGACGGGTGCCGTCAAGACTTGCAAGCGATGCCGTTTATACGCCGCAAACTCCGAATCAGTGGACTGCGCAGTTTGCAATTCAACATATCACATGCATTGTGTACGACCCGCCTTGACTAAGAAACCCGCTCGAGGCTTTGCTTGGGCTTGTGCCGCTTGCAGCCGTGCCCAAGAGCGCAAACTCGAGGCACGCAACACACCTTTAACTGGCAGCATCCGAACAGACGGCGAGGATGTGATCATGGAAGAAGAGGAGGAAGAGGATCCTCATAATCATGCGAATGGTATAGCAAACGGTACCTCCGCCAGCACTCCCGGAGCCGAGGAAGATTCCATGCCTCAGCCCGCAACCGTGGAACAGATCGCACAGGCCAAAATGTGGCCTTATCGATACCTGGGTATTCACTGCCGCGTGGAGGATGCTCTGGATTACGATGATCGAATTTACCCCCGAGCTAGCTCACGTATAGGAACTCGACACCAGGCACTGGTCCCCGCTTGGCCAGGCCGTGCAGTTGAATATGTGAAGCCACTGGATGCGAAGAAGAAATCAAAGGTTCCCGGTGGCAAAAAGGACGGCAAGCTCTCTAAGGATGCGCAGGCAGCAATGGAAGCTGCAAAGCACGAGAGGGCAAACCGACCGAAGTGGGTTCAAGATGAGCCAGTGGGCTACGTGCATCGTGGTCTGGATGAACCGGTCGCAATCAACGGAAAGCAGGCGCGCACAGCCGAACTTCAATTCAAAATGCCCAGTGCTGATCAGATCCCCACCCGCGGCGAAGATGATGCACCGGGCTCTCATTTAAGCGATGCGGATCGAGAAAAATTCATCGACGACTACATGCGCCAAGCCAAGGAACTGGCCCCTGGTATTGGGGTTGAGAAATACTCCACGAATTTCCTCGACAAAGCCCTTGCACTTCTTTACTCTGAGAGCTTTGATGTTCAGGCCGCTCTTGCTAAGCTGAAGAAAACCAACAAGTACAAGGATCTTAAGGAGCCACACATTCGGCCGGAGGAGCTCAAGCTATTCGAACAGGGTGTTGCCAAATATGGATCTGAATGGCGCAATATCATGAAGCACGTCAAGACTGTCCATATCTATCAGATCGTCCGTTTCTACTACATGTGGAAGAAAACCCCCAGCGGTCGGAAGATTTGGGGCAGTTATGAAGGCAGACGTGGCAAGAAGGAGGTACGCCGCCACAGCGTAATTTCATCCAAACTCCTCGACGACGTGGCCGATGATCATGATGATTCGGCCTTTGACTCCGAGAAAGCCATTGTCCAGAAGCGTGGATTCCATTGCAAGTTCTGCTCCACCCGCCATTCGCGACAGTGGCGCCGTGCACCCCTAGTTCCACCAGGCACCGTTATTCCGTCTGAGCCCTCAAACAAGAAAGACAAGGGCCCCATGCTTACCGTTGCGCTCTGTCTGCGCTGCGCTCTGCTTTGGCGGAAGTACGGGATTCATTATGAGGATGTTGACGAGGTGGCGAAGAGGATTGCAAGCAGCGGTAACAAGTCATGGCGACGCCGCATCGACGAGGAAATGCTCGCGCAACTGATTGTAGCTACCGAAACTCCGTTCGTGATCACGCCTGCTACGGCAACCACGGCTACCACGATGGGCATTCCGCTTGATACAAACCCTCGACTCTTGATGGAAGGAAAGGCGGAAGCAAAGGTGGAAGGAAAGGTGGATCTGACAAAAAAGAAGACCAAGGAAACACCCACTCCTTCAACCGCGACATCTGTTGAACCTATGCCGAAGAAGAAGATGGCCCCCGAGAAAGTGGTGGAAGCTCCACCGATTGTTCCCGACCCGCCAAAGGCCAAGACTCTTCCTTGTTCCATCTGCAGCCAAGTCGAACCTTCGGGCGAAGAGCATCTTTCATGTCGGGATTGCCGTCTTACAGTCCATCGCAATTGCTACGGTGTGCGGGATTCGCGCCCCGGCAACAAATGGCTGTGTGATATGTGCTCCAACGACCGCACTCCCTCGATTTCTACAAACTACACATGTGTTCTTTGCCCAGTCTCATGGACCGAGCACGACCTCATGGAGACTCCAAAGAACAACTCCCGGAAGAAGACTGAGCGTGACAAGGAAAAGGAGCGTATGGAGAAGGAGATGGTTGCCGAGGCGATCAAGCTTTATCGCCAGCGACAGGAGGCCGTTGGCAAGCCTGTCGGTCCTCGGGAACCCCTGAAGCGTACTGCAGGCAACAACTGGGCCCACGTGCTCTGCACCTTGTGGACCCCGGAGTTGAAGTACGGCGATGCAGAGGAGCTTGAGCCTGCGGAAGGATTCGGATCTATTCCCAAGGAGCGGTGGCGCGAGACGTGTAAGGTCTGCAAGTCAAGTAAGGGCGCATGTGTGCCATGTAGCTTTGCTGGCTGCAATGCTCACTTCCACGTGGGCTGTGCTTTCCAAGCACACTACCGGTTCGGCTTCGATATCACACCTGTCAAGAGCTCACGCCGCGACAGCATGCGAGCTATCCGCCTGGGCGAAGATATTGGAGCAGCAACACCTGCTGTTTACTGTCCAAATCACAACGTGCCGACTGTTCTGCACGAAATCGGTGAGCAGACGAACCAGGACCATCTAAACGCTCTCCAGTTGTTTGCCCAGACCTACAAGCAGGCCGATCTTACCCTTACTGGAACCGTTCGCAAAGCGGCGTACATGCATCAATCTGTTGGAGCTCCCCCACATCCTTCCACCAATGTGAACCGCCGGGCTTCGACAAGTACTACGCCAGCTTCTAAGGATACCCACAAAGTTCAGCCGGCTCTGGAGGAAGTGACTGAAGATCCGATGGACATCGATACCGACAACCATGTTGCACCGCGACCGGCTGCTTCTGGCGTGGAGACCAAGGAAACTAACCGCAAATGTGTTCGCTGCGCCACCGGCTTTAGTCCCAGGTGGTGGGCCATTGGGCGACGACCTCCCATGGCCAATGGCTCAGGACACCCTCATCATCCGCCTCAAGGTGCCTTCTCCCAACACAATGGAGATTCTTGCGAATTGGCATACGAATGTCATAAATGCCACTTGAAGAATCCGGCGCCTCCTCCACCTCCGCCTGTACCAGAGCCTACGCCCGACCAGCGGCCTTCGCCTTACACTGCTCAACGTCCCATGATACCCACTTCACGAATGCCCAGTCATGCAGGTCATCCAAGCCATGCAGGCCATACATTTTTGCCGCACCCACATCCACACCAACACCCACATCCTCCTCCTCCCCCTGGCGGTGTGCTTGGGCGGCCGATGCCTCCCGCTCACCCACCCAGCGGACTCCCCGGACCAGGATACACTGGACCATATGAGCAACGCCACACGCCTGACATCGGTCTTCGCAACGGGATGTCGCCGTCTCCTTATCCCCCAGCACAGCCACCTCCCAATCATATGACCAACTATCCGCCACCCCATCCCGCAGGACCACCACCTCAACACTACACCAGCGCTGGGCCTTCGGGACCACCGCCGCCGTATTCCACCCATCAGAGCCCGTATGGCCCTGTGCCATCCCGCTCGCCGCATCTTTCGCAGCCACCGCCGCGATCATATGCAGCGTCCGCATCCCCTCCAATCGTGCAAGCGACAACGATCAACCGATCACCCCAGACCTCGCTGAGCGCCCTCAATGGCGGCCCGCCTCATCGCATGTACTCTGTCGATCGTGTTGTAGCAGCTCCCTCTCACTCACCACCAGTGACGCAGGCACTTATTGACCCGCGGGGGCCCACCGCCACCCCTCCCACTCGACCGGAAGGTACACCACCTTCCCTGATGGGCGGGCCACCAAGCAATCGACACGCCGGGGTCAATGGCACAGCGGCCGGGACCGGAGCGAGCGCAAGCCCATCGCTAAAGAACCTTCTCTCATAACGATATCCCCGCACGAGTGCTCATAATTGAGTTGTATGATAGTGACCTATGTCCTTTCCTATTTGCTTTTTACTGCTACTGCATATGCATGCCACGGCATCCCATGAACAAAAAGTGTGTCCAGGGTTGGGCTTGTTTTCTGGTGTGTTTTCTCTTTGTTTTCTCTTTGTTTTCTTTTCTTTCCAGCCACCGAGATCCCGAGCCTTTCCAGCCGGTTGATCTACCTGTCGGCCACCATCTTTCGCACTTTCTGCTTTCTTCTTTTCTTATGTGTTTGTTATTTTTCTGGCGTCTTGAATTACGGCAGGAAAACCCCCGTGGAGTCTGTTATGGAGCGGTTGGAGGGCTTGATATTGTCGAAAATCATGGATTGCATGGAGTAGGACTGGCCACTTTATGATTGATATTACCATTACCCATTATTTCCAGCTAGATGTTGTTTAGCATTGCTACAATCTACATTTTCTTTCTGATTCTTTTACACTTGTACACTACCCATGCCGAACAACCGTACATTATCCACTCGGTTGTCCGGCATGGATTTTATTAGAAACCCTCTCAATGGGGACGGTAGACCTCGGAAACTGGCGATGCTGACAAATGCCGATCAAATTCCCCGATGCGGTCAGCTCGTCATAGGTATGTAACTGGATCGCTGTTAGCTTCTGGGAATATATAAAAGATACCTTCTGGAAATATTTGCATTGAAAACATCCATCGAACACTGTACATATCACTCAAGATGAGCGACACCATGCGAGCTATCGGTAAGTGAGCGCGGGGTTGAAGAACATCCCCCCACCTGATATCATCTACATCTTGGAAGCATTGAGGATCATACACTGATATCAATCCAACTGCCCTTCGTTTCACTGCCTCACTCTCTTTCCTCTATATTCACACCTCAAACTCCATACAATGTCAACACCAAAACTAACAAGCCCCCAGGCATCAAAGGCGACAAAGGCCCCGCAACAAGCCTCTTCATCGACCAGATCGCCAAGCCCACCGCCACAGAAGGCCAAGCTATCATCAAGATCCGGGCCTTCGGCCTGAACCGCATGGACCTGCTCCAGCGCGAGGGTCTATACCCCCTCCCACCCCAAGCACCCGCAACCATGGGCGTCGAGTTCTCCGGCGTGATCGAGAGCTTCGGACCAGACGGACACGAAGACTTCAAGATCGGAGATGAAGTATTCGGTCTTGCATACGGCGGCGCCTACGCAGAGTACATTGTCGTCTCGAGTCACATGCTAGTGCACAAGCCGAAAGAGCTATCCTGGGAAGAGGCAGCCGGAGTCCCAGAGGTGCGCACACACAATCAATCATCTATCTAGAACGAATCCTAGCTAACCACCACCCACAGACCTGGATCACAGCCTCGCAAGCCCTCTTCCTAATCGGCGAATTCCAATCCGGCCAAAGCGTCCTCTGGCACGCCGGCGCCTCCTCAGTCTCAATCTCCGGAATCCAACTCGCGAAAGCCGCCGGCGCAAAAGCCATCTACGCCACAGCGGGCTCGCAAGAGAAAATCGACTTTCTCGAAAAAGAGCTCGGCGTGACAAAAGCCTTCAACTACAAAACCCAAGACTGGGCGGCAGAGATCCAGACCGCTACCTCTGGCGCGGGCGTGAATCTAACCGTGGACTTCATCGGCGCGACGTATTTCCAGGGAAATCTGACTGTGGCGGCGCGCGACAGTCGGATTGTGCTGCTGGGCCTTATGGGTGGCAGTAAGTTGCCTGCGGGTGTTGATATTGGGGCGTTGCTGTTTAAGCGTGTGCGGATTGAGGGGAGCACGCTGCGCAGTCGGGATCTGGAGTACCAGCGGAAATTGCGCGATACGCTTGTTGAGCACGCGTTGCCGCAGTTTGTGGATGGGACGTTTAAGGTTTTTGTGGAGAAGGTGTTTCCGTTTGAGGGGATTGAGGAGGCGCATAAGTTGCTTGAGAGTAACACTACTAAGGGGAAGATTATTTGTGTTTTTGAGTAGACGCAACCTTCCAAGATTGGACATGGTACATGGTACATAGTACATATAACTAGTTATGTGGAATAGTATGTACAATATATTCCAAGTCTATGTCCAAAATCTGATACTTGGTGATAGCCAAGAGATCGACAAAGTAAACCCCACCCTTGCCATTTGCAGAATACAGAATATGCTAAGTATTGTAACCTTACGGAGTACTAGTAGACCTTGTAGGTTGAAAGTACCTAGGTACACATGCAGCAATCCCCGTCTCGTGTCGGTGATTGGCCAGGGTCCCCTCCCAATCACATGGAACCGATCAACAGCTGAACCGTGGATGACAGGGAAATTAGGCATGATTGCTCAGCCATATTAGCCATATTAGCCATATTAGCCATATACGTTCGTCCTGCCATACCACCTATATGTATATCTTTGCATAGATTTGAGGTAATACATATGTATGTACTTAATATAGATAATAACTAACACTGTGTCAAGTTAAAGATACTGAATGCATGCAATTGTACCTCCTGCAGGTGATCCATTTCTGGAAGTGGAGAACGGCCAGCCGACTAATCAGCAGTCGATGAGATCACCTCGGATTATTTGGTATTCCGTCAGATTTGGCCCCAAATGGGGCCCAAACGCCCTATCCACTCTTTTTTTTGCTTTTTGCTTTTTTTTTCGATCCTGCAGAGTGTGACAGTGTATTTATATCTATGTAGTTTTACAAGATGGTACTTATAATGTAGCATAAATTACTTAGCATGTTGTAATATAAGTAAATATACATTCGTCTACATATATGTCATTCTAACTATGGATATATGTATATATGCCCAGGTATTTATCTAAATTTCTTAGTTATCTAGTGCATAGCCACCCCAGTACCGCCCAGGTGCCCAGGTGTATTGTGTTACAGAATCTGCGCTTACTAACCCGCTGACCTTCTAGAAAAAAGAAAAAAAAAGAGAGGCGTCATTGGGTCCACTGGCTACGATCGGAGGCTCTGCCAGAGAAGATGGTATAATTTGGAGAATAGAAGGAGATATAATATATAGATGGTTAGTTGCTTATAATAGCGTAGATAGAGACTAAAAACATACTAATATTAATCCCTACCATGTAGGTAAAATGCAATACAGTAAGTAGTAACTGTAACCAACTAAGATTACTTGAGGATCATCCCGTCCCGCCCCAAGGCCTTCTGGAAGGAGGAAAGAAGCCCCTTCCCCGTGTTCGCCCCTCCACTGTCCTCAGCTTTGGGTGTTTTTGATCTTTTACAACTTCTTTATTTCTCCTCTTTCTTCCCTTTTCATCCTTTTCTTTGTTGATCTCACCGCTAAACGCTAACACGCTACACACCATGTCGAACTGACGCCCTTTTCCGCTTCACCCTTTCCTGTTTATTCAATTGAACCCCCTTCCCTCGACAACTCACGTGTCGCTCTCATCTCATCGCTCGAATCTGACCCCGGGGTGGAAAAAGTGGGTTGCGCGATCTGTCTAGTGCGACAAGTCTAGGAGTCTAGCCTCTGGGGGTTGTCTCGGAACCTCCAGTCCATAACGCGACTCGGACTGCCTCGCTGCAGGAAACAACTCCATTGTTCGATTCGGCGAACTGAGAGCTTGCCTGCCGACTCCTGCCATTCCTTCTCCCGACTTTCTTTGTGCCGATTCAGTCGGATCTCTCCCGATCTCCTATAACCTCCCCCAACCTCGCCGCTCTTTTTTTTTTCACCTCTCAAAGCCGCCCTCCTTCGTACCTTCCTCACTCCCCAGCCGAACGCCTCGGTCTTCATCATCCGAACCATATGCGAGACAGGAGCGCTCCGACCGACTCTTTCCCTTTTCTTCGCTCCGATTGAGTTCTTGTTGGTCTTGTGATTCCAGCGAGCCTGATCGGGGTCGTTCTAACCCTTCTAACACCATGTTTGACCGCGTGGATTGCATGGGTCTCTACATTGACGATCGAGTGCGGTCGGAGAGATGGGTGCGCAAAAATTCCATTGATGCTTTAACGATATCGTCCGCGGGTTCCCTCGCAACCTCCGAAGAACCAGATGCGCTGCAGGCGGATGTGGAGCAGCTGTTGTTAGTGTGCAAACAAGGTAGGTTCTGCAGACTGCGCCGCGTTTGATGATTTACTAATTACTCCCGGTTTTGTAGTTTATCTCTGCCACAACGGTTCCTCCTTTGCTACCAAGCTGGCCGAGCTCAGCGACCGGTCGGGCAGCGAGTGTAACCCGATTTTCGCATTCTTCGAGGTGGATTTTAGCGGCGAAGAGTCGAACCTGGCTCGTCGGAAAGCCAGTCGCGCCTCGTGGGCAGACAACGCTCCTCCGTCACCGGGCTCCATCCACCGCACTTTCACATTTTCAACACAGTCCGACGAAGCACGGGGCCTGTCCCTTCTATCAGGTGTCTCGAACGACATTCAGGCCCAAGAGGGGCCAAATTTGGTCATTCCCATTGCTATTCTGCGTCTTCCTGCTCCCGATGGACCTAGCGACAATGTGGCTGCCGGCCCTACCAGTCAACCAGATTCTCATGGACCTATCACGGTGGAGCACAAGCAGATTGCCCGCTGTCTTGATGCCGGTGCTATGGATGTCTTGACCACTCCGCTAGATCGGTCGCGGATTCAATCGCTCGTGGTTCATGCCTACCGTACCCGTAAAGCGGCCCAGAGAGAGATGTCCCGATTCCTCGCACGGAGAAAGCAGCGAAAGCTTTCTTGGGTTGGTGTGCATGATGAGCAGCCATATTCTTATCTAAGAGAAGCTATGGTTTCAAAGCTCATGAAAGGAATTTGCAACCCAGAAGAAGTCATACATGATGAATTCCAGGAGCTGGATCTCAACATTGATCCCGCGCGTATCCCTTTTATCAGAGAGCAGGTGGGCAGTTGGAAGTTCTGCGCTCATGAGTTTACCGAGGACGAACTGGTCTTTGGCGCTTGTGAGATGATACAGCATGCTTTCACTATGCCGGGACTGGATCCTTGGCGGTTGACCCCCGATGAATTGCAAACTTTCCTTCTCGCCTGCCGCGCCGCCTATAACTCCTTCGTGCTTTACCACAATTTCCGCCATGCGATTGATGTGCTGCAATCCGTCTTTTGCTTCCTGCTACACATTGGTGCCTTGCCTCCATATGAATCTATTGGTCAATCTCCTGGCCCCGAAACTCCCATCACCTCCCTTCTCACGCCATTCGACGCCCTTACTCTACTTATTTCAGCCATTGGTCATGACGTTGGCCACCCAGGTGTCAACAATTTCTTCCTCGTCAAACTCAACGCACCTCTTGCGCAACTCTACAACGACAATTCCGTCTTGGAGGCGTTCCACTGCGCCGCCTTTTCCCAGATTTTGCGTCGCCACTGGCCTGCGGCATTCAAGGACAATCAGCTGCGAAAGCTCCTTATCAGCTCCATCCTGGCTACCGACATGGGTGTGCACCAGAAGTTCATGCAGCGAATGGGCTCATTCCAAGAAAAGTTCTACGAAAACAACCGATCTGTTGATGGCTGGAAGCCGCAAGATGTCGATATGTACAAGACACTCGTTTGTGGATTATTGATCAAATGTGCCGACATCAGTAACGTGGCTCGACCGTGGAAAGTTGCCAAGAAGTGGACGCAAATCCTGCAAGAGGAATTCGCCAACCAGGGCGAGATGGAAAGGGAGGTTGGAATGGAAACCGCGCTGTTTGGCGGGCCACCCGAATTAGGGAACATCTACAAATTGGCCACTGGTCAAATTGGATTCATGTCAATATTCGCTCTGCCACTCTTTGAAGGCATTTCCGACCTTCTGCCGCAGTTGCGGTTCACTACGGACCATATTCTTCGCAATCAGGCACAGTGGCAGGAACTTTCTAACGAGGAGCTGAAGAAGCAAGGTCTTCCGATTGAGAAACGGGCCGAGATCACTGTTTCGCCTCGCTCCCAAAGCCCTCCAGCTCCTGATAGGCAGCTCTCCGACTCTGGAGATGGCGCAGCGGATAGATTCAAATCTTCCATTAGTTCACACTCTGGTGAATTCAACGAAAACACCATTGAACCGGTTGTGTCGCCCGATACCACCGGTCCTCAGATTGAGATCACAGGAACTCCCCTTGCGCCGGTGGCTGATTTTCCATCTCGGAAGTCTTCTAGTGCCATGCCGGACCTTTCTTTTTCTCCATCCCAGGAGTCCCGGAGTCTGCTCGTGGGTCTATTTCGACCCAGCTACATAGCCCTATCACAGAAACAAGCCCTGTTACCGACGATCCGGCTGTTCTAGCCGCCGTCTTGTATGCCAACTCAGCCTTCGGTGGTGGTACTTCTTCGTCAGGATCAGTGGGACGTGATCATGCGTCTGGGGCTGCCGAGAGACCAAGCAGCTCCCGCCAAGGCCTTCCACATGGTTCTCAGCGCGGCTCCCAACGCCATCATACGCACAACAGCTCGTCCGCCCGCACAGGTTCTAATCGCAATAGTTGCACACGGACGCAAAGCACCTACAGCAACACCATGACACCAATCTCTCCCGTAACTAATGCCTCGAGCTTTTTGGCTGTGGATAGCGGCGACGAAAAGCGGGTTTCCGGTGAAAGTGCCGCGCCAAGTGATCTTGGAGGACCTGACGACAATAGCACACGTCCCAGCACAGCGGACGCGTATCCTTCAGGTGTATCAGAGGCCGCAGGTGGTTACAGCCCCAGTCGTAGCTCTAATATCGCTCGTGGTCAATCTCGATCCGAAGATGGTGCCACCAAAGACTTCTCCAGGCTGGGAGCCCATGGAACCCGCAGCACGACCCAGTCAACGACTACTGGCGAGAGCATCAAAAATGAAATCCCGCCAGCGGATGACTCTCACGGTTCCCGCAGACTTCCTAAGCGGAGGAGTCGGCTTCGACTTGCTTTTTGGAAGCGTCGCAATCATTCGCACGAGGTCCGTGGTGAGACCTGATTGTTGCCATCCTAGTTGGTGCTTTTAGGCTTGAACGATCTCCAGCTGTGTTTAATGCTGCCATGGTCTTATGAACATTTCATTTTGCAATGAGGCCTGAAATCACACTGGTGTTCCATGAATTCACGACTCGACCAGTTGAAGAAGCCGGACTTTGGATTTTCTTTTTCCCACCGCATTGGCTCTCCTGGTCACGACTCTACGAAGTCGATAACGATACCTTCTTACCTTCTGCTGGACGTCTTGAGTTTGTCTCGGACACGAAAGCAAATGCAAAGCTTGTCTGAGCAATTACAGCATCAAGACAAGATGAGTTGTATGTTTTATCCTATCCTCTCTCCTCCCTTTGAGGCTGAGAGTCACGCTTCATCATGTATTCCTCTCAATGGATACTGGCATCGGTGTCCCGCTGCATTCATCATCTGATTATTTGCATCGGGCACGCCCACTTACTTCTGTGTGATGACCACGAATAACTGTTTTCTTTTATCCTTATCCTACACCTTCCTTCATCTCTCTTTTCGTTCTGCTCCGCCCTTGTGTGATGTTTCGGGCCGTTCTCTCTTGTCCTAGAATTCGGTGATAGGCCGGCGTTCTATTTTCTTACAGGAGTGGGGTTTCGTTGACTCGATCTCCATGGCCTTGGATAGTTTTTTTCTTTATCCTCTGTACTTGATCCTCTTGTGTCTTGTCTTTCTCTCTCTTTTTTTTTTTTTACATGGATTCTTGTTAGACTCTTCCGCTCTGCGCGATAATGAATGTGATGTGTACAGTGAGACTTTGAATTCTTGTTCTCAGGTTTAAACGATTGTAACAGGTGTTTTTTCCAAATAGTATATGGTAGTAAATGTCATTCTAGCATTTATGCCAGCACCATCTAAAAATGAATTTTCTATATAGAGAAACTGAATGTAGATATAGATACTAACTACATGAACACAAAACCCAATACCCAATACGTCCTACTGACAATCCTCACAACCCGCCTTACCCTCACTCTTCTCCTCCTCTTTCTTCTCCTCTTTCCCCTCTTTCTCCACCTCCTTTTGCCCACCTTGCTCCTTCTTCAACGCCCGATCCGTATGTCCCAAATCCCTCTCAGGAGCAATAACATTCCGCACGAGTGACTTGAGCGCTTTGACTTCTGAGGGAGGGAGGAATGGTTAGAGGAAACATTGAAGAGCACAGCTGGATATATATCCTGTCCCATGCAGTACATAACGCATGCATACAAATCCAAACCAAAAAGGTGATTAAACAAAAAAGAAAGAAGAAAAAAGAAGAAAAAAAACATACCAGGAAATCCCCCATCCCTCTTCCGATCCCACAAGATACTCTCCTGCGTCGTGATCTCCCCGTCATGCATCGTACCATGCCATATCGTCACTGTGAACACGCCACCGGTTTTGGGGACGAGGGCGACTTCCCCGAGGTCTGTGCTGAATGTTGAGAGGAGTTCTTGGGCGAACTGTTGATGATATTTTGTTAGTATTTGCATTAATATGGGTGGGATTTGATATTATGTCCATGGCCATGTCGACAATGGAAGTGACAATTGATACCAACTTGATACATAGTACATCTACATATCAAGACATGTATATGTATCAAGTATCCAAAACCCAAATAAAAACAACCAACCACACATAGACCCTCATAAAGATCTAACCAAAAGACCAAGACCTCTAACGATAGGCCAAAACGTCAAAAAAAGAGAAAGAAAGATATTAACGTACGTATGCGGCGCGGAGCATCCACCGGCACTGGGTGCAGAACTGGATTGAGATGCGGGGGAGATGGACGTTGACGGGGGCGATTTTGTCGCTAGTATCGGTGTTTGAGACTAACGGGGTCGATGTAGATTCAGCCATGATGAATGATGATGGGGCTTGATGCTGATGCCGATGCTGATGTGACTGGTGCGATTGGATGAGGGGGTTTGTGGTGTGTGGGTGGCGTGTTTGGGATGACGGGGTAATGTAGCGTGTATATTGTACACATGCAGGTGGATGTATGGGGGCCGTATTTCTGGAGATCAGCGTTGACGTGGTATGTTGTACTCCGTATATATGTTGAAGTTGAGGTCTAGAGCTGCCCAGGTGCTTAGTGGGATGGGGATTTAGATGATGTCAGCGGGGATGGGCTGAGTGCCCAGGTGCTCCAGGGCTATTTGACTACTATCTAAATAGCCAAATTTTAAAATCAATATACTTCTATGTTTGTTATTCATAATTAGTGGCTAATTACATGTACGAGTAGATCGATGGGGGTGTAATATTTTTAGTCAGTCTTTTTGATTAAAGCAAAATATGTATATAGATTTGCTTTTCGTTCATAATGCACAATCATGGTCAAAAAGTCATCCAAGGCGGTTTGGCCGAGTGGTCTAAGGCGATTGACTAGAAATCAATTCCGTTCGCGGGCGCATGCCGTCGTTGCATTCTTTTTGCAATTATTTTTTTGCTAAATCGGGCAGAACTGGGGTGTATAACTTTTCTTTTTGTGTATATCAAGTACTTTCTTACACATATATGTACTGGATTGGAAATAAATTCGCTGTAGGTATAGGATATACAAAATTAGTTGGTAGCATGATCTACCAATTGCCAATTTAGACCATGCAAGGCCAAAACAACGGGTCGAGGGCTGAACCCGACTACCGGGTTATCCCAGCCAAGCAAATCGCAAAACGTAAGCCATGATTGCCGGAATTTGGGGCCGAATTACGAATAGCGCAAATTTGATTACATCGGTATGGTATTGGTCATGCGAAGCTATGATACATGAATGGCAACTCTCACGCCCTGAATGGAACATAGAGGCTTTTTGAAGATTTGAAGAGAACCCGTAAGAAAAGGATACATAAGAGAAAGAAGAAGAAAAAGAAAAAGAAAAAGAAAAGGCCGATTCCAAACAAACATAGCGAGAAGGGGGAATGGTGCAATTCAGAGAAGAAGAAGTAAGGCGCAACAAGTACATCGTCAAGTGCACTGTCTGCAGAGTTCGAGGACAAAAGGAGACCGGGGCGAAAAGGGCGACAAAACACAACGGGACTCGTATGATCCCTGGAGGCGTGGAAGGTTTCGTACAAGACCAGCAGACGATTCTTTCAGGCCGATATCTTTGTACGCGCGAGCAATCGCAGTGCTTTGTTCGGGTCCAAGGGGTTGGTCGTGAATGGGTCCGGAATTAGGTAGAAGAAAAAGGAAAAAGGAGAGCGAAAATGTCATGGCGAAAAATTCCCGTCGTGAGTGCATTACATGACGGTGCAGCAACCTCCCTGTTGCTGAGGAGCGTAGGGATCCTCGCGCTTGTCGACCTAGGAAATAGAGTTGTTAGTTTCGACGGGCGCGCGCGATGTGGGAAAAGAGCCGGTCGCATACCTGTCCCCATACGGATGGAACCATAAAGTCGCGAGTGTTGTTGCAGTAACTGATGAGACTGTTGAATGTGTTAGTTGTTTGTATGTTTTTTTCAACAAAGAAAGGGTTGGACGGACGAGAGAGCTGCCTCGGAGACCTTGACTCGTGGACGGTCCAGATCCTCCTTGAGACGACCATTGAGCTCAGTCAACCGACGATATTTCAAGTCGGCGACACTCTGCTTCTTATTCTTGACATCACCGCCGGATCGAAGTTCGTAGGGAGCCATCGTGACGGGTTGAGCTGTGAAAGAAGCGCGAATGGGAGAAAGGGGGGGAAGAGGGGGGTTTTGGATCGGCAGGTATCCCAAGGGCGTAAGAATTAGGTTAGGGGCGGGTAATCAGGGGCCAAGACGCCGGACAAAGAAAAAAAGAAGGTGAGGGAGTCGGGTTCGAGTTGTTATGAGAGAGGGAATGGACAAATGAATGGGCTGTTTAGAGGGGATTTTCCTGAAGAGATCCCTGGCAGGTCCGTGGGTTTCCCTTTTTACCTTACACGTTACGTTGGTATACGTTATACTGGGGGAATTATTGGGAAGGGAAGTACCTGGTACTTGGGATGGGTCGGGGTAATACTATTGTTTTATAAGGTGGATACAATACACAGCTTGTACCAGGTACTTGAGCTTTGAACTCTGATGGGTTGTCTATTATAAACTACATTGTCGGGGTCGGAATGAGATAGTTGGGATTACAATATTAGTAGATGACTCGGGATATTTCAGTTGACCAATAGTAAATCATAACCACAATGCATAGTAATCGAATATGACACATCCTCGTCGACATAGGTGTCTACAATGTACTGTGCAGTACTTTTGATTCCTGCCTCAGGCCACTACACGTGATCGCCATCGCTTAACGCGAAGTGGGAACATTGGCGGGATCCAATTTTTGCTCTGGCCTCAACACGCACATTGTGAATCTTCCCCTCGTTATCGGGTATTCGCGTGGCAGCATCTCTAATCGCATTCTTCCCAGCTGCCCGTGTGTGTCGCTGGCTTCACCTAACTTTTTTTTCCAATTTTTAATTTCTTATCAGTCACCTTTGATCCTTTCCCAAGGGGCATCCACCCATCATGCCGCCCCCTCCGCATATTAAGCCTGAGAATGTCCTCAAGGTAAGCCTCGCTGTCGCTGTCGCCAGATACAAGATGGATCGGTTGCTAATGACTATATCTCCCACAGAGGGCCCAGGAACTCATCGCCGTCGGTCAGGCTCCCGCCGCCTTGACTGTCCTCCACGAACATGTCACCTCCAAGCGCACACGTAGCAGCCCCATCGCCTCCCTCGAGCCGGTGATGCTCCTGTTCGTTGAGCTGTCTGTCGACCTTCGCAAGGGCAAGGCCGCCAAGGATGGTCTTTACCAGTACAAGAACATCGCTCAGAACACCAATGTCGGCACTATCGAGGTTCGTGTTGATGATCGCCCTTAAAAAAAAAAAAAAAAAAAAGAAAAAGTGAAAAAAAGTGACTTGTCACTAACCTAGGATTTCTTCCATCTGCAGATTGTTCTCAAGAAGTTTATCGAACTCGCCGAGCAGAAGGTCACCGAGGCTCAGGCCAAGGCCGACGAGATCCAGTCGACCCTCGAGTCCACCGCTCCTTCCTCCAGCGTTGAGGATTTGGAGGCCATCGAGACCCCCGAGACCATCCTACTTGCAACTGTCTCCGGTGAGCAGTCTCGCGACCGTACCGACCGCGCCGTCGTCACCCCTTGGCTCAAGTTCCTGTGGGAGACCTACCGCACCGTCCTCGAGATCTTGAAGAACAATGCTCGTCTCGAGATCATGTACCAGTCGACTGCCCTGCAGGCCTTCAAGTTCTGCCAGAAGTACGCCCGCAAGACCGAGTTCCGCCGCCTGTGTGAGCTCCTGCGCAACCACGTCCAGAATGCTGCCAAGTACTCTTCGCAGATGCACGCCATCAACCTGAGCGACGCCGACACCCTGCAGCGTCACCTCGACACTCGCTTCCAGCAGTTGAACGTTGCCGTTGAGTTGGAGTTGTGGCAGGAGGCTTTCCGCAGTATTGAGGATATCCACACTCTGTTGAACCTCAGCAAGCGCCCCGCCAAGAACATTATGATGGCCAACTACTACGAGAAGCTCGCCCGCATTTTCCTTGTTAGCGAGAACTACCTCTTCCACGCCGCCGCTTACAACCGTTACTACAACCTTCTGCGTCTTTCTTCCGTGGCCCTGGCCAGCGGCCAGAGCTCCAAGAAGGAGAACCCCTCGGTCACCGAGCTCGAGATGACCAAGGCCGCGTCCTTCGTCCTTCTCTCCGCTCTGTCCATCCCCGTTATCAGCACTTCCCGCTCCCGCGGCGCCCTGGTCGATGTGGATGAGGCTCGCAAGAACAAGAACACCCGTCTCACTAACCTTCTCGGTATGGCCACCTCGCCCACCCGTACTGTGCTCTTCCGCGATGCTCTGAACAAGGGCCTGCTCCGCCGTGTGCGCCCCGAGATCCGCGAGCTGTACAACATCCTCGAGGTTGACTTCCACCCTCTGTCCATCTGCAAGAAGATCACCCCCATCCTGAAGCAGATTGGTGCCGACCCCGAGATGGAGAAGTACGTTGTGCCTTTGCAGCAGGTCATTCTCACTCGTCTGTTCCAGCAGCTGTCCCAGGTTTACGAGTCCGTTGAGCTCAAGTTCGTCTACGAGCTTGCCCAGTTCCCCGCTCCCTTCCAGATCACCCCTGCCATGATTGAGAAGTTCATCATGAACGGTTGCAAGAAGGGTGACCTCGCTATTCGCGTTGATCACATCTCCGGCGTCCTGTCTTTCGACTCCGATGTCTTCTCTTCCTCTAAGGCTACCCACGCCGGCAGCGGCGCTGGATCTGCTGAGAGTGAGGCTGGCTCTGTCCAGCGTCTGCAGCACACTCCCGCCGAGATCGCCCGTTTCCAGGTCGCTCGTCTCGCCAAGACTCTCCACGTCACCTGCATGTACGTCGATCCCTCCTACAACCAGGCTCGTCTCCAGGCCAAGCAGACCGCCCAGGCCCGCGCCATTGCTGGTGTCACCCAGGAGCACGAGGAGACCCTCGCCCGTCGCGTTCTTATCGATAAGAAGAAGGAAGCCGCCACCGATGCTCTGCAGCGCAAGCAGCGCGAGGAGGAGACCCGCAAGCGTGTCCGTGCCCAACAGCTCCAGGATGCTGAGAAGCAGCGTCTGGCCGATGAGCAGCGTGACCGTGAGCTCAAGCGTATTAAGGATGAGCAGGATCGCATTCGCCAGGAGGAGCTCAAGAAGCAGCTCGAGGAGCTCAAGACTGGTGTTAAGGGTATTGACGTCAGCGAGATCGACCTTGACGAGCTTGATGCCAACCGTCTGCGTGCCATGAAGCTGGCTCAACTTGAGAAGGAGAAGAACGAGCTGAACGACCGTATCCGTACCACTGCTAAGCGTATCGACCACTTGGAGCGTGCCTTCCGTCGCGAGGAACTCAAGCACATTTCTGCCGATTACGATGCCCAGAAGCAGCTCGACAAGGAGCTTTATGAGAAGCAGATCGCTGAGGAGCAGCGCGAGTCTAAGGAGAAACACACCGAGGCCGTTGCCCTCAAGCACCGTCTCGGTCGTCTGGTTCCCCAGTTCAGCAACTTCCGCAGAGAGGTTTCCGAGAAGCGCCACGAGGAGTTCGAGAAGCGTCGCAAGGCCGCCGAGCGCGAGTTCGAGGCTAAGAAGAACCAGCGTATCAAGGAGGTCCGAGAGCGCCGCCGCCGCGAGAAGCAGGAGCGCGAGGAAGAGGAGGCTCGTCAGCAAGAGGAGAAGGAGCGTGCCGAGCGCGAGGAGCAGGAACGCATCGCCCGCGAGGAGGAGCGCCGTCGTGTCTTGGCCGAGGAGAAGGCCAAGCGCGATGAAGAGCGATCGTCAGTATTCCCTTACCTTGATTTCACTTCAAACATTGATACTAACTTAACATACAGTAAAATGGATGAGGTCGCTATCAAGCAGCAACAACGCGAAGCCGAAGCCGAAGCTCGCCGTGCAGCCCGCAAGGGTGGATTTGAAGAGCCAGTCGAACGAACCGCGCCCCGTCTCAATGTCGCCCCACGTACCGGAGTCCCCTCCACCTGGAGAGAACGTCAAGCCGCCAAGGAAGCCGGTGGTGTCCCCGACGAGCCCACTCGTGAGCCCACTCGTGAGCCCGTCCGTGAGCCCGTCCGCGCCCCCCGTCCGCGAAGAGCCCGCCCCTCTCCGCAAGGGTGGCTACGTTCCTCCTCACCTGCGCACCGGTGCCGGTGCCCCCAGCGCTGGATCCGCACCCCCCCCCCCTGCTCCCCGCGAGCCCCGTGAATCCCGCGATACTCTGCCCCGTGAGGCCCCCACCGAGCGCTGGGCGCCCCGTCAACCCCGCGAATCTTCTTCTCAGTCTCCTGCTCCCGCTTCGGAATCCAAGCCCGCCGCCGGTGGCAAGTGGGTCCCTAAATGGAAGCAGCAGCAGTAAACGACCGAGCTACGACTTTCCCGTTAAAAAGTGTATCCAAGCTCTTTTCTTTTTGGCGCTATTCTCATGACCCTTTTGCATATTTCGTGTATCATTCACCCATGTTCACCCCGTAACTTGTTAATGGGGGCCTCAGTTCTGTCTTTCAGCTCGCTCGGAATATGATATAATCTTTTCCTAGTTTTTTTTGGTATGATTTGGTGGTCTTGTAGATGTTTTAGACGTTCTTTATGGAAATGGTGGAGTTAAGCCGATGCTAATCCTCGACGACAGCACTGGCCCCGCACAGGTACAGGTTGCATACGAGCATGCATGCGAATGTGGGTACCTTTTTTAATGAATTTCAAGCTCGAGAATAGAATAGAAGAGAAAGAATGACCCCACTACTAGTAATCAAATTGGAATGCATGGTATCACGATTTCAAGCTTATAAGTATGTAAGCTCTCTATGAACAACTAGGACGAAAACATAATGAAAGATGCCCTAGTAAACATCAATATGGATATCAGACAAAAGAATAAAAAATAAAAATAAAAGAACAGCAGTCTAGATTCTGAGCCCTGACCCGAGGAAACAGAAACAGAAACAGAATCGCAAAATGATCAAGTCATGAACATCAACATCAAACTTATGCAGCAGCCACTTCAGCATTAGCCCCAAACAGCTTCTCCCGCCATTCCCCACAGACAGCTTCAAAGCCACTGACTACGTCGCCACAGACCTTACCAGCCTCTCGGTCTTTGAGCCGACGGTCCCACTCACCGCGCTCGATCCACCGCGAACCCTCTTCGCGACTCTCTTCTTCCCGCCGAATGTCAGCGACGAGTTCTCGCGCAGAGCGTAACCGGCGCGAAGCCGTTGAAGTCAATTGTCTCGACTCGTAGAGTGTATCGCTTAAGCCACGAAGTGTATGTGTGATATCTGCTGTTTGCGAGATGAGGGCTTGGAGAGAGGCCAGGGGGTTGTGTGCGGGGGACTGAGGGGCTGTTGATTGGGAGTCTTGGTTCTGTTCGGGGAAGGGGTATGGGAGATTTGGCAATAAGCCTTCGTCGATAAGGGGCATGAGAGAGTCGATGGCGTCCTCCGAAAGGAGGGGGAATGGAGAGAAGAGGAGAGGGTGGACGAGGGATTGGAGGGCGCGGGTTTGGTGGGTGAGATGTGATGTGATTGAGGAATGAGCGGTGATAAGTCTGCGATTAGAGATTAGCTATCGGGATCGATGGAATTGTATTATACTCAGTGAACTTGAACTTACCTCATGGCACTGTTCTCAATCCCACTCTGTCCACCAAGATCTTTCAATGACTCAACCGTCCGTTGAATGACATGGTCGTTTTCACTTCCGTTATTCTCTATACCCCGCCGAACGAGACTCTCAATCTCAGCCATTTGGCTCTCCAAGGCGGGGGAGATATCCGCCTCCTCTAGATCTGAGTCAGGCCCATAATCCGAGCCATCATATTGCGACTCCTGCCGGCGGTGCTGCCGCAAATGATTTGCGCGGTATTTGTTCCTTGACGGATGGAGCGAATCTCTTTCTGGTGAGAGCGAAGGTGACCGGGAGCGCACGCTGTGCACTGATTGCATATACATATCTTCTCCATCACTGTGACCCATTTGCTGTGAGCCCGCGCGACTGGCTTCCTGGCCTGACGCATATCCATATCCATCCTCCTCTTCTTCCCATGCATCGGCTAGCTCATCCGCCAGATTTCCCAGTCCTCCGCCACCTGCATCAGCGGCGCCAGAGAAATCTCCGGATTCTCGGTGGGACCCACTCATGGCGTTTGAGTTATGGCGGGACGCGACGGGAGACGGAGGCGCAGATAATCGGGGTGTCCGCGGTGACCGGGGGCTTGCAACTGCAAAAGTATTCCCAGTTGTCCCGGGGGAGATGGGTGAGTCGTCTGTTGCTGATGGGTAGCGGTGTGAGAGTTTCAGGGGAGACGGAGGGAGGGGCATTGGATCGTTTGGAGGTATCACACGGGACCCCTAGATGGGTGGAAACTTTATTGGGAAGTTGGAGAGCTCAATTAGGGCAATATAGCCAGAGAAAAAGAACAAGCGATTGTAGTCCAGCTGTAGGCGAGGAACAGTTCTTTTGGATGTTCCGATAGCTCCGGATCCGAGTCAATATCGTAGTATAGCGCGTTAGCTTTGGAACAAAGACCAAGCTAAAATCAATTGATATATAGAACACGCGAAACGACCGACTTCTCAACTAAGGAGTGACTGCACATCGCCAGGATGCAGGAGGGGTACACCAACACCAACAACTCAACTTCAACCTTCACCGCCGACTTCCTCTCGTCACCGCCCGGCAAAAAAAGAACAAGAGCATCAAACCCCACATTATCATTCTCACGTTTACGATATCAAGATGAGTTCTATTGAACGCATGTCCCCATTGGACCTGCTGGATCTTAATCTCACCAACCTTGACCCTCTTACTGAGAATTATGATCTCGGATTCTACCTGAACTACCTGAACAAATGGCCCTCATTGTTTAGCACCGTGAAGGACCATGAGGCCGGCATTGTAGGTTATAGTATGTTCAATTCTAGCCCTAACTTGGCACATTATCTTCAAATCTCATGGAAACAGCTGACATGTTCCTTTTAGTCATGGGCAAGCTCGAAGAGCAACACCCTGCAATGCGCCACTCCGAGCACTACACTCCATGGCACGGACATATCACCGTCCTGACCGTCGCACCGGCCTGGCGCCGTCTTGGATTTGCACGCCGGTTGACCGAGCAGCTCGAGCGGGGATCCGACAGTAACGACGCCTGGTTTGTCGATCTCTACGTCCGCGCCGGAAATAAAGTTGCTTATGATATGTATAAAGGAATGGGGTAAGTGGAACTATATAGATGTGCGAATGCTGGATTGATCGCTGACATATATGTTTACAGATACTCCGTCTTCCGGCGAGTCGTTAATTATTATAGCGATGATCCATCCGGGATGTCGGAGAATGGCGAAGATGCGTTCGATATGCGCAAGCCATGCAGTCGAGATAAGAAGCTCGAGCATGTGAGAGAAAACGGTGAGAACTTCCCTGTTGGACCGGAGGATGTGATGTAAACCGTCTTTATTTTTGTGGTATTTGTTGAAGCAGCCAGGGATGGCATTCTTTTCTATCTCCCTCTCTTGTCTTTTTCTTGACGGAGTTCTCATGGCATGGAGGGCTTACGCAGGGCTGGGGTTCTTATGTATATGTTCTTGTACAGAATCAAACGTATGATTATTGCCATTTTCCGTCTAAGTATAACATGAAGTGCGCCGTGTCTCCCACTGACTGGATAGAAGTAAACAAGTTGCTGGGAGGTAGTGTAATATGCAAAATGATGACCAAATGATGAAGCTAATAGTATCTCTTGTATCTCTTGTTGTTCCAACATGTTTATGCCAAGAAACAGTTGGAAAAAGGCTGAAATCTCTGGGGTGGTGGGTATATTTTGTAAGACATCTCAGCAGACAGCAGCCAAGACTCAAGTCTTGACATGGAACTTAAGACCTGAGCGCAGAAATCTGACACAGGTCATAAGAACCGCAGAGGTAGTGAGACAGCAAGCGGTGAAAAGCTGCACTCCGAGGAATTGGTTTGTATCGGCCAGGATTGCACCACCGATGGGGGTACCGATCAACAGGCCTATGGAAGTGATAGCAAAGACCATGCCCATCCGTGTTCCCAGGTCTCGCACGTCTGGAGTCATGCTCGCCATGACCACAGGCGGCAGAGACACAAACCCGCCCGAGAAGAAGCCGTAGAAGACGGCAAGGATGATGATGCCAGGTACGGTATGAACACTGATCCAGACAAAGGCCAGGATGGCAGTGATGGTCACGGCGGGTGTGAGCATATTCAAAGGGCCAAAGTGGTCTGCGAGGAAGTTGGGCGCAATACGGCCGATGGCCGAGGCGGCGTTTAGCATGGAGAGTAGGTAGAATCCTAGGTTCGCGTCTACAATGCCTGTCTCTATTGCGTATGACTGCACATAGAAAAGGAAGTTGTAGAAACCCAAGAAACCCATGAACATGGCAATGGCGAAGATAGTAAAAGCTGGCTCCTTTAGGGCAGACAACTGGTAAAGCTTGCGCTTCTCCTTTGGCTGGAAGCGCGAGCGCATGATGCTAATAGAAATGCAAATGGTGCCAAAGCAGACGAACCCAAGTGCTCGAGTAGCCCAGGCAAAACCGACCTTCTTCTGCAACTGATCGAACATGATTGGGTAGATCACACCACCGACACTGCTGCCACTGGCAGCCAAGCCGTTGGCCAGGCCTCTCTTGCGGCGGAAGTACTGTGGCAGGATGGCAACGGAGGGCACGAAAAGGCAGCCTGCTGCGAGTCCGATGCAAACGCCCTGGGAAAGAATCAGGTGCCAGTATTTTGTGGCAAGACTGGTCATCATCAAGCCAAATGGTAGCAGGAATGCAGCGAAGATGATGAGGGATCGAAAATAGCCAGCATCGAACAGTGGACCTGTAATGACTCCAACCATCATCAGAAGGAAAGACTGCAGCGATCCAATCCAGGCAATGGTCGATGATGAAGTACCGACGAGCAGTTCTCGCTCATAATAGGTTTGATATGCACCCCATGTATTGATAATGCCCCTATATCAACCCATTAGCAATAGGATCTTTATACCGAGGAATATATACTTACCATGAATTGAAGAAAAGAAAGAATGAGCCCAAAGCTTGGAGCCATGTATTTAGCCCCGTATCGAATATCAACTCAGGCTCTTTCTCCGGAGAATGTGATATATTGTTGGCATTTTCCTGAGTGGCCGAAGAATCGGCGAGGACCTTTTGCTCTATATCAGAGTTAGTTGACACCATGTTGTTTCATGTATCGGTCAAATAAATGTCCCTCACGGGTGAGAGCCTGTACAATGATATAAAATCAAGACAATGGAAACAATAGATGATATAAAACATTTTTCAGTCGCTTATAAACCCCAGCTAAGCGGGGCTTAGGACCGAGCTCGGCCATTCGGCCATTCAAGAGATAATCCATGGACATAAGGGTTGATGTGGTGAATAACCGGGGTTTCTTTCTAAGTAGGATATAGTCATAGTATAGTTTGACTTGAATAGGCTATAAGTACTTATAATCTATCGAAATAACATCTTTACCCTCGCTTTATCGACCGTTTGTAGAACTATCAATGCTTATTGACCGTAAATTGGTGGCCGAAACTGGCCTAGTCACCACTAGTGAGATCCATACGCTAAGTTAGATGCAACATTGAGATTAGCCGAATCTGTTTTTTTTTTACCGTGAATATCCGTCAAGCAAGAGGATGATCCTAGCATAGGCGTCAGTAGGATGTGCCTGCAATGCAGGTGAACATAGAAGTATCCATATAACTTCCAAGGTTATATACTCCAAATATCGTATCAGGTCAAGTGCATCCAGATGTCGATATCGAAACCGCAACTTGACTTATATATGGGAAGATATGAAGCATACCAAATTCCGAACTAAGGCCATCGAAATCCCGGCAATTCTCACGTGGTTTATGCGCTATAATTGCTTCTTCTACAAAATTGAAGGATGTATATGCAAGAAGATAAACAGGTCAAATTATTTTTGGATATGTTTTTTTCCGTTCTAGATTCATGTACAAAGTCTCATTGATGTCCATGTTTCATCAAGGACATCCAAGTCTTTTTTTTCGACGGGTTCTTCGAATCCCAGAACTCCAAACGCTATGCTGAAACCCAAAGAAAAGCAAAAGATGGAAAACAGCCTTAGTGGAGAACGGTTGATACCGTTTTGACCACTACAACAGCTCCTCGCATGTCCAATCCTCATACCTAAAGTCAAACACTGTTAGATCTGGGCCCATTCATTTTTGACAGGGTATTGCTTACCATCCATCGGGCAGGTATCGGCGAATGATCAGGGGAATCTTCTTCTGGTTCAATTCCTTCATGGCGATCTGCAGGGGATCGGTTTCACCCTCGAGGTCGACAAGAACGGGAGCGTTCATACTATGCCAAATGTCAGCAAGCCCAAGCTAACGAAACACATGCGCAATTGTCTGTATCAAAAGCAACGTACCTGATCTGCAGGGCACGGGTACCGAGAACACGCGCGCGCTCGTACTTGGTCAAGTACGGGGTGGTGGTGCGCTGGTCGTTGGGTACTTTCTTCTCGCGCGACTGCTCCATCACTTTTCCTGCGTATCCGGCATTGGGATCGCCAGAGACAACGACATTGTCGCCGTTGGTGGTGGGGTAATCTTCTCCCTCAACCCCATCCTCGCCCTCGAGGCCCTCTTGTTCCTCCGGCTCCTCATCAAACACATCCTCGCCGGGCTCGTAATCGAAGCTGCGCACACCACATTGTTAGAAAATGGGTTTATACAAGTATGTGCGAACACATTTTGAAGCTGCCTGGAGGCGAAATGGAGGCAAAGCTCCTTTGCGCCTGGTCCTCGGGCAATCTGGTGAAGGGAGGTAGCTTACGTCTCTTCGACGTCGTCGTCGTGGCCGTAGTCAGACATAATGACAGTTAAACCTGTAGAGGAGCGAAGTATTTGTAGACCGAAGCGAGCGATGACAGACCCAGAGGTATGAGAGACAATTCGGGGGGGTCGAGGTGGTGCTAAAAATCCTGGGAGCGGAAAAACTTACTCTGTGTTGACCGTCACCGCCTTTTTGGCAAAAATAAATTTATTAGTTCGACATTCACGTCCGAACTTCCTCATGCCTTGAGGTACTTTTCCTTTTCTCAATCGTCCTTTTCAGGGCTTCTAATTGTGGCCATGAAAAGAAAGGCTTCACTGGAGGGGGCCACCACCCCCAAAAGACACCAGAAGCAGAATGTCCTGGACAATTCCGGTAACTTTACATCCCCAGGTAACATCCGATACAGTGATTCAATTACTGACGATTCTACAGACCTGATCTATGAGGAGACTCACTCCGATGCCGAGTACTCGGCTCCTGGTACTCCAAGCTTAATGAGCGAAGACATGGACGACTCTCCGGCGACCCCATTCTCGGCCACCTCTTCCCGACCTGACCGATACCCATCCGAGCTCAAAAACCTACGTTGCCCATTCGAGGGGTGCGATAAGGCCTTCAATCGTCCGGCTCGACTGCAGGAGCATATCCGATCACACAACAACGAAAGGATCTTCAAGTGTGAGGCTGACGACTGCGACAAGACATTCTTACGTCTTTCCCATCTTCAACACCATGTCAAGAGTGCACATACAGATGTTCGAGAATACGTTTGCGACTACCCGGGTTGTGAGAAGAGCTTTGTGAACGGTTCACGTCTTCGCCGACACATTGCTACGCACGATGGAAAGGACACTTACCGCTGTACCGAGTACGCACCTTGCGACGAGACATTCCGGAAGCACTCGACGCTACAGAAACATGTCATGGTTGTCCACTTGAACCAGAAGCCATATCCTTGTACTTACGTGGACCCATCCACCAAGGAGAAATGCAACATGGCTTTCGACAAGGCTGGCAATCTACGGACCCACGAGAGCAGGGTCCATTCCGAGAAGCGATTCACTTGTGCAGAATGCGCCGAAAGTATGGAAACCCAATCATCAGATATGGCCGACGACAGTACAAGACAGGATGTATCATTCCCCACGTATGCCAGCTTACAAAGCCACATTCGAATTGTTCATCCTCCCTCATGCCCCGAATGTCCATTGGTCTGTTCCACAGCACGGGGGCTACGGCGCCACCTCGAGATAGCCCATGGCAACGTCACTCTTGAAGAACGAAAGATCTTCCCCTGCAACATCCCCGGCTGCGGGCGCAGCTTCACCAAGCAAGGCAACCTGACTGTCCATGTTCGCACATTCCACGAAGGCGAAAAACGGTTCGCCTGCGGCGAAACGGATCTTTCAAAATCCAACAAGCTAGAGGGGTGGGACGGCGTCGGTTGCGGCAAGCGCTACGGCAACAAGCTGACACTCGAAGACCACATCCGCACGGCACACTTGGGTCTCCCGAATGCGAGGAAACGGCGTCAAGCGAAGACAAATAAAAAACCAGCTCAAAATTCCGTCTCTACTCTTTCCGCTCTCACAGGCCAAGGCTACGCCGAGGAAACAGGACGACAGATCGCCTGCTTTTACCCGGAGTCATGCCCACATCGTTTCCATCGCAACTACGATTTGTGGGTTCACATGACCACCAAACACAACTGTACAGAAGACGAGGTCCAAAACCTCTTCATGCAGCGCGCATTGCTTACCGATGAAATCGGCCCTGGAGTCAACTCACTGGGTATCTATGGCCTTGGATATGATCAGGATGGTCAGTCCTACCACCAACAATCCTATGCAGGAGACAACTCCTCGGATGTTGCTTTCGGCTCACAGTCGAACGATTCGTCCTATCTCCCTAGTCGGCCGGGCTTGGATTCTGATTATTTGATGCAAGACGATTTTTCAGCGAGGACAGCCGGAAACATTGATTCTTTGATTCCTGATGTTGATTCTATGATACCCAGTCGTAATCAGACGGCATTGGTTGACCCTGTTAATGCTTACCATGCGATGGAACAGTGAACGAAGGAAACTCTACGATGTTATGATTATCTAGCGTTTTTGATGCGTATGTATCCATGGACTTTTGCTCAAAGTCCCTATTAATCGGCAGCATGTTGACTTCATGTATGTTTAACTTGACAAATTCATTCCAAGGACCGGCTTCAAAGTGAATTGAAAATTAATATCCATCATCCATCTACATAGCCTTTGAGGCACCCTAGCATCAGGCCTGTAAACTAGGAGTGCCCTCGTCTTATTATAACTGGCTTATTCCTTCTAGAACAACCTGGATGCCAATGACTGAAAATATTGCATGAGATATCTTGAACTACCAGATACTTCATGTTGTGAAATTTGTGTGTATCCCAGATACGTCGGCTTCTTTCTAGCTCTTAATGTAACTATGTATGAATAGGTGCCATTTCCCATTTCCATCCATCTGTATCCAGCCGTCTTTTTTTCTTCCCAGTATCTCCTCCCCATCCTTTGCTTTCTCCTCCTTTCCTTCCCCCCTTTTCTCTCATTCTCCACCGCAGAGATTGTCAGAGTGGCCATCGGAGTACTCACTGTTGAACCCCACGAACTGCGCCAGCCAATCATCCTCATACTCCCCAACCCACAACCCCTCTTTCATCATATCAACCAAACCCCATGGGATATGTCTAGCATGGTCCTGGAAAGGAGGAGACCTGAGCGCAAGCACCCGGCCATCCTTCTTCTCCTCCCAGACAAGGGTTTGCAGGGGGTAATCCCAGGCAATAGCATTATCATCCCTACACCAAAGCAAGGGATACATCATCAAGCGCTGCTCTGCCCAGTGGTTCCGCGCACTCTGACTCCGGATTTCCTCGCGGCAGAGCTCGTGTGCCTCGATTTCACTTTCCAGGCAGGGAAATAGTGGCGGCAATTCGACAGGGTCCCAGGGGAATGACGGCAAACCAGTCAAGTGCTTGCAGAACTCCACTTGCACGGCATTTGCCACGTCAACACCGTAGATGGTGAAGAGTCGGACGATGTCGCAGAATAGATGGACTGCCGGGAAGCCGCGGGCGAGAGCTAGCCATTGGCTGATCCGCACTAATATGATCATGATTTGGTCGTCGTAGTGCTCGAGGTTGGTGATGCATGCGAGTTCGACACCCGGTTGGGTCGAGACCAGGACTGCTGGTGGTTGGGGGTTCTCTGGTGGCAGGAATCCAAGACTTTGGGCGGCTTTCGGATCGTTGTCAATGACGGATTGCTTCGCGGCCAGGGCTTTCTTGTCATACTGCTCTTCGACGGGGGGCCAGCGGTCCCAGTACAGTGTTCCTCTGCAGGTTTGCAGGCGGTATTCTCTGAGATGTTTTGTTTCTTTTTGCTCATCATCCCACCTGGGACGGGGGTCATAGATTGTATCTAGAGATGATTAGAAAGTCAGTCCATTTCAAGGAAATGCATGAGGTATTTGCAAACAGTTCTTGCGGCGATTCCACGCGGTTTCATAAAGCTCCTTCTTGAAATCTGCAATCAATTCCTTTGAGGCTAGAAAGCCATTGTCCATCTCCAGAGCAGTCTCGACTCGGTCGGTGATCCAGTAAACCGGCTTGGATGTATCACGCAGGGGTTCCACCAAGTCCCTGAGCATTCGCAACTCGCGAGAGAATAGATATTCGTGGCTTTTCCTGTACCATTCGCCGTCCTCCCAGGACGGTGGAAACTGAGGCGCGAAGGTAGCACCGCACTTGAGGTCCTGTGGCTCGCGATTGATGTTCCGAATTCTGTTTGCAAACATTGCTCGGTGTCTGTGCTGGGTAAAATAGTCTGGGATACTGTTCAGGGATTTCTGAAGCTTAGCAACTTCCTCAAATGGACCAAACAGCGAGTAAAGAAGATGCGCGAAAGATCCAGGGAGAGTGTCTGTTTTCCAGCCAGGAAGATGGGAAGCTATCGTATCTGGTAAATCGTTGAGGTTGAAGCCGATCACGAAATATGAGACTTCTTCCCGCAAAACATCGAGTTTACCACGTTGCTCAGATCTCCATTGCAGGAGTGGTGACATCTGCTCTTCGGATGAAAGCTCGGGGGGTGATACCGGTGCATAGCTCTGATGAAGATTCAATGCAGCGAGAAGATGTGGTAGGCTTTCATCATTGCTAGCCTGGGCTTCCTTTTGTGGGATTGTGTTTCTGCGCATCTTGATCGATGCAAGTGGGTTCGAAGGGATGTAAAGATGCCAGCGCTTTTGTTCCCGGACTGTGTGCTTCTAGAAACTGATTTGAGAGTCAGAGAGAGAGAGAGAGAGAGAGAGAGAATCGCAGTGATTGGCCGTGCAGAGGGAAATATTGAAGTGAGACGTCAATGCCAGGTGAAGCATAGCCCAGCGGCTACAACCAATCAAACAGGAAAGTGAACCGAGAAGACAAGAAGGACCAGACAATGAAGGATCTCAGATTCCTATTGTCTTATGTCTCTCAATTTTATCACAATGCTCTAGCCCAGGTGAGGGTGGGAGAGAAGACATACTGCGTACTTGTCCACCTTTCACTTGCTCTCTGCTCTGGGGTCACCCCACGAACATAGTGGACAACCTGAAATCCGAAAATGGAAAGAACGATTGAGACGTTGTGTGGTGATTGGTGCAGAAAGTTGAAGTGGTCTCATTGGGCAAGTGAGAAGAAGACTCTGATGGGAGGATGAGGAAAAGTGAGGAAAGTACGAATGAACTACATACCATGCTTCTAGCTAGGGAGGTGCTGGTTTTAATAACCAATACACATCGTCCGGTCGACAAACTAAAATTCTTCACCATATTCATGTCATCAAATGGACCCTGTACCATGCTTGAATGACATTTAAACAGAAAAGCGAAATGCCAAAAAGAAATACATGTATGCACATGGATTCAAAGAAAGACGGCCATAGCTCTTTCTCTACGTATTAATTTGTACTATGCACGGAGTACATACGGAGTACTGCAGAAAAGAATCCAGAAAGCTTGGAACCCTTGTAAGCTTGAAACTCGGGCTTGAACGAAGATAAGTTTCGGATTTTGAAAGCAGACTCCTATTCTCCGGCCCAAATCCGCAATAGATGCTGGTAAAAGAAGCCCCTGATCGATTACGGATTTCGGAAGCAAAGTCCGCTTCATTCTATACAGGGGGCCGAATCTGGGATATAGGTGTAGTGAATTTCTAATCAACATTCGAATGAAAAACATATAACTTTACTATAGTAGTTATCACAGTATCATACCGACACCACAAATCCTTCACCCACAGCACTTGACTAGACCTCCAATCTTGCAATGGCCGAGACGAGATCTTTCACTCTGGATGAGCCTCCTGTAGACTCGTCCAACTTGGTGGAAAAGCAAGATGGTACCGAGATCAGTGCCTCCAGCGATGATACAGATCTCAAGCGCCAATATCCTTCGGGCCTGGCTGTCACTCTTATCCTGACATCAGTGACTCTGGCATATTTCCTATTCTTCCTTGATCTTGCTGTGATTTCCACGGCTACTCCGGCCATTACCTCCGAATTTGACTCGTTGGTGGATGTCGGGTGGTAAGTTTATGTCCATCTATTTGTCTAGGCCACAGTTGCTGGTCATTTTGTCGTTTGTTGGGAGATGCTGATCTATCTTGTCTATTCTAGGTATGGCGGCGCCTACCAGCTTGGAAGTGCAGCATTTCAGCCCTTAAGCGGCAAGATTTACAGCCGGTTTTCTATTAAGGTATGTCTTGGTTCACGTTGGTTCATAACTCACGTATCGTGACCGCGCGAGAAAGTAAATTCTAACAAGATCTTCACCTAGTGGACCTTTCTCGCCTTCTTTGTAATCTTCGAAGTCGGATCTGCTATATGCGGAGCAGCGCATTCGTCGGCCATGTTCATTGTCGGCCGTGTTATCGCGGGTATTGGGTCTGCTGGGGTGGCCAACGGTGCAGTAACAACCATCTCCGCCGTCCTCCCGACACAGAAACAGGCGCTTTTTATGGGACTCAATATGGGTATGGGCCAGGTGGGCCTTGCAACGGGGCCTATTATTGGAGGCGCGTTTACTACGAATATATCCTGGCGGTGGTGTATGTTACTCCATTTCCTATGGAGATCTCTAAAAGGCTGAATTTTCTTATATTAGGTTTTTACATTAACCTCCCTTTGGGTGTTATCGTCGGCGGCTTCCTTCTCTTCAACACAGTCCTCGAGCCGAAGCCCAAGGATCCGCCTCTACAGATTCTTAGTTCTGTTATCAAATCTCTAGATCTCCCAGGGTTCATGCTTATTTGCCCGGCCGTCGTCATGTTCCTTTTAGGGCTCCAGTTTGGCGGTAACGAATATGCCTGGGATAGCTCAGTTGTGATAGGCTTGCTAGTCGGCGCTGGCGCCAACTTTGTTGTCTTCCTTATCTGGGAGTGGCACCAAGGGGATAATGCTATGGTGCCACTTGCTATGCTCAAACACAGAGTTATTTGGTCGGCCGCAATGACAATGTTCTTCAGCTTGTCTAGTGTTCTTGTTGCTGATTTCTACATTGCAATCTATTTTCAGGCAATCCACGATGACACACCCCTAATGAGTGGTGTTCACATGCTCCCAATCACCCTCGGTATCGTTCTATTTACTATGGTCTCAGGCACCCTAAGTAAGTGTTTTCAGTCATGATTTTGTCCACTAACCGTCGCTAATACTAAAAAGTTTCCGTTTTGGGCTACTATCTCCCATTTCTTCTTGCGGGGGTGTGATATCATCCATTGGCTACGGACTCTTATCAACATTGGATGCTACGACTCCGGTTGCAAAATGGATTGGGTACCAAGTTCTCTACGGTGTTGGAAGCGGTTGCACGACTGCGGCCGTAAGTTCGATTCTTCCAGGATTGTCAAATAATGACTCTGCGCTAATCCATATTTTCATAGCCTTATATCGCCATACAAAGCCTCGTGGCTCCAGAGCAAATTCCCCTCGCTATGGCCATTATCATCTTCGCGCAAAATATAGGTGCCGCCACCTCTCTGATTGCTGCAAACGCTATCTTTAGCAATAGCCTTCGTTCGGAGCTTCAAAAACGCGCATCACAAATTAGCGTTTCTCCAGACGCCATTATCAATGCTGGAGTCCGCTCTATCCGTGGCCTGGTGTCTGGCTCCGAGCTGACCGCTGTGCTCGCCGCCTACGCTAAAAGCATCGACAAAGTCATGTACCTCGGTATTGCTGTTAGCGTCGCTGTGTTAGTATTTTCTCCGGGACTTGGATGGAAGGATATCCGGAAGGTCAAGCTTCAGGTCATTACGGACAAGTCTCCTGATAGCGGGGATAAAGATTCGGCAGTGGTTGGCGAAAAGTAGGGTCTTTGTTCAGCAATAGCTTGCTTGGGGAAGGCCATATTAATCTTTATTCATCTTGCTCACATCATCTCTGGCTGATGCGGTTGCATGTCTACCGACGCTGTGGTCAAATCGTTGTTCCACTGTGGTTTTTATCGGGGCAATTGGCTGTTTTGAGGATGGACCTTGTCCGGACAGTTTATACAACATTTAATATCACTCTTTTGTCACATTTCTCACCGCACCATAGCAAGTTGTTCGATGAAAAGACAATAAAGGGATGCGCATTCACACCTGGGCATGGGGACCACCTGGGTATGTTTTCTGTCCTCGTATATTTCGTTCGACTGGTGCCTCTGACCTCCTTTTACACAGGGTCGAGACCTTCGACCCAAAATGGGTCGTGCGGAAGACTACCGGTTAGTGAGGAACGAGACCTTTAGGGACAACAACACCAAAGCACGCGATGTGACTCTCAAAAATTGCCTCGAGCTTATGCAGGTTTAGAAGATCAAGACCTGGAATCTTTCACCAAGCGTGGCGTAAAAGCAGGTGCTGCTCCGCTGTTTGTTCGTGATATCGGCCATTGGGTGAATCGACGTCGAGAAAACACACTCTAAGAACGATAATAATCTCGATACAAGATATAGTGAATAATCGTAGCGAAATCAGCTTCCGCTCAAACGGCTACTTTTTTCAGTCGTGTCCCACTGCCAAAACAATAGTGTGGACAATTATGACTCCTCCAATGTAGAAATGCCCGTTATAGGTATTCTCTGGTATTTAACCACCTCATTTCCGTTCTAAATTAACTACAGTAAACATGGAAGTACCTCGTTGACTGAGGGGTGTGATGTCGTGCATGTCATTGTGCATGATATTGAAAACATGGTCACAAGAACAAATGATAAATCAACGAAAAGAGAGAGCAATAATATATCAATGCGAATACATCCGTTTCAGATAAAAATAGGCAGCTCTGTACCGTTTTCTTTCCCACGTCCGGCATCAGAATGATCTGAAATTACCTTGGGCCAAAAATACCAGAGAAGGACTGAAATAACGATGGTTGGGATAGTGCATACCCAGTATATCCACAGCTTGTCCGAGACACCCCAGCCCGACTCTAGATCGTAGTGGAAGAATGACATACTGAACACTGCACAGAGGAATGTTGGTGGTAAGAATGTCGTGGTAACAAATGCTAGTGTCTTCATTGTAGCACTGTCCGACCGCGCAGCACGGCTAATACCAACAGTGACACCTGTGTCATGTTGAGCGACAATGTTGAATGCCAGTTGAATTTCGTTCTGTAGTCGTAGCTGATTTGATATAGACCGGTGCCGTATGCTGCCGACGTAGCTCTGAAAGAATGCCAGCCGCCGGGAGATATACTGATGGGCTCTGGGTTGAGGACCCGCTAGTATGTTGGTATAGATTTCATGCTGTTTAATAATATGCTCAATGTTTTGGACCGCCACATCGAGTGTTTCGGTAACATGGATTGCATGCCGAGCGATGTCATGGAGCTGTCTGTAATTAGGATTGGGCTTTTGGTCTGCGGGCGTTTTGGCTTTCTCAATATCCCGAACATATTCTCGGATGCCCCATACTGAACCCTCTTGAAGCCGCCCAACTTCTCCTAAGATGTCACTGTACATCCAAAATGGATCATTGAGTTGTGTCTGATTCGGATCAAACAGTGGAGTCGAGAGGTCATCGGGGGGATCAAACAGTAGAATGCCAGTCTGTTGAGTCGACTTAAACCATCGCGTAAATAAATTGACCTTAGACCAGTGATATTTCATGCCCCTAGCAGGATGTTTGACTTCGAAAGATGCCCAGGTGTCTAGTAGTGTTTGTTTAGTGACACCACCCTTGTTATATCATAAGGACAGACATAAAGCAGACTTACTGAACCCAGCACCCCCGCATGATCTGTATCTTCGCATCCAAAGTAGCCGTTGGCATTATCAAGATGTTGGGCCCACCAGAACTCAGGAATGCAAAATGTATCTTTGAACACTTGACGAAGCTGGCAAGATCTGATAAGTTTTGCACTCGCCGCTCTGTTCATGTTAGTGTTAGTTATAGTATATGTTCTTGTGGGCTAATCGAACCAGCAGGACTCACATAACATATACTCTGGTATTTTCTAGAATAAATGAGGGTGGAAGTGCCGGGTTGTCTGTTCGCAGATCTTCTAGACGAGCTTCACTTTTGCGCCACGCATTTTCTATGTTGTTAGTACTTTGGCATTACTGAGCAGTTGAGACATCTACCTTCATTCCATTGCCAAACTGATAAACCAGGACTTGTTACATGGGATTCCGCCATGGTAGTACTGGCGAGGTCATCAAGCTCAGTGTGTAGGAAGGTTCGACCATTAAGTCAAAAGATCCTAGGGGGCTGTTCTGCGTTGACGAGGCTGTGTTGAGCGCTAAAATGCAAATATTGCATGGGCGGCTAGCTATGCTCACGCTGCGAATCATATCCATCCACGATTAGCATGAGTACGAAGCGGTATACATGAGTAGTACCTGGTCCTTATTAGTAAGTCGACCTAAATTCATTAGTTACGGGTTTGGGTCGACTTATTAGGTACAACTATTGGGCAGCCTTAATCGTGCTAAATATGGGCCAATTACCGGTGCCGTAAGCCTGACGCCCGACGATCATCATGCAGGCGGCACTGCACTCACCAATCGAAATAGCGATAGCCCACTCTCCTTTCGGGGGTTTGAGCCGCACCGGGGTGCGCGAAAGTACAGGTGGGAATTTCATTTGAATCCCCCGCGAGGTTGTGAGACAGCCTTCTATTCCGAACGTTCCTTCCAGTTCAATCAAGAGAATAATGCCCCCAAGGAAACTGGACCATGATGCCTATACGGTCGGTTGGGTGTGTGCCGTCGACCGTGAGCTCAATGCTGCCCGGGCGCTGCTCGATGAAAAGGATGAGAATTTGGAGCCATTTCACCGCACAGGAGTATTTCCAACGCAAATGGAAAATGTGGTTCGGCGATGCAAATTCTGAAATTGCCTGGGTTTGTGTCTCGTATCTTTCGCTGGTCACGCCCAATCCAGAGAATGACACAGAAACACCAGACAGTCAATGGTCATCTTTATGTGACTATGCCTCTTTGAGTTGGCAGTACCATGCACGGCTCGATCCAACTGACTTACACTTTTACCCGTCGTTTACTCGAAGATCCATCTGTCGTCACTCACTGGGATAGAACAACAAGCCCTCGTTGTTTTTGTGGCGAAGGCCACTCTAGTGGATGCTTTATTGCTCCGACAAACGCATCCCCCTTGCATTTCGCTGTCTATCATGGGACAGAAACCTCGGTCAAACTATTGCTTGAAAAGGGCTCTAATTGTAAGTGATACCAGGCCATGTCAGAGTGACTCTCAGTGGCCTTATCCCAGAACTAAACCAGATGGTCTGTGTACAATCTATAGACCTGGGAAATGAGCAATGGTTTGAAGATGTACTATGCCCACGACATAAGACATTCCCCACTTGGCGCCTATTGCGGGAGACAAGCAACGATAAGCCCTGCCAAGAAACCGCCCGATCTCAAGTATCGCTCACACTCTGTCCATCACCGTTTCTCTCGAGGCTATTCTGCAATATGTTCGATTTCCGAGCTTGGCAGGCTGGTTTGTTCCTTTTGGTAAACCCTGAAGCTCGGCGTTTTATACATGCACTGTTGAAGAATACGAAAAGGATGCTCAAGAGTCCCTACAAGCTGGAATTGAGGATGAGGCTTTTGATGCGCAGGTGGCGGAAGAAAGCGGCTATGTCCCGGAGGAGGATCAAAACCCATGGCCGGGATTTTACTCAGACTACCACATGCATCTAGTCAGAGAACGCATCCGTATCGTTGATGAAACAACGCTTGCTTCCGTGGGCCTCGACGCAGGGAAAGTTCTTGTGGTGGGTTGACGAGTGCGGACGGGCAATCCGCTACTCTCGCCTAGAACTGGAGGATGCATCGGACATTGCAAATGTCTCGAATCCCATGCTCAACGAACATTCGTGTTGGGTTAATGCGCAGATCGGCCAATCCTATGAATGGGGTGCGCCCTTGGGACCCCCCTACGGCGAGAATGGTGAGGACACTTCCGAGTAGCAAATTTCATCTTGATGGACCGAGGGAGTAGTCTCAAGTACAAGACTTTTCTAGCCTACATATCTGTAGCATTAGTAGTAGTAACTTTGCACTAATTATCCAGAGATAGAGGAAGATGGACCTTTTTATATGGTTTTAGTTCTAGAAAGATGCACAGATTGACAAACAACCTAGCACAGTGCATGCATGCTCCACATATTTTTATAGAGAGCCTCGTATCAATCTAGGTTTGATATTCAAAAAAGGAAAAGTCGACCTCTGGATGTACCTTGGAATAACCTTGAAAAACCTTATTTCTCCAAACAGGCATACCTAGGTAGACGGCGATATTAACCGTGGAACCCCTACGCACGTTCAAAGTTTTAGAAGGGGGGGGGGATAAAAATAGAAAACCACATCTCTACTCCGTACTCCGTACATATCCATGGATGTAGATCCCTACCACATGGTGATCTACATTATTTAAAGTACCTATGACGCGTTCAGCCGGATCTTCACGGGGCCACGCTGATCCTTTGCTGCAGGCCAGAAAATCATGAATCCATTTGATCTATGCCAAGAATGCGACCGGCTTATAATACCTGGGCATCGCACGGAGTACATATGTACGGAGTAATCCATATTCCGTACTGAGATATTACATACATTGTAGTATACACCACCACACGTGCAAAGTAATACAATTGGGTTGTTCCAAGTTTCTCTGGGCAAAGATTGTGGCTAGATTGCCCTAATGCAGGAGTGAAAAGGCCCGTGTGTGAAATCTCATGAACTGCGTCCAGGTCCCGGTGGGGTAAATTGAAACAGGAAACAGGATTGTTACCTAAATTGTACGATGTACTTCGTATGTTGTAGGCGATAATACAACATATAATCTATTAAATAATATGTGGACGTCAAACAGGGTTCCCCAGCGGTGAAGGGATTTACGTGTGTTCAAGCGGGCCAGATTATCTGTGGGCCCGTAGGAAGGCAAGAAAGGCAACGTGTGAAAATGCTGTGAAAGAGTCAGATTCAAAGTGGCAATGGAACTGCAGGATTTGCCAAGCCATGTTATGTTCACCCCCGGCTCTCCTGTTTAGATCCAGTGGCGGGAATTAGAAGCCTTGGCCACGGGGATTTTTATAGAATTAAGGGGGGAATTGGAAAAGGAGATATTTAGACATATATAACTTGACATATAACTCAGGGGAATAATAACATGCCTTATACTTCCGTACTCCGTTGCTAACATAAGACATCCAGCTATATTTATCCACCATGCATATTACTAGCCTACTTATAGTCGGGTTGTCTCTCCACCGATAATCCAAGAGGGTCCGAGATGACGCCAATGAAAAACCTTTGTTAAAGGTCTCAGTGTAAAGAAAAAAACAAAGCAGAAATTGGGCTTGGCTTCGGTTTTTTTTGGAGTGTCACAAGAGATAATATAAGTATATTATTGGTGTAGCGTGGAGTGTAGCGTGGAATGTCCACGGGTTTAGTCTCTCGCCTCTCCGGGACTTGCCCAAATGACCCACGGGAGTTCTTGGGGTTCTTGGGTTCTTGTCTCTCTGTCATTTCTGTCTCTTCTCTTCATACCTATTATTCCAGTTTATCCCAATCCTCCTCATTTCTCCCCCTCTCTCTTTTGTCTCTGAAAAATAAAATAAAACCAAGGATCGTTAATCCCGGTGATTAGCAAAGACGTATCCAGCTTGTAACGTCATCTTCCTTGGCAGAGAAGCTCGATTTCCCTAAACTCCGAACCCAACCACTCGTTCTCTTCATTCTTATTCTTCCAGGTTCACCCTCGTGTGGATTTTATGGATTGATCTTTCTCACCGAATTCGGTCCAGGCGCAGTCGCTATTTGACAGTCTCTCGTTCAGCGCAATTGATCTGCCTCGGCCAGTTTCCTTTTAAATACCACCACGCCCCCAGCCTCTCTCCTTACTTTCAAGACGTTTCACAGTTTCACAGTCGAACTCAGTGAGGGGTAATAAAGACTGAGGTTATTGTCTAGCACATCACGTTCCGACGTCATGGGTCGTTCGCGTGGTAAGTCGATCCTCCCCGGGTATGTCGGGAATTGCACTAGAGCCCGTTATTGACCCTCCCTTGCGTTTTACTAGTCCGCTCGTTTATATCCAGTTTTGGGGGTCAAAGAACAATGCTTCTGGTAAAGAAAGCAAAAGGTCGTCGAGCAACGTTACGCCAGTAGCCAACGTAACTCCGTCCGATACACCACCCCAGTGGCAAACCCCTCCCGATACACCATCTCCTCCGACCGAATCATCCCCTGTGAGCTCTGGACCAAGAGGCGGAAATGGCTCGCGACCGGCATCCATGATCTTCTCACGCAACCCGCCTCTCATGCAGCAGGCGGGCGATACCCCGCCAGAGTTGTCGCCAATCTTTTCATTCCTCAATATCCACACGAACAAGGTCTATCAGGAAGGATACTTTTTAAAACTGAATGATCTGGATTCTCGTAAGTGATCTCCACCCTCGGCGCCTTGCGGGGAAAGGCGGGCTAACACGTGGCAGATGGACGGCCTTCTGGTGATCGGCAATGGGTGGAATGCTACGCACAGCTGGTCGGAACTGTTCTTTCACTATGGGATGGCGCTGCGCTGGACGCAGCAGGTGGGGAAGAGGTCCCGGCGACCTTTATCAATTTGGCCGATGCGTCTCTCAAGATGGTAAGCCTCAACCTCCCAAAATTGTCAGGCATGAACTCATCAGTTACTCGCAGATCGAGACTCTTCCGATCCAAAATGGAGCTATACAACCGTTGAAGAACGTACTCAGCATTTCTTCCGCGGGCAAAAATCGCTACCTCTTGCATTTCAATTCTTTCAACTCCCTGACCCAATGGACCGCGGCGATTCGTCTCGCTATGTTCGAACACACATCTTTGTACGAAGCTTACACCGGTTCTTTGATTGCAGCAAAAGGAAGAACTCTCAACGGAATTAACTCTATCCTGGCACCCACCAAATTCAAGTACGAAGATTGGGCGCGCGTGCGATTTGGAGCAGGAACCCCGTGGAGACGGTGCTGGTTTGTGATCTGCCCGCCAGATGAAAAAGAGCTCCAAAAAGCGCGGAAAATCATGAAGAAATCGGCATATGACCGCTTGACAATGCCTGTCACCGGAAACATCAAGTTTTACGAGACGAAGAAGACGAAAAAGGCGATTCCTATTGCAACAGTTACTCAGGTTTACTCGGCATATGCGATTTATCCACAATCTAAGGCTCTAATTGATTCATCCACCCTGGTGAAGTTGGAAGGACGGATTACCACCCACTCGCCTGATTCTTCCTCGGAAGGACTGGTCTTTATCATGCCTGAGCTACATGCTGCGGTCTCTGGATTCGAGATGATGCTGCGCTTCCTTTTCCCGATATTCGACACTTTCAATCTCTATGGCCGTCCTACTCGCCTAGTAGCAGACACTAATCACATTAAGAGCATCATGTTTGCTTTCCCTAAGGAGCGACGTTACGGTTATCTTGATGTGCTGGACATTGCCAGTCTTCTTCAAACCCCGGGAAGCCAAGAATGGAGCGAAGCTCAGTGGAGAAAACAGCTCAAAGAGGCAACACAGCGCCGAATTTCGTCTGGCAGGAGCAGAACTAATAGCGTCAACAGCGTGAGACCTCGCTATCGCTCGATGTCTGGCCGAAACAGTGACCTTCCTATGGACTCTCGCCGCCAGTTTGCTGGTCTCGAGAACAAGCCTGAATTCAATAGTTCTACTGAGGCTATTATTCATGAAGTTCCCCAAAACGAGGGCTCACCCGTTCTGTATCACAACCGCGGGGGTTCTGATACCACGGGCTTCAACACTGGCTTTAGACCAGGCCATGGATCTTTAGTTGAAAGCTCACCTGATTCTTCTTCTCAAGATCTGATGCACCGTGGGGTTCCAGCGGTCGCTCCTATCGCTGAGAGCACCAGCTCCGGAAGCGACCCAAATCTCGACCGTTTCCGAGGCCCACCGGTCGAAGAGCAGCTCCCTCCACGCACTCCACCGGCTCCTGTTGAAAACCCACCCGCATTTTCGCATGGTCCTAAAGAGATGCCCACTAACCGGCCAGAGGCTTCTTCGGAGCAGAGGTTGGCAAACAACCGGATGTCTCATGCAACGCTTTCTCAACTCACATCGGTCGGAACGATGGGACTGAGCGGGGCAGCCGCCGGTGCTGCATGGAAAAGCCACCAGGCACAGACTCTGAACAACCAACAGCCCCAGGACAGGAGCTTCGACAGTGCCTATGCTCCTGGCCCGGTTGTGTCCACAAACTCTCTTGCAACTTCATCAAGTGATGAGGGCTTAGGTATTGCACTCCCGGTTCGACCCCCCCAAGTTCCGGAGCATCGCCCGAACACACCTAGTACTACCGGCAGCCCGCAGCGATTTACTCCCCAGAAGTATTCCCCTCAACGGATGCAGCTTGACTCCAACAAATCCGTGCGACGCAAACCACTCCCCCAGCAAAACCTTTTCGGGACAGAGCCACAGTCACCAGGCGAACCGAGTTATGATGATCTTCGCCATACCCTTGATGAAGATGCGCTGAATAAAATTGCTCCTCATCTTCCTTCCCCAATCTCATCTGTTGGAAAAAGAAACGCAAATGAGGACGAGAGCATTTATGATGATGCGTCGACGGTTTCGCCTGACTATGCTAGCACCCACGGTTCTGTCTACAGCAAGAAATCTGTCGCGTCCACCAAACCCAGAATGGGCGTTATGAAAACTGTGGGAGTCCCAGCAGTCAAGGATTATGTCATTGGCGATGCTCATTATACCATGGATAAGCCCCCGACCTCGAATCCGGATATTCCCTCTGTCGACTTCGGCCCAACTATGACTTATATGCCTACTACCGGGCGCCCAACCACATCAGACACCCTCAGAAGACCAATGCATCAACGCAATGATTCATCGGGAACCAAATTTTCGGTTCCTACTCAACCAATCGATCAGGCTAATGCCCGGCCTTCCAGCCGGGAGGAATATCGACGGAGCATGCTGTGGCAGCCTGGAATGGCTTCCGGTCGCCCTGTCACTCCAGGTGGAGGTCTCACCCCGGAGCAGTTCGTGCAGCAACGGGCGGCACCCAGTCCCCCCATACATGTCCATAATCGCACCCCTTCCAATCCCATGTCAGTGCAACGCCCGGTCTCTGGCGACTGGACACAATATGCCCGTTCCAACTCGCCCATGAATCCTCAGCGGGATCCCAACTACCGACCTTCGTCTCGCGGTGCCCAGGGTATGCTTAACTTCAACGAGGCTTCCACCAATCTTTCCGCTCGTGAACAGGAGCACGTTGCTCGCATGACTGGCTCTTCATTCTTCAATATGTCAAATGACAACCGGAAAGCACAGGCGCCGGTAAACCCTATGGGCCTTGTCTCGCACATCGATGCTCGGGAGCGCGAGAAGCGTGAAATGAGAGAGGGAATGTCGAACCAGGCGGTTCAACAGGCCATTGCACACCGTCAGCAACACATGATGCAGCAACCTATGATGCAGCAGCAACAGTACGCGCCTCAGCAGTTCTCACCGCCGTTCTCACCTCAGCCGATGCAGCCCCAACAGGCTGGCTCTGTGTATCCGTCTCAACATGGTCGCCACGAGTCCATGTACAACATTCCTGGTGCTAGCCACACATGGGATGCCCTAAACCAGACGAATCGCCCTGACGAACCCCGTCGATCATCCTGGTACGGACAGCTTGCGCAGGCCCCTCAAACACCGCCTAGCTACCAACAAAGCCAGTACTCTCAAGAACCGAGGTACTACACCCATGCTAAATAGACCGGCACCTTCCCTCGTGTCTGACTGTCTGTCTCCCACCTATCATTTCGTCAACACCTCGACTTTCCTTTCAGTCCTTCCAACTTCTCATTCCCTACACATCATTAGCAGTATCATTTTCTTATTATGTTCAACTCGCCATTCCAGCATACCTATCACCCTTTGCACTTGGCTTCCAAACCCTTCTCTTGCACGCAATTCTTCTTGCACTTCCCAACATCGCTCATTATCATTTCTTTATCTCTCATTGCTTCTTTGCTTCTTTGCATCACGCATCCAACCGGAGTTCCAGATGGGCGTGGTGGGATCGTCCCTGATTTTTTTGCGAGTTGCTTGCTTACCTATCATTATATCGGGGTCCTTGCCTTTACTCTTCCCTTTTTATTAACATGTTTGTTTCAAAATGTAAATCAGACTCGTGGAAATATCCGGCCTGTATGTACGCGGTATAGATTGACCATGGATATCAAACCAGGCGATTACTATTTGTCTTTTACACTGAATTTTTTTTCCGAGTGAGAATTTTGTAGTAGTAAGGAGGGTATATTCTGAAGTCAATCAAGAAGGATGATTCCTGCCTGATATTGAGTCAAGATATATACGACAATCGGCATATCTGGTACTCTAATCCTGGTTCTTCTAAATCAGGGTTAAGACTCAGGCATTATGACAAACCGCATCTATATCGTATGATCTATAAAGATTCTTTCTATATAGAAATATAAACGAGCTTACTTTATTGGTGTACACCCAAAGATCAGGTTATGCTTAGTCTGCGCCCTATAGTCTGGTGTGATGTACCTTGCTGTGCCTTGAATTTCCATAGGCCATGTTTGTCTTGAATGACAAGTCAGGTATAATGGGTGTAGAATGAATAATTTTGTATAAAACCCTTATTTCGCAACTATCAACCGTTTTTGCTAGAAATAAATGATTAATCTACTTTGTACAATATAGAAAAATCGTTGATTCAATGGGACTAACAAAGAGAACACTCTATGACACCATTTCCCCACCTAATACCCGGTCCCATCTGTCAATTGAATACCCAGAAGCATATGATTGAATGTAGAGACTGCGTGGAGTAGGTCGAATCCCTAACATTTGACGTAGCCTAGGGCTGGAATGACGTAGTGAACGAGTTGCCGACCGGCTCGTAGGGCCCGGACGATCAATGCTGGGGAGGGAACAGGTTTTCCCCAGTTTTTAATAGATGTAATTGGTTATATGACCTTGCTTGTACAAAAGTACACAAATCCAAGTAATAGTGTCGAAATGACCATGGTCGCTGTCCCGGTATATGAGGGCAGTGCGCCGCTTCTTGACATGTTAATAACCAGCCTGATATCACCTGCTGTGCAATCTGCATGCATAGAACAAGCCATTTGTTTATTTTCTCTTTCATATCCTCCACTTCCCCATGTACAATTGTGGACCCGATATATCTATACAATAGACTTAATCAACACAACCTGTCTGATGGCTGCCCCGATGGACTCCCCAGACCCCGAGAAGCCAGAGGCATCAAGCTTCAAGGATGAAGCCAGCCCACAAGAAGATAAGATCAAAACAGAACGGGGCGTCGACACCCACGCCGAAAATGCCTCCAACTCCGACGTAGCAAGCCACGAAGATAAACCCAAGCTGCGTACCGGCGGCAAGCCCGAGCTAACAGAAGACGACTGCTACGAAAAGCTCGGCTTCTGCTTCCCAACATGGAAGAAATGGATGATTCTCTCCGTCATCTTCGTGGTCCAGATGTCCATGAACTTCAACACAGGCGTCTACGCCAACGCCGTGACCGGTCTAACCGAAGAATTCCACATCAGCGAACAAGCGGCGCGAGTCGGACAATGTGTGTTCCTAGTCGCCTATGCATTCGGATGTGAGCTGTGGGCACCATGGAGCGAAGAATTCGGCCGCTGGCCCATAATGCAGCTCTCCCTATTCCTCGTGAACATCTGGCAAATCCCATGCGCCCTCGCACCCAACTACGGCACAATCGTCGTATGTCGTGTCCTCGGCGGTCTCAGTTCCGCCGGAGGCTCAGTCACCCTCGGTATGACAGCGGATATGTGGGAAGCCGACGACCAAGGCTACGCTGTAGCCTTTGTTGTTCTCTCGTCTGTGGGCGGGTCAACCGTCGGACCTTTCTTTGGCGGTATGATCGGCGAATGGCTCACATGGCAGTGGGTATTCTGGATCCAATTGATCGTCGGAGCGGCAACGCAGATCCTCCACTTCTTCATCGTACCGGAAACACGTACGACGATCCTAATCGACCGCGAAGCGAAACGCCGTCGCAAGAACGGAGAAGATATCTGGGGTCCGAACGAACTGAAAACCCCTCGTCTAGACTACCACGACGTACTCCGAATCTGGATCCGGCCGTTCGAGATGTTCATCCGCGAACCGATTGTTTTATTCCTTTCCCTCCTCTCGGGTTTCTCAGACGCCCTAATCTTCGTCTTCACCGAGTCCTTCACACTAGTCTTCAAACAATGGTCCTTCAGCGTCCTAGCCATTGGTCTAACCTTCGCCTCAATCCTAATCGGATACGTAATAGCATACATAATCTTCCTGCCGGACATCCACCGGCAAATCCAAACACGGCGTAAATGCGGCGCAGCAAGTCGTCTCGCCGAGCGCCGTCTCCTCCTCCTTCTATTCATCGCACCGCTCGAACCAATCGGCCTCCTCGGCTTCGCATGGACATCAACCGGTCCACCAATACCGTGGATTGCGCCATGCATCTTCGCCTGTCTAATCGCAATGGCGAATTACGCAATCTACATGGCGACGATAGATTACATGGTTGCGGCGTACGGGCCGTACTCTGCGTCTGCAACGGGGGGTAATGGATTCGCGCGAGACTTCCTCGCTGGTATCGCGACCATGTACTCCACGCCCATGTACCAGAATATGGGGAGCAAGTATCATCTCCAGTGGGCGAGTACACTGCTGGGCTGCGTGGGGTTCTTGGTCTTGATTCCCATTTATGTCTTCTACTGGAAGGGTCCGGAGATTAGGGCTAAGAGTAAATTCGCGCAGCAGCTTGCAGCTGATCGGGATAGGAATACGGAGAGTAGGAGGGCTAGTCGGGTGAGGGCTTCGGTTGGGGGGTAGTTGTTGTGTTGGAGGCTGTTGTATTACTTCAGTCTTTGCTTGTATATTTGATTGTTAGAGGACTATCCTGGGTAGATGTACGATTTATGACGATTCATGTTTCAGAGTATTACTCTTAGATCGTTGTAGGATAAAGAGCAAATCTAATATGGCATCATGATAAAGAGAGGGTTTTTATCTCACCTGCAGCTGCATTACCGGTAAAGAGTCTTAAGCCTCAGCGAGAGCGGGTGACTTGGCTCTATCGGATACGGCGCACAAGAGGCGGCTGTTTTGGCTCCTAGAAGCAGAGAAAAATAGAAGCAAGACTGGGCAATTTAAGAGCAGACATATGAGAAGACAAACAAAAAAATAAGAAGAAGGGGGTGATAACTCCCACGCCAGTATCTATGCCTAGGCCACGCCCAACCCAAGGGTTGGGATTGCATAGTGGAATATTTTTATGATCGTAGGCTGAGCAGATCGAGCCGGTAGCTGGGGTTGCCAGCGTGTTTAATCCGTGCGAACGCACTCAGCCACTCGGGGGGGGGGGGATGTCGTAGGGCAGATGTTGATCTTAATTTATAGGAACCTGGGGAAACATATACTTCCGAAAGGGGAAGGTGGGTCAATATCACGTGCTAGTGTACAAACAACATTGGATTCAATCAGCTCCTAGCTGCAAATAGCCAAAGTACACATGTACTACTTCTCTTCGAGTTACTGATAGATGAATGGTTACGTCTTAGCTCAAAACAGCGCAATGGCCAAACATTTATAAAGGTATCCCTAGAACGCCACAAGTGCCAGCTTCCCTCGCTTCCAAGATGCTTCAACTCACCTCTCCACCCCGAAAAGCATCTACCTCATGCTAGAATATAACATCCCATGCAAAGAGATATTTTGCAAATACTAAATCTTATCTTATCTCTGACTAGATATTAAAATCTAGCTCGAATGCAGCTTCTTGACGCGCATGGCACCTTCATACAGGCCGCGGTCCAAAGCAGCAGCGACAGTCAGAGTACCACCAATGATAGCACAGACACCAGTAAGGAAGTTAGTGAAAGACTTCGGGCGAGCCTCACGGTTGATAACCTTCATAGGGGAGATATCGTAGTTGAAGAAGACGCCTGGAATACCGCCACCGGCATGCACGCGCTCCTTGTGGCCCTCCGCAGCGTCGTTTCCACCGGAAAGAGGACGCTTGTGCGAGGTGACCGAGTACTGATGAGCCTCGATACTACCTTGAGTACCATAGGCGAGGCCGTGGGAGCCAAGAGGCGCCTTGTCGTAGTTGTGGATGGCGGTCGAGAACTGAGGATCCCAGCCGAGAGGCAAGTATGATGTCGAGACAACCTTGACAAAGTACATGAAGTTGAATGCGGGCTCGTCGGTCTCCTGCTTGGTATCGTCGAGCGGGTTGGTGTGGTGGTGGTCGGTCCACCCCCAGCGGCCTGCGAGCTCGGTGGGGAGCTGGGGCCCGAAGCGAAGCTCGTGGACTAAGTGGGACATCGTGTGCTGGTCCGCCGGGCCTGCGTTGGGCACAATGTAGGCGTCCAAATCGTGGACGTGCATGTTGCCAGTGGTGAAGCTGCGGCCTGGTGCAATGTGGAAGTTGCCCACTACCTTGTTGACCTTCAGCACACCCTCGATCCGACATCCCTCGCGGCGCTGCTCGGCGAGTTTCTCGGCATATCCTTCACGCTTACACTGTTCAATGTTGCTACCGTCACCGAAGGCCCATTGCTTCTCGGCGTAGGCTTCGCGCACTTCCTCACAAGTAGTACAGCATCCCGGTTTGATAACAGTGGGGGGAGGTGTTGCTCCACCACATTCACCACAGTAGTCGGGAGCCAAGTGCTTCGCAGATTCTGATGGGGAGTGTCTGGGAAGGGATGGTAATGAGGTTGTGATCACGATGGAAATGATTTCGGGTCGAAGGACTGGCACTTACAGGTCTAAAGCCTGGACATCAATCACCTTGCCGCCTTCATTGTGTGGGCTCAGGCGGACTTTGCTCACACCATGGGCAACGCCAACCTGCTGCTCACCAGAGACATCCATCACGTCCAAGGTCAAGAGCTCACATGGCAGCCGAGGGAATGTCATGTTCAAGTGGATTTCCATTCGCTCTCCTGCGCAACAAAATTGAGTCGTTAGCGACTTTGCCCTATGCATTTTATCTTCTGCAGGTCCATCGTGGGTCCGATCGAGCCCAAACTCTATTCATACCTCGCGATTTATCGACGACAAGCTCCGGCTGCACCACAATCCGTCGGTAGTCGGCCCATTCACCCCATACCAGCCACATAACAATCAATAACGAAGCAATTGTAATGATACCTCCGGAGTTCGTGCGAACGCGAGCATCTTCAACGGTCTTGGCGAAGGCGTCTAGCCTCGTGAATCGCGACTTTGCGGGCATCTCGCCGGTCAATTGAAGACCATAGGGTGAAGCGCAAAGGCCAGGCGAGGGTTCGTGGATAGCGACAGTATATTAAATGTCTGTAAGACAAAAAGAACGCGAATCGATTAGCTAGGTGGTCATTTGACGCGCAAGCTCTATTGAGTGAGACCCCATTCAAGTGAACAGACCAAACAAACAACACAATAGAGTAAAGAAAACAGGGAAGGCACCCATACCAACAATAGAGTCCGAGTGAGTCAACTTAAACTCAATGCGACTGAGTCTTCCAGGCACCTGACAATAGAAACAAGAGCAAGGCCAATTTGAAGCCTCCAAGTGGCCAGGCATACTTGCAGGACCGATGTATGAGGAGCACCCGTGAGGACAGACGACAGCATGTGATTGGCCCACCTGAAACAAAGAGATGAGTCATCGCCCAATACGGACTAGTACTATACAATGCCGCCTCATCACGTGCCAATCGTCACTTTTTCTTTGAACTCACTTTACTGATTCGGGGGTCTATTGTTCTTTGTGCATTCACTGTCACATTATTATTGTCTTGCAGCTGCACTACATAATCTGTAGCACCCCCTCTTCTCCATTCTGTTCAGTTTGCTGTTTCTTTACCTCCCACCTCCCAAGTCACTTCTCCGCTGCGATTTCCTCATATGCGAACAACTTCTTTCTGCCTGATCTGAGGCGCATAGCGCGCTGCTCGCCTCACCTTAGCAGTTTCAGCTTTCTTTCAACTTACCTCCCTTTACAACAACCCCCGATACCCCACCCATCTCTCAAATCTCTTCTCCAACCACCATGAAGAGCATGAAGCCTCGTCGCGGCGGCAACGATCGCGGGGGAATCCGCAAGCGGGGCCCTACTCGCACCGACCGGGATGGCGACATGGAAATGGATGCGGGCGGTGCTCGTGCAAAGAGAAACCGGGCTGAGAAATCTGCCTTGGGTGGCCGCGCCGCCGGCACAGGCGCAGGTGGCCGAGCTGCAGGACCTAGCAACCGGCCCCCGGCTCGCAACAAGCAGAGGGATTCGGATCTAATCCAGAGAGCCATTTACAGCGTCGACGGCCAAGCAAACATTCGTGACGGGAAGAGAAAAACCGGCGGCGATCTGGAACCGTTTAGTGTCCGAGGATGGAAATCGAGCAAAGCGGCAAGCAACCGTGATGGCGGCCTCGAGAGCCTCATCGCATTCCTCGAACGACGTATGAACTCATTCATCAAATCCGGACCCCGCGCAAAGATTACAAAGGTATGTTCCTCGTTTACAATGGCGGTCACCAACATCGATCCTCGACGTCCCTCGCTTCAGTGTCCTCTCGTTTTCGAGGACGGTCCTCCTACAAAACGACGATCGACACATTTCGGGCTTTTTGGCTTCTTCCCCTTTGGGTGACCGTGGTTTTCAAGGTCCCTTCACACCTTTCTAACTTTCAAATTAGTCGCGCACTGAAGGTGACACTCTCGTGGCCTTCGTTCGACCTGATCTGGCGGGTCACATGCTTCGCATCAACAACAATGTCTTCGCCGGAGCTCATGTTACTGTCGAAGAATACACTGCCGCCACCGCACTCGATCAGGAACTGGCTGCAGCGGACCCTGCTCCAGGCTCGACCGCCGATACTAAGACTAAGATGACAACTATCCTTGGCAAACGCTTCTTCCCTGCGACCAAGCTACTTGACTTGTCGAAGCTGCCGGACGACCCCGGTCTGCAAGCCATGGGAATCTTCAACAATGTCTCTTACAAGTCCAAGTTCTTCCCAGCTCTCATGAAGGTCTGGGAATTGGGCTTCAAGACTGTAGCCGAGCGACGTGAGGCGGTCGAAAGTGTCAGTCTGGCGGAAAACAACCTCACCAATATCAGCTCCGTGACAACCCTCGCACAATCTTTCCCTGATATCCAATACCTGGACCTTTCAAAGAACCAAATCAAAAATTCGCAGGCGATGATCGGATGGCGCTGGAAATTCCGCAACCTCATCTTCCTCGACTTGACTGGGAACGAGATCAGTTCCGACCCGACTTTCAAGGACACCATGCTCAAGTGGTATCCCAAGCTCCAAACTTTAAACAACGTCCAAGTGCGAACCCCGGAAGAGGTCGCAGCTCAGAAGAGGACACCGATCCCCGTCTTGCCCCCTCACTTCATTGACGAATCTCAAGTCGGCGAGAACTTTGTTCGTGCTTTCTTCCCTGGTTATGACAACGATCGCAACGGCCTCGTCACCAGTGTCTACGATGACCAGTCCACTTTCTCGCTGAATGTAAACACCACGGCTCCCCGGGCCGGTCAAACTGAGACTGCAGGTTGGGGTGAATACATCAGAAAGAGTCGAAACCTTGACAAGATCAGCCACCTTTCCGCACGGATGTCGCGGTCTTTCAAGGGCATTGAGCAAATCCGTGAAGTTTTCAATGCGCTCCCACCCACTCGCCACCCCGACCTTATCGCGAAGGCAGAGCAATGGCTCGTTGAATGCCACCCTGTCCCTCATCTCCCCGACCCTACTGGACAGAGCCTCACTGGCGTTGGTGGCCTCTCCCTTATGGTGCATGGACAACTTGAGGAGAGCGTTGGTGGCAAGATTGAGATCCGCAGTTTCGATCGAACCTTTATTCTTGGCCCCGGCAACACCCCCGGTGGCATCCGAGTCGTCAGCGAGATTTTCTGCCTGCGCGCTTTCGGTGGACATGAGGCATGGTCCCCTGAGATCCAGGCACTTTCCCAACTCCCCCAGGTTGCAGGCCCCGGTCCTGTTCCCACCGCGGCTCCTACACCCCCCGCAGTCCCCGCAGCTGCCCCGAGTCTCAATGTTGCTGAAGGATATGGGTTGCCACGACCTGGAAAGTCCGACACCCAGCTTCAGCAGGAGCAGATGATCGCTCAGATGAGTGGCAAGTCGGGCATGACTTTCGAATACTCGGAGATGGCTCTCGCGGGCAATGACTGGAATGTCGAGCTTGCTTGGAAGAACTTCGAACAGCTCAAGGTAAGCGAATTCCAAGGACGGCCCCTTAATTTGCCACAGGATGATAACTAACGACACTCTACACAGGCAACCAATGCACTTCCTCCGAGCGCCTTTCTTGCTCCGGCGTGAGCACTTACTTTTCCACTGTTCTCTGGTTTCATTGAAACCTTCCACATCCACTCCCACTTCCATTGTTGTTAGCTAGTCAGTTTTATCTCGGGAGTGGTTCTGTGGAAGCATAATGCATCTGATGTGACCATACTTTTTTACTTGCATGGCTTTGGCGAATGGCACTGGTTTGAATAAGTTTCCAAATCTGGACATGGGCCACTGGGCCAGGAACTTTTATTAAAAAAAACCAAAAAATCAATCAAATGAACCCTTTATTCCAAAATTCCACCCCGAATATAAGTAGCAAACTGTAGACTTGCGGATCTGAAGTGTTATCTCTGTAAGTGCCTAAAAAGCAGCCCTGTGAGGATTGCGGTAGTTGCGGAAGATGCCAAGCTGGCGCGATAGAGCCATGCGGGCCGCGATCAACATCCCCCATTCAACTTCTCCCTCCCACGAATTCCCTATTGGCCTCACAAAAAGCAGGTTGAGACCAAGGGCAGGATGATTCTGGTGAGCTGATGGAATGACGATCACTGCCACAACCACCGGCCACATGTCGCCAAACGAGGAACCAAGCCTCGACGCCTTGGATGCGGGTGCGGAACAATTGACCTCTCGTGCTCATTGCTGTATATGCTAACATAGGAGGTACATCCAGTGGACTACGATCCGATTGAACACTTGAATGCCGTTTTCTCCCATCCATCCACCCTCTCCTCCGTTTCTCAGATCGCCGACGCCCTGAACGAATGCGAAGATGAACTGGACGATGACATCGGCATGCTGGTGGAGGAGCAGGTCACCTCCAATGCCGATAGCGTGGAACGAATCCAGGCAGCTAAGGCCGACCTGTCGGAGCTGTTTAAGAAGATCGATGACGTGCGTGAGCGCGCATTGAAGACCGAACAGGCAATCACCGATATGACAGCCGACATCAAGCAATTAGACAACGCAAAGAAGAACCTGACACTATCGATGACGGCGCTTAAGCGCCTGCAGATGCTGACTACGGCGTATGATCAGCTCCAAGCTCTCAGTCGGACGCGGCAATACGGAGAATGTGCACAGCTACTCCAAGCTGTCATTCAGCTCATGGCCCATTTCAAGTCATACCGATCGATCGATCAAATCGCAATGCTCAGTCGAAACGTCGCAGATATACAACGAGATCTGCAGGAGCAGGTCTGTGAGGACTTCGAGCTGGCCTTCGCCAAGGGGGAGGTAGGCCCGAAGCGCGCGATGCTCGCGGAGTCGTGTCAAGTCGCAGATGCTTTAGGCGAACACGCACGGTCCCGACTGGTGACGTGGTATTGCAACACACAGCTCCGTGAGTACCGGCAGGTCTTCCGGAACAATGAGGAGGCTGGATCATTGGACAACATCTCCCGCCGCTATTCCTGGTTCCGGCGCATATTGAAGATATATGACGAAGAGAATGCGGCCATCTTCCCGGCTTCGTGGAGGGTAAATGAGGTCTTGGCCAATGTCTTCTGCGAGAATACACGAGATGATTTCAAGGGTATTTTATCCCGATCTGTACGCAGTGGACAGACAATCGATGTCAATTTGCTCCTCTCGTGCTTGCAAGAGACCCTTGATTTCGAGCATTCCCTTGAGCGCCGCTTTGCGCCTTCGTCGCGTGCATCCGTTGATACATTTGCCTCTGCCGAACCCCCTGTATTCAACCAGTCTATTTCCGAAGCCTTCGAGCCATACCTCAGTGTCTGGGTCGAGGCCCAAGACAAGCAACTTGCAGCCCTGCTACCAAAATACCGCCAACAACCCCTCAAAGTACCGGACGAGGAGTTCAACTCGCATATTGTGATTTCATCTTCGACTGAGCTTTTCACTTTCTATCGGCACGCTTTGCAACAATGTGCCAAGCTCTCAACTGGTGGCAGTCTGGCGGAGCTGGCCAAAGTGTTCGCCAAATATCTGGACCAATACGCCCAGCAAGTCCTTCTCAATTATATAAGTGAACGACCAACAGTTCACACGCCGTCTAGGGTGCCCTCAGTGGAAGATTATGTTTCAGTTTTGAACACTGCGGATTACTGCTACACGACTTGCTCCCAATTGGAAGAGAAGATTAGGGGTAGATTGGATGAGAACCTGAAGCAATCCGTGGATCTGCAAAGTCAGGCAGACTCTTTCATGGGCATTGCATCCGCTGCTGTACGAGGCCTTGTGCGCCAAGTCGAAGTCGATCTCGAGCCTTCCTGGCGCGAAATGCGCAATACACCTTGGGCTAAAATCGAGGCAGTCAGTGATCAAAGCTCGTATGTGGGCGAGATGGTCTCCCGGACGAAGGAAAAGGCAACTGCTATATTACAGTTGTTGCATAAGCAGCAATATGCGCGTGCCTTCTCTGATCATCTGGTGGAGCTCATATCGAGCCAGTTCATAAGCAATGTCTTCCAATGCAGGCCTCTTTCAGAAACCGGCGCAGAGCAGGTATGATTTCCCCTCCGCGGTGTAATAGTATATCTTACTAACTCCATTCATAGATGCTTCTCGATTCCTATACCCTCAAGAGCGGCCTTTCATCCCTGCTACCTGCTCCAGCGCCTGCCGGCTTTGTCAAGCGTGTGAATAGCAGCTTCTTCAAAATCGAAACTCTTCTCAAAACCCTCCAGGTCCGGCCGTCACCACCGGAAGCTCTTGTGCAAGCATACCTCATCCACATTGCTGACCGCAACAACAACAACTTCCGCAAAATCCTCGATCTCAAAGGCATCCGTAGCCGCCAAGATCAAAATCATCTCGTGGAGCTATTCCAGCTTCACCGTGCATCAGACCGCTATGCATCCAGCCTCCAGCAGAGCAACCCAATCCTCGCCGCTCTCCAAGGGCCATCCGCCACCGCCACTGGCTCCGTATCCCAAGGCCTCGGTCTAGGCAGTGCCGCCGCAGCCATGCCCTCCCGTTTTGACGCGTCGATGCTCGGCTCTGCCATCATGTCCGCTGCCAAAGACGGCGTCGACCGCTTCGGAAACCCCAGTCTGAGCACCCTGGGTGCTGGTGTCGCTGGGGCTACTGGGTCAGCTACATCTGCATCTGGCGTGACCAGTCCATCAGGCACCTTGTCCCCTTCCCTGGCCAGCTCCAATCTACAATCTAATCCCATGCACACGCCAACAGAAAGCGCCACAGGAAATCTCAATGAGAACCTGAAGAACATTGGCAAGTTCTTCCGCCGCGATCTCGGCGGTTTTGGAGGCCGGTTCGGGCGGAGTACTGAGGATGGGGCGTAGCTCCTCCCTATCTATTTTCATTATGTCTTGTCTCTTTCTGTTTATATTTTGACTCAGGAGGCGTGGAAAAAACATTGTAGAGATGTTCTTTGCCGATTCGGCTGATTTGTTCGGGTCGTTGCATGCCCGAAGGTTTAGTTTATGTATCCTTAGGGCACCCTGTCCTGACCTCATGTTTTGCAGTTGTATACCACTTGGATTGAATGCATTGAATGCGACATCCGTGTTATCTTGGATCTAATCGTCTATGTTTTTCTATTGCACATACCAAAATCTAACTTTATCGTCTGGTGGGTCGATTTTCCTCGAAAATCCTCTCTTTTACTCCACGCCCTTCCAATGACATGTCCCGATAAGGAAGGGCTCTACACAATAAAATGCCTACTTGGTATATCGAACTTTTTTCAATCACCCACAATTCCCTTCCTTTCCCTATTCCAAGACAACCCCTACCCATCAAAACATCCACAATGAATCCCCAAACCCCCTCAGGACCCCAGTACCCAGGATACACCCTCCGCACGCACAGACCAGGGGATATAGGCTGGATAATCCACCGACACGCAACACTATACGAAAAAGAACAAGGCTGGGGCACAAAAATGGAAGCACTAGTATGCAAAGTGGGTTCAGAATTCCTCGACAACTACGACGCATCCACAGACCGGTGCTGGATCGCCGAGCGCAACGACGAGTTCCTTGGCTGTATAGTTCTTGTTCGAGACAGAGACGCCGTCAACACGGCCAAACTGCGTCTCCTACTTGTTGAGCCCGGCGCGCGGGGCCTTGGGCTTGGCCGTGCTTTGATCGAGCAGTGTACGCGGTTTGCGCGCGAGACGGGGTATGCCCGGATTCGGCTTTGGACGCAGAATGTTCTTGTTTCGGCAAGGAGGTTGTATACGAAGGAGGGGTATCGGCTTGTTAGTTCTGAGGATTATGGGGTTTTTGGGGAAGGGCATTTTGGGGAGTGTTGGGAGTTGGTTTTGTGAGGGAGTGGTTGTACGTAATCTCCCATATCTCTCTCTGCAATGTAGTTCACATATTGCATTTGTTGTCAGAGGGAATCCGAGCGTGCACCAAATAGAACTGTAGGTTTATTTGCTCCGTTATTAGATACCGATCTACAATTACGGAAGTGTAGCCTACCTAGGTAGGACATGCTTCCGAAAAAGGAAATATGTCACGTGGTATTGTCTGAGTACCTTCTCTTTTTCTTCTCTATATTTAAATGTTATATTGGGATCAGAATTTATAGAAATAGACTAAATAAACCTGGAAGATGTAGGTACAATATGCAAGAGATGTCCACATCAAGCCCTTTGAGGGTGTCTCTGAGATAAGGTTGTGTCAGGGTCAACTCTATCCGTGGATGTGGGTCCTGGGTCACGTGGTATAGTATTTGTATAAAGTTGAGGTATTTCCCAGATAGTAATCGGGTGGTGGAAAGTATTGCGGTCATTGTGTCGTATTGTCTATGCGTGCCCAGGTGATGAAATCGGCAGTCTAGTTAATAAATTCAGGACACATGGTTAATCCACCGTGATTGCAAATACTCTCTTGCAACCTTGGAACTGCTCGTGATATTTATTACTGCTCTTACACGAAAAAGCGTTCTCAGTTTCGCTTCTCTGGATGATCATCATTTCAAAATGGCGAGCGACTTTGGGAGGTGGGTGGTTCATGGCAATCTTGTCATGTCATGTCTGAGTCTAACACTCATAGATAGGTGTATTTCTTCGCCCTTATTCACCTTCACAGTTGGTGCCGATAAGAAGGAAATAACCGTGCATTCTTCTGCTTTTGCGGGGCTTTCTCAAACTCTGAATGCTCTTATAAACGGTGAAATGATCGAGGCAAGAACAAGGCACGTTGACTGGTCAGATGTCGATGTAGACACATTCGCTCGGTTGTGTGAATTTGCCTATTTCCAAAACTACACGCCCCCTTCATTTCGCCTGATCGATGACAAGTCTCCTCGCTCGAATATGAACTTGTACAATCCTATACTGGGGCCTGAGCCGGCTTACTACACGCCCCCTTCATTTCACTCGAATATGAGCTTGGACAATCCTCTACTGTGGCCTGAGGTACGGTGGACTGAGCCTGATTTATTCGCGTCCATGCCTGAATTTTACCATAACAAAATTCGCCTACCCAAGAATGCCCTCTACAATGATTCTGAAAACCCATCCAAGGCAGGAACCATCTTGACTAGACAATTTCACAATACATTTACAGAGAGCCTCGTCATCCCGAGCCCGCAAAGTGATGACTTGAACCCTACTTTCACACCACCTCAGAATACCGGGACCTGGGAAGACTTCACCCCTATGTTTCTCGAACAAGCTCGACTCTATGTGCTGGCTGACAAATATGGCATTGAGCGGTTGTGTCAGCTGGTCATTTTCAAGCTGTATCAAACGCTGAGAACATTCAAACTATATGACACGGGAGTGAGTGCTATTATTGAGTTTGTTCGATTCGTCTACTTGAACACACCACCAAATTACGGTAAGGTTGACGCCCTAAGGAATTTAGCAACAAGTTACGTTGTTTCTGTTCTTGGACAAATTGGTAGGAACGAATGTTTCGAAACCCTTTTAGAGGAAGGTGGTCCTTTCGTCTCTGATTTCTTCCATATCTTGCGGAGTGTCGCGTGAAATGGTATTTCGATATTGCGAGTCTGCCACGGGGATTATAGATTTGATTAAATCCCTATAAATACCCCATCTCTCCTAATCAACTTATGAATTGCTTGCTTTTATACTTCTAATTCTCAAGCATCATCTGCGGTAGAGTTAGTCTATACCTCGTAGTAAAGGTTATCGAAGTAAATCTCTCAGAATTTCTTTTGGCCCACTAGCTCAACTAAGACCGCAGTTATGGTAACGGTGAAGGTAGTGGGAGAAAGATATTCGATAGATGACAGGGATCTATCTAGCGGTGATTCATCAGGCAGTCACCCACCTAAACGGTTACCTTGGGGGCCAAATCAGGGGGCCAAATCAGATTAGATGGTTTTGACCAGGCATCTCTCCCATTTTGGACAACAGATGATCCGGAAGGGACGGGAATGACTGCTAACCCCTGCACTTTTGGAAGACTATTCTAAATAGCTAAGTCCGTTGTAGTGACAAAGTCCGACCAGGTAGTATAAATTAGTATCAATCCTTGCTCTCCCCGTTTTAACCTTCCTGTATATTCTTCCACTGATAATTCGAATGAAATGGAAAAGCCAGGTACCCCTGAGCTGAGCGAAGCACCGATACACACCGATCCCGATCCTGCAAGCGACGAATTACAGGTTAATTGGAACGGACCAGATGATCACACCTGTCCATTCAACTGGTCCCTGTCCAAGCGATGGGCCATCACTTTACTGTGTTCTATGGGAGGCATGGTGACCCTGATGAGTGCATCCATGCTGGCACCGGCCCTGGGCAAAATTGGTGACGACCTCAACATCAGTGAGAGCGAAGCCAACATGGTGGTCTCCATTTTCGTACTTGCATTTGCCTTTGGACCGATGGCTCTGGCTCCCCTAGCTGAACTGTTCGGTCGTCGATGGGTATGGATCCTATCTTCGAGCTGGTATATTCTGTGGAACACGGTCTGCGGCTTCGCTCACACCAGGGGTCTTTTACTCGCTGGACGAATTCTGAGTGGCCTGGGAGCTAGTGCAGAGTTTGCGATCACAACCCCGGTCCTGGCAGATTGTTGGCGTGCGGAGCAGCGCGGCCATTCCTTTGCGATCGCAACTTTCGTGCCCTTGTTAGGGCCTGCGATTGGGCCTATCCTCGGCGGTATCATCACGACAAAAATCGGATGGAGGTGGCTTTTCTGGGTTATTTCTATCTTCGATGCTGCTTTGGTTATCTATGCATTATTCTTCTTTCCGGAAACTTATCACCGTTTGTTGCTTCATCGAAAGGCCGTCAAATTACAAAAGGAGACAGGCAGGCCTTTCCATACCAAGACTGATGCTCATAGTCAACTACTGGCAAGGAAGCTCTGCTATAGTCTCGCGCGCCCGTGTTGGATGCTGGCGACTCAGCCGACTATCCAAATCATGGCTGTATTTCTCGCCTACAACTATGGCGTTCTCTTCTTTGTCCTTACCAGCTTTGCCTCCCTCTGGACAGAGAGATATCATCAATCGGTGTTAATCAGTGGCGTTCATTATGTCGCTCTCGTGATCGGCTATACCGTCGCCGCTCAAGGTGGCGCTCGCATCACCGACTGGCTCTGGAAATATCTGACACGCAAGCGAGGACAGACTGCACCTGAATATCGAATCCCCCTAACGATCCCAGGAATGATTTTCCTGCTAGCCGGTTTGTTCTGGTATGGCTGGTCAGCGGAAGCAATGGCCCCGTGGATCGTGGTCGACATTGGAACAGCGGTGTTTGGTTGTGGAGTGATCCTTAGTACTCAGGCTATGCAACAGTATGTCATGGAGTCCTACAGTGAATACGTGGCGTCGGCGAATGCCTCCAGTCAATTTCTACGAAGTATCTTCGGATTTTGCTTCCCTATATTCGCGCCGGCGCTGTACGATCGTCTTGGATACGGATGGGGAAATAGCACTTTGGCGTTCATTATGATTGGCTTCGGTGTGCCAGCGCCTTTTCTCATATGGACCTACGGTGCTAGGCTTCGAGATAAGGGAAAGCAGAGGGCAAAGGGGAAAGTATTCCTAGCTTAGCGGGGGTTTAGCACGATTGATATAGGTGTTCTAAAGTTCTAAACCGCAAATGACAAGATTGTCTCGGTTAGGGGGTCAAACAATCTACGGTCTTGAAACTGAAAGATAATTTGATACGCAACGTGTCTGCAAGCTCGTAGTACTTGCTATGATCAACTCGAAGAAGAAGGCGATAGCATTGCATAGATAAAATAGCCGATTTATTATAATAGATTAAAATGTAGCAGACGGCAAGCGGGCTCCCAGAAATGCTGCAAGTGAGGCCGTTTTAGGCCGGCTATTTGCCAAATTTCACCCTGCGTACCCCTAAACTTCCTCGCTTCAAGCGATGATCTACTTGCTGTTATTTGCCTGGGGATTTATGATCTCGTTGCTTTTATCACGGTTGAAATGCCGTCTACTTAGTCATTTATTGATCAACAAAAACAAATCGATTTCGATATTACATTCTCATCTCCTCTGATTGAGCTCTCGTACAACAACCCTGGTACTCTCAAGGATCTCCTCTGTCCTGCCAAATCGGGCTCTAAGAGCATCCGCCAATGCGGGAACCTGTTCCGCCTCCGGGACTTGACCTTCGACTGTAACAACCGCATGGAAGTCTCTCACCATACTCTCTATCTGCTCGCTTACTTTTTCCTGCAGAGCATTGAAACAGTCAGTTACAACATTTGTGTATTCGCTGCGGGCCAGGTTAGACAATTCGGCAAACAGCCTCGAATGCGTCAGATGGTCGTTCATGATTTCTTTCCGGCGGCGGTCACTTCCACTTCCTAGATGATATGGTTAATATAATGAGGCACAAAGGCAATTTTATTAGGATTGTTTAACAAACCCCTCTCTCGGTTGATGGCAGCATAGGCGGGCTGCATCAGGCCTGATATAAACGAGCTGGCATGGCCGTAAAGCATGTCTCTTTTTGCGAGTCTAGCGAGCCAGTTAGAATCGAGTTTGAGATTGTCCATCTTCCGCACATCATACTCAAAGCTTCGAATCATCTTCTGGATAGAGTCCCGTATATGATCCTCAATGCATGCTTGCCTGGATTTCATGCTTTGTTGGAGGTTTTCGAGGGCGTGGGGTGCAAGTTCAATATTCGCTACAGAAAGCAGTCAGAAGGTCATTCTTCTGCAGGAAGGCATGCAACAAACGAGTGTTTGTCTGACCCAAGGACGACTTACCCTCAATCTCTTCTCGCAATTTTTCGAAAGTAGTGCGGGTTTCTCCCACCAATCTCCCCGTTTGGGCTTGCAACCAATCCAGTATATCCTCCCATTTAATATCTAGCTCTTCACGTGCTGGTTGGACTAACTCATTATTCCAGCAGCGATAAGGCTGATTTCCGGTCTCGTGGTCTCCGAATTTGCGACAAAATGCAGAATACGTGGGATGCGCCCACTATGAATATAATCAGAATTATATTGTGTGACTAGGGGCTCTTTTTTAGGGAAACTCACTCCTGCCCATCCCAGGCTGATTTCAATACTCTGAGCCGTCAAGCTAGCTCGAGAATTCCCTAGGGGAGTTCGTTAGAGCCAAGACCAAAATCATTGAACAAAGTACTCACGAATAACCTCGGTAATGCGTTCAGTGAATAGATCATCCAAGCTCTGACGCGTAAGATGAATATACGATCGAGAAGAAATAAATTCCTATTGAACTATCAGGAAATTTTTGATCTTTGAGAAGATTGGTTAGGGACCTGAGGTACCCTCCTGGGTCAGACATACCCGGTGAAGAGCCTCTCTTGCATTTTCCAAAACCCGTCGGAGGATAGCAGATTTTTCGGCCGTAACCGAATCTGTTCCAGATAATGCCCACTGACGTATAGATCCCAACAAAGCTGGCACTTGGTTTTCCAGGAATGCGGATGTCGAACGCATTTGACCCTCTGCGGGGACCAATTGGCAGTGGCGGCGCAGTTCGCGAATTCCCGAAAGATCAACGTATGCCTCTGCCTGGCTGTTCCCACTACAGCGGTACTCGGAGTAGAGAGTATTGCTGATGCAGAAGACCCTGGTGTCTGCGTGCCTTCTGGTAAGTTCTTGTGCTACCAGGGAGTTTCTCCGATTGATGAGAAACCTTTTTATCCTGGTTGATGAATTAATATACAAAACATATACCGTAATCTCACGCGCCCGTTACTCACTGGAAAGTCAACTCGTTCTCCTTGTCGCTGCCATATATTCAGCGAATGGGATCATTGCACTTTGAAATCAAAAACCTACCGTAGTTCATACCCTTTGACCGCAAGTTCTGCTTGTTTTGCCCCGCGCACTTTTCGTAAACGAATCTCGGTCAATTCAATTTGTTTCCGGATAGCCTGGATCTCTTTATTCATTCGCCTTATTTGAAGAGCATCTGGAGTATTTTCACGACCAGACTCTTCGGGCGATATAACCTAAGAAGACAGGTCAGTAAGCGCCTTCCCGCTTGAAGGTTATTTCTAATACCTCCGACTTTGATAAAATCACTTGTCGCGGCTGGTCATCTCTACATCTTCGCATGACATCTTGTATGGACGGATTTGTACAAGCGCGACCAATGTCTGCCACGACAAAGACCTCGTCACAGCTATGAACAAGGTACCGTTCGGTGGCTCGAACCCTCGCAAAGTTAAGATCTCTGAGGCCTAACGTTGGTGAGTTCAAGTTTGACGCCAGGGTTGGAATGGAATCCTTAGAGCATACCAGGTAGATCAGCCAATATTAACCCGGTTTTCAAAATGGGTGAACTGAGATATACCCTGCAAAAGCATTAGAGAGGAGCCCTTCTTTGAAGAAAAGTTCCACAAACCTGATCAATTTGATAAATGGCCACAGTGCAGGTTTACCATCACCCATATTATTGGCAGTCAGCAGGTCGAGGGACGCTTTGCATTCCGTAAGATCACCAGCAATCACAGAGTACTCATGCGCATCGGGTCCACCGGGTCGCAGTGTTAAACCAGCATATGCCCATCGCTCTAACTGCTCAAGAAGGTCCGAGTGAGCCCCATCAGAGTCAGCAGAAAGAAACTCCATCGTCAATCTTGGTTGGTTGCTGAACAAAGATTTAAACGTTTCCCAGGCTCTATCAGCGGCATCGCGACACTTCTGCTGTTCATCCTGCGATTTCAGCTCCTGAAAGAAAGAAGTGACATGGAATTGACGGAAGCTCGAGAGGAGCTCCTCCAGAAGCTCTTTCATTTCTTGTGCGGTCATGAACTGCGCTTCAATAGTGAAAGGCCCGGTATGATTGCTATCAACATGTCGGAATTCAGTCACAACGCAGGTGCAAGCCGCACCCTCGCTACTCTGCAGTTGAAGGTCAATAGGCATGCATTACCAAAGGAATGAGCGGGGAGACGTACTGAACGTGACAGGCTCTTCTGGTCAAGTAAAGAGTTTATCAAAGAGCTTTTGCCTGCCTGAAAGTTAGGAACCGAAATCACAGATTCAAGACTAGTGGAAAACCATACCAACCCCGGAGTCTCCGATGAACCCCACAGTCCGAGTTTCTGGATACTCAAACACGCTCATTCTTTTGGTCCGCTCAAATAAAGAATGCAAATCGGTAGATTGATCTTGTTTTAGCTCCGAGAGTGCCATCATGTCGGCGAGACTAGACAGTTCACCTTTAACTTCTTTCAGACCAGTCTGAAGCCGATGGTTATAGACTGGCGCGGCAGGGAGCGGCTCTTCACGAATATCACTGGGTATGTTCTCAGTAACCTCCGCAATGTCGCTATCTTGATCACTTTCTGATCCATCCTCACTCTCTGTGGCGTCGCCTGAGGCGTGACTTTCGCCACGGCCACTTTGGGCGGGAAAGGCCCCAGGGACCTGTACTCTATCCGTATCATTATCTGAAAATATGGACTCGGTTCTCTCCTCCCTGGCGTCAACATATGAAGTGGCTTGGGTTGTGCTGGAGAATATTGACTGGCTTCTCCCGGAGTTTCGGCTGCCACGGGGGTAGGGCACGAGTTTCCGCCTAGGACGCGGAGTAGCATTATGCTGCTGTGCATATGTAGAAGGTGAGCTACCTGGGCTCAGCCATGCAGTTGGCGACCTAGCTCGAGGGGTAGTCATCGAGCCTGCAGAATCGTTGAGGCTCAAATCCTGAAAGAGCAGAAGCGTCGGTCTCGGGGATTGTGAGGTTGACGCAAAACTTCCTTCGTTACTGCTCTCTCGGGATAACAATGGAGGAGTGAAGACCACCGCAGGCAGTGGGCTTGCTGAGAAGGTGAATTCAGAAGATGGCAGGCTCATTATGGCATGTTACTTGTGGGAGGTGTCGAAGCATAAGTTTTGGGTCCCACGGTTTACAAAGAAGAGCGCGTAAAACAGAATATAAAGCAATGAAGACCGTCCATTGCGGAATATCCATCCTTGTCTTGGAACACTGGTGCGAGGGGCCATGGCCCTTTTTGCTGCAAGTTGCTGCGCCGCATTGCAGGGCAGCATTTCAACTCCACACTCGTCGTGCTGAACTGCTCGTTGTGCTGAACTGTTTCCTCGGCTGGCGAGCTGATTATTGTTTTAGTTCGCAAGATCTGTACTGCCGAGCCTACAGTTTGTGCATAGCATGTGTTATCTTGACTGGTTTGGGGAGCGTTAAATCTATTGCGAGTTTGGAGTTCCGTTTGGCCCCCACCGGTCCATCAGTTAGCGTGTGTGCGTGCATTTCAATCCCTGTTGCAAAATGGGCGCGATGTCACGCGTGTACTTTGAATAGCCAATGAAGAAGTGAGACTAAAATAAATCGTACTTTTGCCATCGGAAACGTGCTAAATTGTGGTAATTCCAGGATAAGTTGACGCTGATCGGGTGGGTACCTACATAGGAACTAAAACCCACTCGACCTCCAATATTGGCCCTGTCGCTTCAATGTTTGCAAATGCCCATTTCAAATAACTTGTGAAATTCAGACTTGCTATATTGAGATCCATCGCATCATCTCGGGATTGGAAAATAGGCCTTTGTATTTATTTTGAGGGGCGACCAAACCCACCAAGCCTTTCTTTGGACGTTATTGCTCCTGGCGCGCTTACCGAGAGGTGGAACTAACCGAATGTTTTTTTAAACGACAAAAGCATGGAATGCAAGAACCATAAACACATTTATTTGGACTGCAACATCTTCAGGTCCGTCAATATTTCCTCTAGCTCCCGTATTTGTGTTTACAATGTGGCTCATTTCTGTTTTTGTTCCATATCCTCCGCAGCGATATCATCCATTTTTTTCTCTGATAGATGTCGAACCCAATGCACACTAAAACAGAAAACAAGACCGGTTGGCTCCAAGAGATGGACCTCAATGACTTGAATAACCACGTTATGGAGGAGACGCCAAAGGGCTATGAACTGGAAATTGACGTAAGTTTTGGTAGGTCGAAATGATCTGCCGTAGTTTGTTGTCTCCAATGTAATGGAAAAAAAGTGTTAGGATTTCTGCGTGAAGTCTACGACTTCTCCATGAACATTCAGTGGCAGGTCTCCATGCGTCCCAATTCCTTTAGAGTAGTGGCAAGTTCCTGGCTGGTCCATTGTTTGCTGTCGTCGGCGGTGGAAATACCGTCCTCCTCGCTAATCTGTACTCGATCGCATCGGATTTGGTGGTTCAATCAGACCGGTATGCTCTGATAGACACCCATCTCGATGAATCGTGATATCTAATACATATAAAAAGAGCATCCACATTCTTCCTCATGGCATTCGCCAGTCTAGTCGGTGCCTCTGTTGGGCCAGCTATTTCCTCCATCTTTATGGAAGCATTTTCACCTTGGGTTTCAGCCTTCATCGCCTTCTTCGCCAACCTGGTTGCTCTAATCCCGCTCTTCTTTGTACCTGAGACGTTGTGACTATCAAAGCGCGACTCGAGCTCCGAGGAAGATCTAGCCGAGTCAGAAGAAGGGCCTCATAGCTTCCGATTGCGCCTATATCAATCAGTCCCTTCAATTTGGGTCTTCCATCTCATCGCTGAAATCTGCTTCCCTAATTCTTGTCTTAGCCACCTTTCTGCCAGCCGCACCCGAGGTCCTAGGTACTTCCCAATTCTTCGCACAGTACATTAGCAAGCGCTTCAACTGGCCTTTGTCCAAAACGGGCTATCTTTTGACCCTCCGCGGGATCATCCACATGGGAGTCCTACTTTTTACATTTCCTTTACTTTCTAAGGTACTCTTGCGATACCAGCGTCCACCAGTCAAGTACTTGACGCTCGCCCGTGCCTCGGTTGCAATTGCCGCCGTCGGAGCACTCTTCATGGCTGCGTCACAGATAGGATGGGCGGTTGCAGGACTAGCGGTTCATAGCCTGGGGTCTGGTCTGGCCCCGCTGTGTCGCTCGCTAGCAACCAGCTATGTGGCACCACAGGACACGTCCAAATTGAATACGGTCATCGGTATTGTTGAAACAACAGGGTTGCTGTTTGCTGGGCCGGCACTCGCGTGGTTGTTTGAGACGGGAATAAAACTGGGAGGCATGTCGCTTGGGCTGCCGTATTATGGTTTGGCAGGGTCGTTCTTGTTGTGTCTGGTGGGCCTGATCTTTGTCCATCCCCCTGCCCAGGGAGAGGAGACCGACGAATCTTAGTTTAGTTGGTATCCCTTTGGGATAAGGCCAAAAGCGGGATCAGCATGAGATTACAGGCGATTCTCACCTACAGGCAACATTGAGAATTGAGTGCTACACTGCTCTAGTGTTTCCACCTCTGTCTCCCCTCCACCATCCTAGTTTGGCTCGGGTCATTTGGACCCTATCCGATACTGTCTAATGCGTTTACGTATAGGACTGCAGTGACGACCCGTTACGGCCAAACTATACACACATGTGCATCTTGTCCCTCTTGACTGCCGTATTAATTAATTAGCGTTTTGGTTGGATCAATTCTATTTAAATTATATTATATACTTAGGACTGGGGTGGCCACACATTTATCTTGCTCGGAGCCCTGTCTATTATGCTTTATACTTGGAGTCCTTTTCCCCCTACTTGTCCAGGCTTCGAGTCAACGACTGACTACTCTCGCCCTCGATCTCCAAATAATTCCTGGGTGATGATATCTTTGAACCGAGAACAGACCCTCTCTTACTGTGACGGGTCCCTTGCAGTTCGAATTCGGGCTCATTTTCTGATCTCTTTTGAAGTCCCTGCCACGACGGCCCAGTCGATCCACCTCCTGATGCGGCGTTCTTGGACCTTTGCCTCTGTCCCTTCAGCAGTCCGTATAGGACGGGAGCGTTGGCTACGATAGCGGCAGCGAGTAACTCAACGGACGCCCAAGTCGTTCTGTTCACTTGTACAGTGGAATTTTTGGCGTTTTGGGGTAGTCTGGCGATGGTGATTGCGACGATGAAGAAGCCGACGGCGAAGAGGATTGCTAGCTGGATTTTTCTGGAGAGAATGCGTCAACGAGATGCATATGGTAATACTTAGGTATGGGTCGAGTCAAGCTTACTCGAGGGCGGATCGTTTAACCATAATAAGGATTGGAATCGGTAAGGCGATGAGCATAAGATCGGTGATGACATTGAGGACACCTGGGGAAATTAGAGTGTTAGAGGTGTTGCATTGAAACGATCTTCTAGAAGGCTTACCGAGGACGATCAATTGGAGCTGTGCCTGACAGCATAGGCCTGCATTGGTTAGAAGGTCCAACACGAAAAATAGAGGGAATGTAATACCTGGATCGGGCAATACAATCCAGTAATGATTGAACGGATCGCACTCCGTAAAAGTCACAGTCTGTACGATTATATACGTCACTGCAAATATACCAAAATACGAGATCATTGTGACCTTCTCCCAGCGAAGGTGCGTGAGCAGTCTGCGATAGGTATCAAGCAGAACCAACTTTTGCAACCAGAGACTAAAAGAATTATGAGAAAAGAAAAAAACACAGCCGGACCCTGAATTCAATTTAACTCATGACGTACTAGGAATTATAGAACACTCGATTAGTGAGCACAAATTTGCTCGCGATCTCTCTGCGACGGATCTCCTCGGGGGTGAAATTGTGCGTATGTCTGAACGTGGAAGACATATTGTTGGTTCCCCAGATGAGAATAACATGGACCAAGGCGAGGCGTACAACCGCACAGAGAATCGCTCCCATTGCGAAATAATCGCCCAGGACGAACTGGAATCCTTTCAACTTCCGCACCAGCAGCCGAAAGACAATCAAGCCAATTGCGACCCAGGTAAACACCCAAAGAATGATGAGGGTCCCGGATTCCATAGCTTTTGAGCTCTCTGAGAGTCGCAAAGAAGAAAGAAGGGAAGAAAGAGGGAAAGAAAAAGTGTCACATAGACAACAGACGGGGGGCGAACTACTATATCAAATGATGATGTGGACTTTCCAATCATGTTTCAGCCATTGCTCGTATCCATGGATTTAATTATGGATCTCATTATGGAATGAAATTCAAAATCGAAGAGTTCATCAAATCTAAGAGGCGCAAGCGCCTTTGAAGGTTCACTGGGCAAAGTTTAGGAGCCACTTGCGCATTTCTCGTTTATACTTCCGTTCCCGCGCCAATCACGGAGGAAATTCGGCCAAACTATAATATTAGCATCTTCAGAAGTTGAACCCCCTGATAAAACCTTGTCATTTTGTTGATCCCTCATCCTCTCAAGATGCATGTCAAGACAGGATTATTATTGATCTGGGCAATTGCTGCGGCTTCAGGCTGGTGCGCTGAGGTGCCAGCCCAGCGTTCGTACATGTATGTTGGAGGACAATATATTCTGAATAGTGCTGGCCAGCATCTCTTCGCGGATCAGATGTACGTTGAAAAACTGACTCCGGCCGCGGGTGTTACCAAGCCGTATCCAATTGTCTTCATTCATGGACAAGCTCAAACAGGAACCGTGTGTATCATTGAAGAATCCCTTCTCCCCCTTCCCAGAGGTTAACCGTAATATTGGCAGAATTGGCTCAACAAGCCTGACGGAGGAGAAGGCTGGGCCTCGTATTTTCTCTCTGAAGGATATGCATGCTATATTATCGATCAAACCTTCCGCGGTCGCAGTGCCTGGTTCCCTGGCAATGGGACGCTGAGCACCTACAGTGCGGAGCTGTTACAACAGCGCTTCACCGCACCGAAGCAGTACAATCTCTGGCCGCAGGCGTCGCTGCACACCCAATGGAACGGGACGGGCGTGATGGGCGACCCAAATTTCGACAAATACTATTCGTCGACGGTCGAGTTCCTCAGCTCAGCAACCTACCAGCAGTCGACCGTGCAGGCCGCCGGCGCCGCCCTGCTCGACACCATCGGATCCCCAGTCATCCTCCTCTCGCACTCCCAGGGCGGAGGTATGCCCTGGCTGATTGCGGACGTGCGCCCGAAACTGGTCCACTCCATCGTGTCGATCGAACCGACCGGCCCTCCCTTCCAGGACGCCGTCTTCAGCAACTCCTCCACGCGCGCCTACGGGCTTACCGATATCCCGCTAACCTACTGGCCCGCCGTGGTCGATCCGATCGACTTCGTGAAACACGTTATCCCTTCTAACTCGTCGCTGTACTCCGACTGCGTAATCCAGGCCGATTCCCCCGTGCCGAGACAGCTCGTCAATCTCGCAAAGGTGCCTGTCTTGGTCGTGACGACTGAATCGTCTTACCATGCGCCATATGACTGGTGCACGGTCCAGTTCCTGCAGCAGGCGGGCGTCCCCGCACAACATCTCAAGCTGGCGGATATCGGTATCCATGGAAATGGACATATGGTGTTCTTGGAGAAGAATAGTTTGCAGGTTGCTGCTGTTCTGCGGAAGTGGATGGAGCGGAAGTAATTTATAGGATGCAAAACTTTGTTTAACCAAAGTTAAATCCTCAATCATTTTCCGGTCTGTCAAAGCATGTGTATGTGGTTCTTCTAGAACGTGCTCAGAGTTCGAAGCAAGAGCCTGTGCCTCCACCCCATATTCAAGATACTGAAGAGCTCTTTGCACTACGTTTTCAGCGGCGTCTCTTTCTTCTGCCCTTCGCTCCAGGCTATCTTGGTCAGATTGGTTGAGTAATTCTTCAGGCTGCCGTAGGTTGCTTATGCGGACTCTTCTCCCGTCATTTCGTCTTGGACTTTAGCAGTGGGAGGCAGCTCTTGTTCTTAATCGAGGTTGTCTCCAAGTTAAACCTGGGTAAGTAACAAAAAGGAGGTCAGGTCTTTCGTGTATTCGCTATTTATCATCATCAACTCGAAGGTGAAGGCGATGACATTGCAGTATCCTTTTTGCTATGGGGATTGGATTTATACACCCATGCCTCCGGCGAAGGATAAGAGGACGAGAACATGCATGAATCCAACCGTGGCGATAATTGATTTCCAGAAAAAATATACACGAACGAAGACAGGAAAATTGATAACTAACTACCTACCCACTTAGGGGCCTAGAGACATCACATAGTAGTCCCATGCATCCGCGGTACTAGGGAACTGGTCCATAATCAACGGCAAATACCGTTGCGACCATTCTGATCTCCACCAGGCTGTATATTGGGCTTTGCGGGCCTCCCAATATGCAGGTAGCCACCCCGACTGCTCCCAGTCAATGATGCCACAAACATGATAAGTGGGTGTTACCATAATATTGCTACGATACAAATCACCGTGGGTGAATATAATGTCGCTATTATCAGCCAAGTCAGACCGGAATGGTTCTATAGGCACCGAATATGGATCTGGCATTTTCCGCCGAAAGAGAAATGTAAACCAATCATTGAATTCCCGAACAGAAGCAAAAGGACCTGCTTCCGATAGGTGATTCGTATCGAATGCTCTGTCGTAAAGCGGATAAATCCGTGAGATCGTGCCTATAGATGATATTAGAAATCGGTATGAAACGATCGAGCATAAAGGGGCGAAAAGCAACGATTATAGATCCGCTTAGACATGCACAACTAGGATTCTACCAGCCAAACGTGTGATGCCAATAGATTTGACATATTCATTTCCGGTCTTGCAGTCATTGTACTTACCGATAAATGGATCTAAAGGGTCCTGCTTTATTTGACGAAGAGCATCGACGATCTCCCGGAGCTCATGGCAAACCGAGATACGATGATCCTCGTCCATAGAATCCCACGCCTGCTCTAGAGTTTGTCCCTGAATATATTCCATATAAATGAAAGTTTCGCCTCTATCAACACACCACCCGAAGATCTGCGGTACGGGGATATCATCGAGTTGGCCGATAGCAAAAAGACTATGAGCTTCAGAGATGTTCACCCCTGTCCCCCATTTAACGAGAAGATTTCTATCTCGAAAAACCGCGGGCGGGGGTTTGCCTTGAGGACCATCCAGATCAATATCGAAATGGTTCCTGCAACTGAGAGTATCTCTGGTAAGGTGTTGAGCTTCCGCGGGCGGGGGTTTGCTTTGAGGACCTTCCAGATCAGTCCCGAAAATATTACTGCAAATGAGAGTTTCTCCGGTAAGGTGTTGGGCTTTGGCTTTCGCGCCAACCTCATCCGGAGAAGGAAGCTGACCCCATTCCCTCAAATAGGAAGAGTCTGGGATAACGAAATCTAGGGACGCTGGTATCGAAGGCATTCGCCGTATGGGGCCTTTTGTGGCCATAATGTTCAATCCAGATGGTCGAAAGGGTCGATTATGGGGAGTCGGATAGGAAATTGAATGCTTCAAAGGGAAAGTTGGCTTCGTAGGTAGGTGCGGAGAAGCTTTGTCTAAACAAGGGTTTAGTTATGTTGTGTCTATGTACCTTTTGTATGTAGTTGCTATACAAAAGCTACCTAATCCTGCGGTTTCCATATCGGGTACAGAGGTGTTGGTGGGCTTGCCACAATTACTCAGTTCTACATGACCATTACGAACAGGAACAAAAATTTGTAGAGAACGAGTTTTTCATTGAGCAACCATCTATTACGGCAGCTGCACAAATAGAGATAGCGAACAGGATTTCCAACAGCCTCCCAACTACAAAATTGTCTACGGCGACAACATATGGCACTACTATCGCAGGTCGTATGAAGAGCATCTGTAGTCTTGTCACAAGTTAGCAATTGTTTCCAAATTGAGGAGTCAAATGTCAAGTCAAAAGCATGTGTGAGGGTAAAGGCATGGCGTCATCAAAAAATTAGAGTGTTGTTGTTGCATTATTTTAATCTTCAGAGCGCCCCGGAGGGGGGCGTAAATGCTCGGGGTTAAAAATTTATAATCATCCGCCAGGGTGATGTGAGGTGGTGTGTGTGCAAGGGGGAAGAAAGGGGGGAAAGAATTGAAAACTCACCAATTCTGTGGAAACGAACAATGGGCGTAGCTACGTCCATTATACGAGTCCTAGGTTTCCAAGGGAAATCCATTGCCAAGACATGTTGTTTCATTCCCGGTCGCTATTTCAAGCGCCGGTTCAAGTAAATCTAATACATGGCATTCGCATCCCGTCGAGGAGGCGCTTAGTCGAAGAGACCGAAGCCCATGTCCTCATCGGACTCCTCCTCGTCCTCAGCGGGAGCTGCGGCGGCAGGGGCGTCACCACCGGAAGTGGCGGCGGCAGCGGCAGCAGGGGCAGCAGAGGCGTACGCATCGGGGTTAGCGATGCGGTCCTTGAGATCATCAATCTCGGCCCAGCTGTAGTCGGTGCTGATGGCAGCAGCGAGAACCTTCTTGTATCCGTTGATGAGGGAGTGGATAACGGAGGGAAGGGTGGGGGAGGTTGGCAGCCAGGGAGACAGCAGTGATGGTGGAGATAGCCTGGGAGAAGGCGGCCAACAGCTGCTCATCGGTGATGTCAAGAACGTCGGCGCTGAAGCACTGGCCGTTCTCGTAGACCTGGGTGATGGCCATACCGTAGGTGAACGGAGAGATGTTCAGCAGGTTAAGGAGGGTAGCCTCGGAGGCACCGACCTTGCTGCCAGCCTCAACGAGCTTGAGGTCGGAAACAATCTCAATGGTACCACGGGCAATCTTGGTGGGGACACCGAGAGCCTGGAAGAAGGCGGTCTTACCGGGCTCCATACCAGTGTTACCACCGGGGATCCAGACATCATCGGGGGCGACGGCACCGGCACGAGCGGGAGCAGCGACACGGTTGGCAAGGATCTTCTCCTTGGTGGCCTTGAGGTCACCGTTGGTGAAGATGAAACCAACGTTGCCACGGACGTGGGGGAGGAGACGCTCCCACTCGGGGTTCTCAGTGACGAAACCCTTAAGGGCACGACGAACCATGGTGTTCTTACCCATCAGGACGACGGCCTCTCCACGGAGGGAGATACGGATCTCGTGCATCTGCTGGGAGCTGACATTGTCAACTCCGACGATGAAGATGGTGCTGTACTTGTTGAGACTGTAACAGAAGATTGTTAGAAATTTTGAATCGAGTCAATTGCCAGGCGCCATTGAGAGGAAACTAACAGAGTACGCAGCTTCTCAAAGTAAGCGGTCTTGGTTGCGGACTTGCCCCCCATTTCTTCTTGATTTCAGTGAAGATAGGTTGTTTAAGGGAAAGTCTGTTGTTGTTGTAGTTAATGGAAGAGAAGAAAAGAAGAGCTGCCCGAGTTCGGGAAATTCAATTTTGGTAGTGCGCTCGCTAGTGGGTCACGTGATGTAAAAAGTAGACCCGCCCATGATGGACAGACATGGCCGGAATTCGATCAGAGGGATCTCGGGAGCTCTTACTGTTATTTGTTGTCTTCTTGACTATAATTTGTACACAATTGGCACATTTGTGAGCTCATTGATTATTCCCATTCTGTGGATCAGAGCACTTCATCATGGCCGGTCTTCAACATCCATTCCAGTGTCTGCGATATGTCAACAGGCAGTCAGCAAGCCAATCGGATATCCTTATTGCCACAGCTGGTCGCAATCTCTACTCTTACGATGCATTCAGTGGACAGCGCCTGGATGTGTGGCCTCAACCCGTAGATGCCAATGCGGAGGATAAAAGCTCTGACACCGCTCCCGCATCTGAAAGCCAAGGCCCCCCAGAAAAGCGAAGGAAGCTGTCTTCGACCTCCGAGGAACCGAAGGATGTCAAATCTGAGTCAAAGCCTAAGGATTCGAACAAAGAAGCTTCCAACTCCTGGACCAACATTCCTCTCTTGGCTGTTGCCCACGGCAAATATGTAGTGATCATGACCTCCGAGGACAAATGTGTTCGAGTCCTGAGTTTGGACAACGAAGGCAAGCTCCAGCAATTGAATGCTCGGTGAGTGACAATTTTTCTATATGCAAGCTCGCCAAACTCATCATTTATAGTACAATGCCCAAGAAGCTCTCTGCACTTACTCTGACTCCCGATGAGAACAACATCTTGACGGGTGACAAATTCGGAGATGTGTACACTTTCCCACTAATTCCGAGCGGAGAATACGTGAAGGTCCAGGCCCCAGTGAAAGCATATGAGCCAGCTGCCACAAACCTCACGGTGCACACGAAACGCAACCTTGAATCATTGGAGCAACAAATGCGACAGGCGGGTCTGTCGAAGACCAACCAAGCAGAACGAGTTGTGTTGAACTTCGAGCACCAAGTCATTATCGGTCACGTTTCGTTGTTGACGGAGTTGATCTCCGTTACCCGGCCTGCGGACTCCACCGTTGGCAAGCGGAATTACATCCTGACTGCGGATCGTGATGAGCACATCCGTGTCTCTCGTGGTGTTCCCCAGGCCCATGTAATTGAACAGTTCTGCTTTGGCCACACTTCATTTGTCAGCAGTCTTTGCGTCCCTTCGTTCGAACCCAAGGTTCTCGTCTCGGGCGGTGGCGACAACTATCTGCTTGTGTGGGACTGGCTCGAGAACCAGATCTTACAGAAAGTTCAGCTTCCTGGGTCAGAAGGAGAGACTACGGTGCGCGGCATTTGGGATGTTTCCCTTGCGCCTACCGCAGATAATGTCGATCCTGTGAAGGCTATCTTTGTTGCGCTGGAAGGGTACGTTCCAATAACTATCGATGATATATATAATTCTCCTAACATTAAGAGCAGATCTTCAAAGCTTCTTTACTACACTCTCGAAAGCGACAACACGATAACTCTCCAAGATACCCTCGAGCTGTCAGGAAACGTTCTTGAGCTGATTGGTATTGATTCAAGAGGCTCTATTCTTGTTGCCGTGGATACTTTGCGGCAATCTGATTCGATAAGTGCTTGGAAGTCGTCTTCTCAGCCTCCTCTCGAAACCTTCCAACTCAGTTCTGGAAAGTGGGCTCCTGTAGAGGACTCCATGGTCACCAAAATCAACTCCGAGGGCACCTCGAGTCTCCCTACGACGATAGAGCAAAAACAGCAGAAAGAGCTCAATGATTCGATGTACAATTTGGGCAACCTGCGGAAGAGAGGTGACTACGACGAATAAAAGCATGCTTTTAATGAATGTACAGCAAATGATCAATTAGAGTTCCAAATACATATGTAATGCAGCAGTTTTCCAAGGTTCATTATAGTTCGTCCAAAAAAAAAAAAAAAAGATGCTTGTAAAATTCGCATCACCCCGATCAAAATATATATCTCTATATTTCCATACATACATCTTTGTTTTGACTGCCTCTTCGTCTCCCTTGTCCCTGTTAAGAAGAAAGAAAATATATCAAATAGACCCCGAACCAATTACGAGAAGAAGTGCACTTAGAAAAGCTTTGAAATGGATACCAAACTCAGGGGTCACCCGAGGCTTGGTTCCCTCGATCCCTTCCTTCCGGCAGTTTTCTCTTTTGCGTGGATTTCTTTTTTGTTAAACTTAATAAACTCAACAATTAACCTGATGTACAGGATAAAGACTCGGTTCAGCGTTCAGTCGCAGATGTCCATTCCATGTCCCACCATGAGTAAACGGACAACAGCCCATAGGAGTGTCGTTTTTGGACAACCTGTCAGCACATTTCTCAACCGCGGCAAGCACTGTTTCCTTCCCCAATGAACTATCGCAAGTTGTACCCGTTACTTTCGCCTCATACACGTAACCATTGAAGATTTCTCCACTTAGCTCCATGCTATAAGTCAAGGCGCAGGAGACAATGGTGATATTATATTTGTCGTCGAGATTGAGAGTGTTGTTGGTATCCGCCATGTCGAGTGCTCCGTCGTCATATCCCAGAAGAACCGAGCTTGCAAATATCTCCATTGTTGCGTTGTCTCCAGCAAGACATGGGTTGACAAGCGCACACGCGAGAATGCCATATAGGAGATTGCTGGGGTTGACCATCGCCTTTCGGTTCGGTACATTGGTTAGAACACATTCTTCTTGGGGTATGCAACAAAGAATAGCAATTACCAAGTAAGGGGGACTGGATCTGTGTGGTCGCGACAGGTTCTATGGTGTGAGAGGTCTGAACTTCTTTTAGGAAGAACTGTTTTGGCTAGCAAGGATGGATAGAATTGCTGTTATATCTACCGTTTCCACACCAAATTAACTAATAAGTCAGAATATGCCCTGATAGGATGGCCCCGAGGGCGTGAGACATTATTAATTCCTCGCCGTAGCCTAGATCTGCTGGGGATCTCCCGCGAATGGCTCCATCCAATCGAACCTCAGTCACCGTTCCTAGTTAGACTTACGATGGTCAGAGACAGACTAGAGCATCTTTAAGCTTTCGGAGGCCGGTACTCGGCGTTTGATCTACGGGGCAACCATACCTAGGTAGGGCTATCATACCAACGTAGTGTTCTTGACCAACAGTAGGAGTCCTTAGAAAAAATCCCAACAAATATAGAAGGGCGGATATATCAACCTCTAGAAAAATTGTCTAATAGGAGACAAGATGTACCGGTGGCCTCGAATGGCGAAATACACAAACATGTTAATCGATTTGACAACTCGAATTCTAGCTATATTCCAATAGAGAAGAAACTACCTAACTATCGCCAAAAAAAAATCAATAAAAAGATACCTCGGAAAGAAAACGAGTTAGGAAATGCGTTGCCGCTCCAAAGTGTTTTCCGATAATCGCGGGCCGCAGTACCCGGAGAACCCTTCTTATAATCCCACTTCCCCCCTCCATCCCACTTGCATAATCCACCAACACAATGCAGGAACAATTTGAGCCTTTGAAGAACGATTTGCTGCTGAGGGCTGCACGGGGTATGTTTACTCTGTGTTTTGTGTTTTAATCGGAGCTGACAATCGCAGGTGAGAAGGTGGAGCGTCCTCCGATATGGGTCATGCGACAGGGTGAGTTGGAATTAGTTCGTGCACCATTTCCCCAAGAACAATTGATTGACATATTTTTCTTTATTAAATAGCTGGCCGATACCTCCCCGAATACCATGAGGCGAAGGGCGGCCGCGACTTCTTCGAATGCTGCCGCAGCCCCGAAATTGCATCGACCCTCACTCTCCAGCCTATTGAGCGTTACGAAGGCCTCATCGACGCCGCAATTATCTTCTCTGATATCCTAGTCATTCCTCAGGCTATGGGCATGGTCGTGGAGATGGTGGATAAGAAGGGGCCTCATTTCCCCGAGCCCCTTGACTCCCCGACGGACGGACAGTACGAGAAGGTGATGGCGAAGGATGTGGATGTTAAAGCAGAGCTGGACTACGTCTATAAGGCAATTACCCTCACACGATCCAAGCTGAAGGGCCGAGTGCCCCTGATCGGCTTCTGTGGTGCACCATGGACTCTGCTGTGTTACATGGTCGAAGGCGGTGGCAGCAAGCTCTTCGTGCAGTCCAAGAAATGGGTCTACAAGTACCCTGCCGAGGCACAGGCTCTGCTGCAGAAGATTGCTGAGATCTGCGTGGAATATCTCGCGCTCCAGGTCGCTGCCGGAGCGCAGCTAGTGCAGGTCTTTGACTCATGGGCCGGCGAGCTGTCTCCCGTCTCGTTCAAGTCGTTCTCCCTTCCTTACCTGCGCCACATATCCGCCAACCTCCCCAAGCGGCTGCAGGAGATGGGCCTAGAGCCTGTCCCGATGACCGTCTTCGCCAAGGGCGCCTGGTACGCTCTGGATGACCTCTGCGATTCGGGCTACAATGTTGTCGGCTTGGACTGGCTGCACGATGCCGGTGAGGCCATGCGCATTGCCAACGGCCGTGTGACTATCCAGGGCAATGCGGATCCTGGCATGCTCTACGGTGGTCCCCCGGCCATTACTGCCACTCTTGAGCCGATGGTTGAGGGTTTCAAGAAGGGCAAGCAGGGATGGATCTGCAACTTGGGCCATGGTTAGTGAAACCTTATAATTTGGGGCTGCATATATTTAACTAATTGTCTCTCAACGCAGGTGTCACTCCATTCGTCGATCCCGAGAACCTCAAGTTCTTCTTTGAAGAAATCCACCGCTTGACCGTATAATTATGTGTTTTTGAATCTTAAAAGCAGTCGGCTTCTTCCCCGACTCAGATCAGAATACTACATTGGATCTAAACGCACATCCTTTGGGCGTGAATATTTTCAATTCTCGGGGTATTTAGGGCTATGATATATGCAGGCCTTATGAAATTAGACAGCGATATCCTCGTTCCTGTAAAGCAGACACTACAGTTAGTATTGATGATCATGAAACAGCCAAAACTCTTCGATGCAACTGCGAGCAGACCGAGAGCCGCTTCACGCATTATAGACCAAACACTAAACACAACATACCATAGCTCAGGCTTCTCCTTCATGAAGTTGGTCATCAATTCCTTGCACTCGGCGTTATCCAAGACAACAACCTCCTTGCCCTTGTTGAGCAGAAGCTCCTCACCACCCATGAAGCTCTTGTTCTCACCAATGACAACCCGCTTCACCTTGTAGAGGATACAAGCACCAGTACACATATCACAGGGCGAGAGGGTGGTGTACATAGTAGCACCCTCGTAAGCGGAGGCAGGAAGACGGCCGGAGTTCTCGAGGGCGGACATCTCGGCCTTGTGTGTGTTAGCAGTAGTTCATGAACGCTATAATAGTGGATATAGATATAGATCGGCAATTGATATCAATTGGAGTATATCACTCTATACTGACATGTAAGACAGCGCTTCCCTTCTGGACGCGCATGTTGTGACCACGGCCAAGGATCTTTCCATCCTTCGAGACCAGGGCAGCACCGATTGGCACACCTCCCTCAGAGAGGCCTAGCTTCGCCTCTTCGACGGCGGCAATGAATCCGGGATCATGTTCCATTTTGAAGAGTGTAGTGACTGAGTTGAGTGTGGGCTACGGAGTAGAGAGGGGGCAAGATAAGGAAACTACGAGGTACCGAGTACGGAAATCTACTCCAGGACATAATCGGAGTGTTCCGAACCCCTCTATGACGACGGAACCGAGTGGACCGTGAAGAGCTTTTTTCCCCTCGCCTCTTGGCTTATCGATAAGAGATATGTGGCTGGAGGGTGGCTGTTAGTGGCGAGGCTCCAAAATTTCTGCATTGCGAGTTACTGGTACATTTACAGGGATTGTATGCAGGATACAATATGCAAAAACCTGTATACAACCCTTATATGATATGCCTATTAAACCAATAAATCGCTAAATCAACAGCCGTTTTGTACATAAAGAGTGATATCATTCCAGACATCCAGGCATACACCTGCACAGGCGCCTGATGGGCGAAATATACACCGTTAGTCAGCAGTAAAAAAAACATGGAAACGCGGAGAAAGTCTGCGAAGGCCATCGAAGGCCGCAGAATCCCGTAGAATCAGCGCTCGGGCCAATTCAGGGTATACATAGAAGCCGCCAGAAGAGTTGAAGGCGAAGAATAGCCCGTATTGTAGAGCAATTTATCGATTCTGGATTGAAAAATAGCAAAATCTGCTTCAAAGCGAGACAAAGAAAACTAGTGGAAAATCATCAATCCTTAGTTGCCCTGGTAATTTATTGGGTAACTTTACGAGTCCAATACAGGTGCCTGGGTAAAAAAGTTACTCAGCCTTTTTTTTGGCTTCGATTATTATTGTTCAGATAACCATCTCGCCCTTTCTCTCCCCCTCCACTTTCTCATCTCCCTCCAGCCAGGACTTCAAATACCCGCAATTGTTGTCCATTTGGCATTTCTCATATAAAAGCCGTCTCAAAGTTTTCGGCGCCTTTGTCCCTCTCCATTCTCCCGCTTCATTTCTGGATTCCACGGGAAGACCAATATCGATATTCTTTCTACGCCTCTTGATTCCCCGCATACTTCACAATGGTCAAGGAAACCAAGTTCTACGACACCCTCGGGGTATGTTAAACTATACTTGGCTGGTTCTGATACCAGTTTGATTCGTGCTTGAAATCTGACTTGGTGTTTCTTTCATTTAGGTCGCTCCCACCGCTACCGAGGCTCAGCTCAAGACTGCCTATAAGAAAGGTGCTCTCAAGTACCACCCTGGTATGTGACAACCCCGGAGAATTCGGATAGCATATGTATGAAACACTCAGCTGACATCCCTTTGTGACATGAAGACAAGAACACCAACAACCCCGATGCCTCAGAGAAGTTCAAGGAACTGTCGCACGCCTACGAGACTCTTTCCGACCCCGAGAAGCGTCAACTCTATGATCAGCTCGGCGAGGAAGGCCTGGAGCACGGCGGTGGTGGCGGCGGCATGAACGCCGAGGATTTGTTCTCTCAATTCTTCGGCGGCGGCGGCGGCGGCCCCTTCGGCGGAATGTTCGGCGGTGGCATGCGTGAACAAGGCCCTAAGAAGGCCCGCACAATCCACCACGTGCACAAGGTTAACCTCGAGGATATCTACAAGGGCAAGGTCTCCAAGTTGGCGCTCCAGAAGTCCGTCATCTGCGGTGGCTGTGATGGCCGCGGTGGAAAGGAGGGCGCTGTCAAGGAGTGCGCGGGCTGCAACGGTAGCGGTATGAAGACTATGATGCGCCAGATGGGTCCCATGATCCAGCGCTTCCAGACTGTCTGCCCCGACTGCAACGGTGAAGGCGAGATCGTCCGTGATAAGGACCGCTGCAAGAAGTGTAACGGCAAGAAGACCGTTGTTGAGCGCAAGGTGCTCCACGTCCACGTCGACAAAGGTGTGCGCGATGGCCACAAGATTGAGTTCCGCGGCGAGGGTGACCAAATGCCTGGTGTCATGCCCGGTGATGTCGTGTTCGAGATTGAGCAGAAGCCCCACGCCCGCTTCCAGCGCAAGGGCGACGACCTGTTCTACCAGGCCGAGATCGACCTGCTTACCGCTCTTGCCGGCGGTGCCATCCACATTGAGCACCTCGATGATCGGTGGATGACCGTGAACATCGCCCCTGGCGAGGTTATCGTTCCTGGTATGTGACTTACCTTGTTTTCTCTCATAACCCTCGTAAAACTTGTTGCTAACAATTCTTTTTAGATGCCATTAAGGTCATCCACGGCCAGGGTATGCCCTCGTTCCGCCACCACGACCACGGCAACCTGTACATCAAGTTCGATGTTCAGTTCCCCAAGAAGGAGGATCTCCAGAACCTTGAACTCTTGGAGAAGGTCCTTCCTCCTCGCTCCGAGAAGATCGTGCCCCCGACCGACGCCATGGTCGAGGACTTCGAGCTTGAGGACCCCGCGAACGAGCACGACCAGGCCCGCGCCCACGGCGCGGCCGCGACCGGCATGGACGAGGATGACGACGACGTGCCCGGCGGTGCCGAGCGGGTACAGTGCGCTTCGCAGTAAAAGGATTTCGGAGACAATTTCCATGCCGTAAATGGGGGTTGATGCTAGGCCAATGATGAAGTCTTCGCTTATGATACCATGTGAAGGGGGCCCCTCTCCTTAACCCCGATTTGACGCGGGGAACCTGTTTGTTTTCTTTATGCTTTGCAATGGCGTTTCCTCCGAAGACCTGGAAGATATCATTTCTCTTTTTTCTCTTTGTCTTCTCGGGTTTCATTTCCCAATTTCTCCTGTAATCCTCTTTCGAATCCCTCGCCGTGCCCAAGTCTTTTTCTTCTATTGCATACACGTTTCGGGTCCTTGATCCTTGCTTTTCCATTGCTTTTTCACGTTTGTCGCCCATTTTATGTTTTCCATGGGAATCGGGGTTTGTGTGGTGGGAGTTGCGCTGACCATGGGAAAGACTCATGAATCGAAGATAGATGAGACGAGACCACGATTGCGGGCTTGGCTCTTGCGAACGGATCTAAAAGATTTATGTTGCCCATGCTGGCTTTGTTCTAGGACGAAGCTTTAGGAGGGGGTCGCGGCGTGATCATGATGGATTCGTTCTTTTTTTTGTTAGCCTTGATGATGACCTTTGAATAGACATTGTATGTTTTCGTTCCAATGCATTTGCTCATCCTATGGATGTATTGTTAGATATGAGACGTGTTGATGGTAGGCGTACGTGTAGTCATAAGAGTATAGAGAAGGAGGTGGGAGTGCGACAAGATAGCTTCCTTGGAAGTCCTCAAGGTCCTCTGCGCTATTGTGGGATTGACTTCCAAGGTTGTATGTGAACTTCCATATCAAGCTCGCCAAGCCCCATGGCAGGATCAAGCATTGGGTTTGGCATGTCTCACTTTTCCTTCGACATTCGAAATTACGCGTGTAGCAGAGCGAAAATTGTCACAAACCAGTCCTTCTCAACAGTTCGTACCTTTCTAAAATGGACTAAGAAGTTGACTGGTTGAGGCGATGACCTAAATGAGCCAAGCTGCTCGACATGGTCAACTCTAGGTACTGGATCCTTTCAATACGGCCAGGCTGCTCGACGGCAACGACCTATGGGGCGACATTAAGGGAAATAAATACTGTGGCTTTAATATTTATGTTTTAGTTTGTCTATTGTTACAAGCTCGAACAGAGCAGGTGAATTCCGACTGTTATAGGCCTACCGAATTGAGATTGTCCACCGGATGATGGTAAGAGAAACAGCGGAACTATATAGGAAGATCAAGAATAACCACTGGATTCAAATAACTCGTACATTTTCCCTTCCTTGTTCTCTTCGCTGTCCTTAGAGTTCTCCCATCACTTAGCTTGCAAGCTGCAAGACTGCCCGCCCATTTCTCTGATAAGGGGATTGGCCATTCCATTCTTTTTTATCCTCATATAAACCCCCATTCTTTATTGCTGCCCTGAAAATCTTTCACTTTTTCGTATATTTCTTTCGATCTTCTTGCTCCTTTTCTTTTTATATGTAATGGGTCCTATGACACGCTGGAAACTCTCGAGGACGATCTCAGCAACGTTCCCATTCACTGCGAGAGTGTCTAGGCGCTGCAAGTTCTGAATGGCATGTCGAAGGGTGAACTGGACAGTTACACATAAGAAGCCTAATAGCTGAACCTTTACTTGTTTATAAGGATACGTATGGTCGTTGTAGCCTGCGCATTGCTTCGGCGAGGGGTCACGGTAAATGAAGGAAGATCAAAGACGATACGAGGCCTGAGTATGATTCCTATGAGATTATATATAGCCCGGAGTAGTTGAGAAGAAAAATAGTTGTGTTTCCCCTGTGGGTGGCATCGATTTACATCATAGTCCTAGGAGTAAATAGAACAGTTAGATAAGTTCAAGCAATCATTGCGATAGAGGATATGAGTTTATCATACCTTATGCTGAGGTTGATGCACTTAGAACCCAATAGATTCCAAGTGGCGAGGGGAAAGAGAACCACTGTAAAGCAAAATTTGGCCCTGATTGTTTGTCTGGTATGCGAAGAATGGACATCTTCCTGTAGCGCACTGGTAGGATATCGACCGGGGATATCTCTTCTTCCGACCTGCTATGACCCGTCTGCTGGGCTGTCTTCCATCATCACAGGAACATGTAGGGTTTTCTTCCAAAACACCTCGTCTATCTCCAAAGCAAGCAAATTTCCCACAAGAAGAGCAGGTGTAGTATGGACGGTGTGCATTGCCATTCGCATTGTATGGACTGCAGTGCCGCTCTTTGGTAAGCCCGCTACAATAAAGACAGCGCGGATTGAAAAGATTGTTCATATTTGATAGTGGAATGGTTCCAAGCTTGTTTGCTGAGGTAGTGGTTGAGGTTTGTGCAATCAGATATTGGGGGGCGATTTTCAGGATCGGGGAATGAAGGAAAATGTGAAAATCAGTGAGACGATAGTCTAATATACAGCCCAGTGAGGCTCAGCCTAGATGTACCCAAGGCTGTCTGTCGTGAGTCATGTAAGCTGTGTGGCTATGAGAGCAGGACTCGTGTGTACGTCGATTTCTTAAGAAAAAGCAACCCTGCTGGTTTGGGCGGTCCGATTTTCCTTCTTACAAGTACCCAAGAAATATTGATTCGTTTGGTCCAGAACCTGTAGTTCAGCGGCATCTTTATACTTCGATGATTTACATATAGAGTGGATCTTTCAGAGTGATATTAAATTCCTTCCGTATTATTCCATATTTGCTGTGGAAATATGAAAGTCAACCCCAGTAACAAGCCCAAGGCAGAATTGGGCAATGACTGCGCCAAAAGGCGAACCAATTATAGACTTGCACGAAGCTGCGCAGCAAACAACAAGAAAGTGGCGTCCCCTTGCAACCCCCGATAGAACTGCCGTATTAAAGCACTGAAGTTGAGAAAAAGTTATTCAAAACCAGCAGAATATCAGTGCTGTGGTTTAAATTAGTTTCACTACCCAAAGTTTGGACTGTCCTATTAACGACATTGAGACTGACAAGGGAGATCCAGGGCAGGCGTTGGTGTACGCTAAATTCCCCCGCTCCAAGCTGCATGAGCTGAAAAATTTCTAGATGCAGATAATCTCATCGAATTCAAAGAATCGCCACAGAAAGGTCTGGGTGTGTTCGCAAAAGCCAATATACCTTATGGCACCCGTGTTATCTCAGAACAGGCCCTTCTCGAAGCCGATATCAACACTGAACCCATGGGAAATATCATAACAGCCTTCGAACGTCTTCCACCTTCCCAGAAAAAAATCATACATGGAGCTCCACGGATATGCGTGCGAATTATTCCAGCTGCGAGTGAGAGCCCTGGAGCTTTATGTGGAAAGTACTTGTATGCATGAACAGGATCAATTCAAAGAAGATGGGACGATAGAAAAAGGGGTTCCTGAAAGGGTGCTGAGCCTGGACGCACCAATGAAGAGGCACATAGCACGAGTATTAAGATTGGAAATCGGACAACTGGACTTTTGTTACCGAAATCCATACTCCGATCCCACATATAAGCAGCGAGAATACCCAAAAAAGCCGTTTGAATAATTCTCCATAGATAAGTGATATTTCGTGCTCGCTTCGTTACTTGTAAAAATTGAATTGTCTCTCTCATCACAATGTGGCCGACGAGATTCGCGAAGTGATCGCCGAAATACGGTATAATGTAGAGCGCTATGAGTCTATACTTCGGCGTCGTAAAGGTCGCCACGCGGGTCCACTCCCGTGAAGCGATGGAAATATTCTTCATGCGTTTTTTCCGGAAGGTGGCCCAAGAATCTAGAGTCCGCGAAATAGTATCAGGCAATATATGAGCATTTGAGTCCAGCATTGATGACAAGCAATTGGCGAGAGACGCAGCGGTTTCAATGGCACTATTGGCTCCCTGGCCCAAATTTGGTGTCATCTGGCTTCTGTCAGAGAAGCTGTGCTGTACGGGAATAGCAAAACTCACTTTATGGACTGAATCGCCTATACAGACGCACCGATTCCAATTCCAGATATCGAAAAAGGCCTCCTCGAGAGGAACGTATTCAGCAGTCTTCCTTCGTCTGTATACAGACTCAAATGTGACATTCGCTGTGATGTACTTTTCCAGGTAGGGCTGCACATGGTCTGCAATGTCCTCATGATTGTACTTTGGAATATTTGACGCAGTATAGGTGCAGTTCAACTTGGTGAAAAAGAGCCAGAAAACAAGACCTCCCGTACCGACTCCAAACATTACAGAGAATCCGTCTCCAAACGTGATGTGGCCGTCTCCTTCGGCACCAGAGAGCCGAGTAAGTCATCACAAATCCCCAATTGATCCAGTATCCTCAACGCGTTTGGGAGAACGGCGATTGGGGCTCCAAATTCGGGGACAATTTTCCCGCGTGCTTCCAGAAGAAGAAAATCAATACCTCTACGTGCCAGACAGTGTGCGAGGGTAAGACCAGCGACGCCTGCGCCCACAATAATGGCACGGAAGTCCTGTGGAGCTTTGGTCTTCATAATATAACACTTGAAGGAAAACCTTGTGCATAAGCGAGCACGTACAAGGGAGGATGACGGAGGAGAAAAGATAAAGTTAGCTTCAGTACTACCTTTATTGGTCTTCCCAGCAAGGTTCATGCTCCAAGGTAGGTGCATATGCATGACAGGGTGGAATATCAACGATCTGGCCACTTAAAACTACCAGCCAAGATCTCGCATACACTTAAATTAAGCATAGAGTTTCGTATCCCTGTATAACATTTCAAGTTTTATTGCAGACTTTCGATGGGTAGGTTCGCTGTATTTTCCAATGGTTACACCGCCATTTCCCCATATGACCTAGTTAGTGGTAGATTGATTGTATAAATTTGAAGATTCAGGATACCTAACCCTTGGTGGACCCTCGAAAACCAATAGCTAACGAGACCAACCAGGGTGCGTCGAAAAGGGAAGGCTAAACCCGGTCTTTGCCCGATCAGAGAGAGCAAAGCGGGGATATCATCGACACTTTTTCAGATCCATCTCTTCAGATGCATTCTAACATACTCCACAACTCAGGCGCTAGTTAATAATACACAGCAGTACTGCTCCATACTGATAATATGAGCCTCGCTTAGGAGGTAGGGATTGCTGAAAGGGAAGCGATCGGCAAATGTGGTCCTCGATACGGAGTAGTGAGGGAGTATAGAGGGACAAACGTTTTGATATGACTTATTTAGTTCGTTATAATTCTTTATAAAGCTGTCTCATTGTCTACGGCTATATACGGAGTAATACTATGATATAGATGTTTTGAGGAGAATAATGTATACCAGAAAGGACTGATATTGTCAAATCTTCGCACAGATAGAGGAATTTCAACCCACAACGTTATAAGCCGATAATGATCCACAGCAGTGAACTTACTTTTGATACTTCCCAGAATCAATCGCTTGACTAGCGGTGAGAATTTGAAAAACTTTACTGTCGTCGGTGGTAAGATGGAAATATCTTTTCTTAGGTCGATAGATACAAAACTCAAATTTACATTCAACAATCAGTAACACCTTCGTAGTAACACATGTGCACTATATATATTCAATAAGAACATCACCTCTGGGACCATATTTATCCTTCTCATCCACTTACCCACGAATTCAATCAGATTCACCATTCTTACAAAACATTTGTGGCTATCATGGAAAGTCCACGGCAACAACTGATCAACAGACTCACAGGCCAGGTATATATCATTCCTAACCTTTATTCATTGTTCCCTAGTTGGAAACCCCGGGTAAATGAGTATTATGAGGCTTCCAAGAAAAATTGTGACAACTGGGTCCTGCAGTATGTTTTACTATTCTGAAATCAGAAGTATGCTAATCGAATGGTTAGCTGGATAAAGGATCATAACTTAGCGCGAAAGATTATGTCCGCAAAGCTTTCCTTTGTTGCTGCAACATTTTACCCAGACGCAAACCCTGAAAGGTTTCTAACGGCGACTGAATTCATATTATGGGTAAGAACCTAAATCCCTCTAATGATAATAACTATTTTTCTAATCCAACATGCAGACCTTTGCTTATGACGATGGTATATCCTGCTCGAGAGTTCTTGATAAACCGATATATTTCTAATACTATGATAGAATTTGATGAAGGCTCTCTTGCGAATGATTCACCGGGAAGCACCAAGTATGTGAATGACATGGTTGATTGCGTAGAGGCTTGTTTGGCAAGAGGTCTTGTTGTTTCACCACCCACAAAACCTCGTTAAGAACTAATTCGACAGATACACAAATGACTTTGAACTCCCTCCATGGATTGCAAGTCACAAAACGATACATTCAATGATCGATTGCACAAATTTGATGATATCCCAGTCAGTGATGTCTGCCCAGGTGCAAATGCATCTGTCCATAGATATTTTACGAACACATAATCTAACACTAGTGTCAACGACGTCTTCTCACTATACAATGAATTTGTACTACTCACCTACATCCTACGTGATCAAAATTTATACTAACTGCAAAAGCGTCAGGGCCATATTGATAATATGGTGATGCTTACAGTACATCATCAAAACTTGGATGTTCAGTCTGCGATCAATCATACTATTGCGCTTGCAGAGAAACAGTTCTCTGTTTTTGGAGAACTTGAAAGAGAACTTAACTCCCTCTCTCGTGATCCGGAAGTGAAACGAGTCATAGAAAAGTTCGTCCAGGGCTGCAAAAATTTGTGTACGGGAAATATACATTACAGGTTGGTACTCTTTCTACCAAAAGGAACTGGTCGATGGCTAATCTGCTATGAAGTTATACATTGAAGAGATACACCAAAGCGGGAGAGGTTATCGGAGGAAATAGATTCAAGTTCACGCTTATAAACCAGAACTAGCGAGAAGTTTTGGAAGTAGGTGGCCGCTGTTACATATGCTTCTGTTAGCTGAAGTTACCACCACTCCTGTTCGGAATCCTTTCTCTCAAGCTGATCTATTTCTTATTCTTTTGCCATTAAATCAGTGTTCAGCCGAATAGTATCGTCTTCATACGTAGTCAACGAAATATCTCTACCTAAATTAGAGCGGAGTCTGATTACAGTACACTCTTGTATGTACAGAAGCTATCAATTCCAGCTACATGGGGAAGAGTAAGCTCACGATCTTTGATATGCTGTTAACGAGCCTGAATTTAGTGTTTTGGTTCTTGTACTGGGCACTTAGAAGCCGGCGGCTTCCAGAAGCCCCACCAAGAGACAACCACGTTTCCAGGAACTATAAGGCAGCCAGGTCGCGTGCATGGTTATTGTTGGATCATGTCATTGATGCCTGACTGTACAGGTTTGCTTGCTGACAGACTGAGCGCTTGTTTGCCAGATCTAGGGTATAAATACCCTGCTCTCCGTAGTTTGAATGATCAAGATTTCTTCCTTCTCTCTCCCCCCGATCCCTATAGCAGAAGCTATAACAGTTACGTCAAAAGTATTTCATCCGCTCACTGAGAAAGGTGATGAGGAGGTCTGATCGGGATTCTGATTCGGAAAGGAAGCCCCTCGCATATAAAACACCGAGTTCCATCGAGTATATTAATATTAATATATTCTGAGATGGGTAAAAGACTAGGGTACCTCACCTTTCTATCACTTTTCCTTTGTTTATGATCTTGAAGTGAAGCACCTTCTCACCTTCTCACATTGTTACTGCCAGTCCTACTTTTCTTTCTCCTTTCACTTTTTATCTCTTGTTACCACACCAAACTACAAATTTCCTTCACCCACCTCAAATACTCTTTTTCAATGTCTGTTTTGGTTCTTCCTACTACGGCCATTGGCCCTCCCACTCCTCTTCCCCCTCCTTCTAAGCGGAAGCCTGCCGACAGACCATTTCTACGCAGACGTCGCAAGAAGCAAAGGGCAAGGCAGGCTAAGAAGGAGAAGGTAAGCTATCACTCAGCTGTCATACGTCCCAGCATATCCTTCCTTTTCTCCCCGTTTATCCGTTGAATACAATCTTTATGTGAAGTAAACGCATAAATACTAATGACGACTCCAGGCCAGGGCCAAGGAGCAAGCTTTGCGCACCGCACACACCTTCAAGCTCTGGTTTCTTACATCGTGTCTTTCCAATCCTCAGGTTACGCACTTCATACACCTTACTCCTAGCTCATTGAACCCTACGATTCTAAGATGGAGCCCAAATATGGCCCAATGATCTCGATATGGAGTCGATCCCGGGAATCGATGACCTTTCTACCGGGAATACGCTTAATTCTCCCGAGTACATCGATTTCTACGCAACAAACGATCTTGTTGAATCCGACCTCGAAGAAGACGAAGGCAACGAAGACGACGGAGCGAATCACTGCGAGGACACACTTACTACCCTGGGCTAAGTTGCCTTCCCGAAGTCCCAAGAAACCCATATCTATCTCAACAGTTAGTCATAAAGGTAGGTACACAATGAAACATTGAACCAGCGGTCATACCTAGCAGTATGTGTTTGTCATGACCTTTGGCCTAATCTCAAGTTGCATGGAGTGCTGTCTCAAATTCTGAGATAACCGGAGACTGTAGGGATAAAAACTTGGACGACTCAGCTGCCTGAATAAGATCTATAGGCTGAGTCCGTGGAGCAAAATGATGAACTGAAGTCTAAAGATGAACAAACAGTATGGCTAGGGGATGGCTTGAAAGGAATTCTTGGGGCCAGGTCTCTCACACCCCCTGATATCGATAGCCCAGCTAGATCGGCAAATAAGTTTTGACTGATTGCTAAAGTACCTGCGCTTCCCTGGATGACGAAATAACAAACGCGATTGTGTCACGACGCAATAATACTTGAACCGGCACTAGAGATAATTCTGTTGACTACAAGCCAATAAATGTGGTAGAAGAGTCCGATCAGACCGTCTAGGCATACTACAGGTATTATGTGATCGCGAGAGGGTCGTGTTGTTCATCTACGACCCAGTGCCTACCTTGATCTCAAGGTTCGAAGGCATCTGTGCGTTATGCCCAAGAGCTAAGCTCACCGGTATCGAAATAAGGCGTGATCATAAGTTCTAGAACAAAGCTAGTTTGGTGTAATTAGTAACATGGCTGTTAGGTGCAGCTTTTGCCATAAGGGCCAGAGATGCTTCGGATAAATCCTGGAACTGGTACTTTTGTCTTATTTTCCCCTTGAGGGATTTTACCTTCCATTTCCTCGTTATGCTCGCTCTTCATTAAGGGAACAAGGGTTATGAGTGCTAGGTGAACGACTGCCCAGGCAGATCCAGGGCTACTCCTTACATACAGTAAGACCGAGCTGCCTCCTCGGGATTCCCCGCAAAAGCGACTTCATGGTCACCCCTGCATATGCAGGCATGCACCCGAGGACCAGGGCCGAGAGCGCATTGTGGCATCAGTCACGCAGACCCGGCAGATGGGATAGAAGCTGTTCGATGGCGTGCTCAGGGTAAAGATCTCCAGATCGTACGCTAGATCCCGTATCCATATGTAGAAATGGAGAAAAGGGGACTCGGGGATCAAGAATACGGAAACCCGAACGAGAATAAATGAAGCTATTTTATATTAGCGGCAAGGGCGAGAAATGAAAACAAAAAGAAGAAAGCAAAAAAAATCGATAGATCAACCAACTGAATCACTAGTCGATATAGCTGGCGAGGTTCTCGTATAAAACAAGCCAGACGCCACCCCGTCTAGGCAAGACGAGGCTGAAACCGAAGAGCATCTCCGAGGGGGAGCACAATGTACGATGTACTCCGTGTAGCGGAGATGCTTGTTCCCATGAGCACGGCTATGCAACCCTAACCAGCTGCAGATCCGACCATGTTTTAGAGTCAGCTGCCTAAGATGAACGGCGCGACGCCACATTATTTCGTTTTTGCTTCTTCCTATCGCCTATTTCTTCTTTGTATGCCGCTATAATATCTAGTTATGGTAGCCAAGAGAATCCACAGGTCTGGGATATGTACCTGTGTAACCCGAGTAGCGGCTGGAATGTCTTGCGTAATAAGGTCAAAGGTGCCGAGGAATGCAGTAGGAAGACTAGCAAGCGACCAAGGAGGAAGAGGTAAACAGAGATAGCTGATACGTCTGAAAAGGCCAAGAGTGACATGGGTAGCCTCGTGGCACCATTTTAAGTTAAAGGCGCAGCTTTACGACGGCTGTACGGTAGGTAACACTGCTTTAGTCCTTTGGAAATTAGGATATCCCGCTAGACGCGGGCCAACGATAAAGCTGGATGACGTGATTTAGATCTTGATTGCGTCTTTACAGAGTGGATGAAAAGTATGCAGGGGACAGGGGAAAGACAAGCATATTCCTAGCGGAATATCAAATTGAGCTACGTTAGGTGTATGCTTCAAACCTTGGCCGTTGGAGCACCTGTTATCGTGAAAGAGGCAACTATGCGGCCTTGTTTCCCTACTGTGTTGAGATATCGAGATATCACCGTAGCCAAGGCCAAGTTTCTGTGAAGGCCGACCACTCGGAGATAAGCGTGGCTATGTAAAAAGGCAACGGGCTACGGAGTATTCCGTAACTGTTGTGTGCTCCCCTACATATGCACCTAACAGATAAAGTAGCGCCGAGCCCAAACGGACCCCACGCGAGCTTTTTATTCTAAATTGAACATGAATGGACCACCCCGTAACGGGTGAAAGGTGACCACACGTCAGATGACCAATACGATTTAGATCCCGAGGTCAATGTGGAGAGGCATATTCAAGGTGGTTATAAAAATTGAAGCTATACAATTATGTAACCTGATATCCAAGGCGGTGGCCCCGGGAAGTCTGGAATAAAGTTAATCAGTTAAGAAGATTCTTGAAACATCAGAGAAACCCACTCCGAACGTACCACACCAACGTGGAAACCTATTTTTTCCCATTCACCATCTTGCCTGCAGATTGCGTGTTCTAAACGGTCCGTGATTGGCCTCGTGGCCCCACCTGTTGATCTCCTTGGGGCAAATCTCATCGAGGCGTGTTGTCATTCGTCATCCACAGTTCTTGGCACCGCGACAGCTCCTCCATTGTGGTGCCCAGTTTAGTCATCGAGGACGTTCATTTTTGTCGATTTTATACGATTTACATGGGCTATCAGGTGAGGAGAATGTCATGAGAACAATGAATAGTTTAACAGCTGTGTGTAACAGTACTTGGAACAACCAGCACATAAAAACCAAGTTCTCCGTCTCATCTCGACCATGGGCCCCATGTAAAAAACGGATATACTCCACGACCCGTCGTCATTCTTCCAGACCGAGTGGGACCTGCGGAATTTACGCTCTTCAGATCAACTGGGATCGTCGGTGGACCCGGCTGCCGCGTGAATTTCGTCCTGCTTTTTAACAACGTGGGCTCGCTTTCAACCAGTTTTTGCTTTTTCGTGAGATTATTCTTTTTATTCTACCTCGAGGAGCACTTTCTACAAGTCTAGCCCTCGTATAACCCTTGCTTGAATTCATCTCAAGCGAGCTAAGCGGAAGTTTTCAAATCTTAATTTGAATCTGGGGAGCTTAGATATTGCGCCATTTGCGATCGAATCACGCATCCAACTTTCTTTCCTTTTTTTTTTTTTTTTAATCTTGTCGCGCCATGCAGAGTGCTTGATCGTCTGATTTGACATTCTTTTTATATCTTGATCATCGGCACATTTCTGGGGACTCTTATCTTCCCAAGTTACCGTTGTCAACACACATCGTGGTCCTTGTGGTGAAGCTTCGTCCACTCTCGGCTTTTGATATTGTCAACCCCGGTCTGTACAAGCATGACCATGTTCGGAAAAGGGGGCACGGCCAATATTGGCCATTCCCTGGCCAAGGTCCTCGGTATCAAGCTCGCATACAGAGACCCTCTGGGTGCTACCGGTGAGACCGTTACAAGAGGAGAATCGGCATTTTCCATGGGCACCGTCGACACATACTCATACAACGAGCCTGAGCCGACAAGCATCGACTGGATTTGCGAGATCACCCCGTCTGGAGGCCAATTGGGCAGATATTTGATCAATCTGTTCCCTTTCCTCACATGGATTGGCAACTACAACCTAACATGGTTTTGGGGTGACCTGGTTGCCGGTGTCACCGTTGGAGCGGTCGTTGTGCCGCAAGGTATGGCCTATGCCGATCTTGCTGGACTGCCGGTACAGTTCGGTCTGTACTCCTCGTTCATGGGAGTTTTGATCTATTGGTTCTTTGCTACGTCCAAGGATATTACTATTGGGGTGAGTGATACTGCGACCGGTTGAAACCAAAAATAACATTACTGACCTCATCTCATAGCCCGTGGCCGTCATGTCAACTCTTACCGGAACTATTGTGTCTGAAGTCCGGGAGCAATACCCAGATTACCCTCCCCATTTGATTGCATCCGCTCTTGCTGTTATTTGCGGTGGTATTGTTCTAGTGATGGGTCTCCTGCGCATCGGATTCATTGTCGATTTCATTCCTCTTCCCGCTATTTCCGCCTTCATGACCGGCTCAGCTCTGAGCATTTGCGCGGGACAGGTTCCGACCATGTTGGGTGAGACTGTCAAATTTAGTACGCGCGGTGCCACCTACAAGATCATTATCAACACCCTCAAATACCTCCCCAGTTCGACCTTGGATGCTGCTATGGGTGTCACTGCCTGTGCAATGCTCTACATTATCCGCTCAGGATGCAGTTATGCCGCGAAGAAGCAGCCTGCTAAGGCCAAGGTTTGGTTCTTTATCTCGACTCTTCGGACCGTGTTTGTGATCTTGTTCTACACTATGATTAGTGCCGCCACGAACTTGCACCGAAGGGATAAGCCAGCGTTCAAGATCCTCGGGACAGTCCCTCGAGGATTCCAACAGGCTGCTGTTCCCACTATGGATCCTAAGATCATTTCAGCCTTCGTTGGCGAACTTCCAGCTGCGGTCATCGTTCTTCTGATTGAGCACATTGCCATTTCCAAGTCTTTCGGCCGTGTTAACAACTACACTATCGATCCCTCTCAGGAATTTGTAGCCATTGGAGTGAGTAACCTTCTCGGGCCTTTCCTCGGTGGCTACCCCGCGACTGGATCTTTCTCCCGGACAGCTATCAAGTCGAAAGCTGGAGTGCGGACACCCCTTGCTGGTGTCATTACCGCGCTCGTGGTGCTCTTGGCTATCTATGCCCTGCCCGCTGTCTTCTTCTACATCCCCAAGGCTTCTCTGGCTGGTATCATTATCCACGCTGTCGGCGATCTGATCACTCCCCCAACACTGTTTACCAGTTCTGGCGCGTGTCTCCGCTTGATGCGATTATTTTCTTCATTGGTGTCTTTGTCACTGTTTTCACTTCCATTGAAAATGGTATCTACTGCACAGTCTGTGTGTCGGTTGCAGTCCTGCTTTTCCGTGTGGCCAAGGCCCGCGGTC